TCGCCATGGCTGGGCTCATCGTCGACCTTTTCGACGCGCGTTGTGGGAATGGGAGAGGTGGTGCTGTTGCGGTCGGCCTCGGCCTTGTCGCCCTCAGAGGCATCCGAGAAATGGTCCTCTCCTTCGGATGAATCTGCAGCAAGGTCAGCGCCAGCAGAGAATGACGGCAGCGAGGTATGCGATAGGCACAGATAGATATGGAGAAGCGCGCACTTACCGAGCTCGTGCGCACCGGGGTCTTGGAGCTCGACGCTCTTTCTTGGAGGCTCGAGTTCAGCCATGATGGGGGCGAATGGGGCGGGGAAGACTTTGTGATGACGGCGGGACACGGGGGGATTGTTGAGAAGGAAGAGCAAAGCGGTCGAGGGGCTGCGTCGCTGATGTGTAGTGATCATCCACGCGGCGGTGCAATCGAGCAGCGATCGTCAGCGCCCCAGACCGGTCCATCGGAGCGGATCAACATGTGCCGCCGGAGCAGGGTTGGCCGCCCAAAACACGTTCGAAGCGTGAAGCTCTTACTGGGCTCCGCGCGCGTCTGCCCGTCGTCAACATCACCTCCCCACCGCCGTCGCATTGTCAGCGCTGCCCACCTTCCAATTGCTAGCGCGCGCCTACCACCACCACAATGTCCGGCGACCCTTCCAAGTTCAGCTTCGGCGCCAGCCAAGGCACTACTGGAGGAAGCTTGTTCGGCGGCGCCAACAATGCTTCTTCTGGCAGCAGCGTCTTCGGCGGTGCAAGCAAACCCGCCGGCGGTAGCATCTTCGGAGCCTCTCCCGCCGCTACCCCGTCAACGGCTGCTGGCAGTGGTCTTTTCGGTACATCAGGTACCCCAGCCTCTTCGGGTGCCTCTCAACCTTCTCTGTTCGGCGGCGGACAATCCACGTTTGGTGGAGCTTCCACATCTGCCAACACTGGCAGCAGCATCTTCGGCGGCGGAGCAGGAGCAGGAAGCTCTCCCCTGAAACTGGGAGGCACGCCCGCTGCTTCTTCTGCGCCCGCTGGAGCCACTACGCCTGCACCCAAATCAACCTTCTCCTTCGGTGGATCTACTACGCCTGCGGGGCCCCCTCCCTCGAGCTCTACTGGAGGCGGACTGAACTTTGGTGCCCAGCCTTCGAGCCAGCAGAGTGCCTCTGGCACAAGTTTGTTTGGAGGAGCAAGCAACAACGCCGCAAAGCCCGCGACCAGTCTGTTTGGCAACACTGGAGGAGCCTCGCAAGCCAGTACTGCCCAATCCACGTCTGGGACCGCTGCGCCGAGCGCCTCAATTTCTGGAGGATTTTCGCTGGGAGCTGCGTCGACGGGCAACAAGCCAGGCTTTTCGATTGGAGGTGCGGGGAATCATTCCAGTTCCTCACCCTTCTCTTTGGGCAGCAGTACGCAAGCCTCATCTCAGCCTGCGCAGGATGCCTCAAAGCCGGCCAGTACGAGCCTGTTTGGAGGCCTTGGGTCCTCCACTGGCAACAAGCCCACGTTTAGTCTGGCTGGTGCTTCCTCCGCTCCCCAAACCACTCCTGGCGCTCAAACGTCGACTTCCACCTCTGCGGCTGGTGGTGATAAGCCGAGTCTTTTCGGAAGTACCGGCGGTATCTTTGGTGGTGGCGCCAAGGACAAGGACAAAGAAAAGGATGCACCCTCGACCACAAGCGGCGCCCCCCAGACTCCCGCGACGACAGGTGGATTCAGCCTCTTTGGCGGCAACAAACCTACTGAGACTCCTGCCTCATCTACTGCACAAACGACTCCAGGTTCAGCGACTCCATCGGCTAAGCCAACTTTCGGGCTGGGATCTACTCCAGCCGCCACCTCGAGCTCTGCCACTCCGCAACCCTCAACCACCGCGACTGCTGCACCAAGCTTCAGCCTGGGAGGTGCCACCAGCACTTCAACGTCTCAGCCAACTACTACTGCGGCTTCTGCGCCCAGTTTCAGTCTCGGGGGGTCCACCAGCACTTCGACGACGCAGCCGGCCACCACGGCGACGACAGGTGCAACCGCCGCACCAACTACTGGTCTCGGTGGCACGGGCACAACCAACTTGGGAGCGTCTACCATGGGTCCTCCTCCAACCACGCAATCCCGTCTGAAGAACAAATCGATGGACGAGATTATCACGCGTTGGGCTACTGATCTTTCGAAATACCAGAAGAGCTTCCAAACCCAAGCGAGACAGGTGGCGAGCTGGGACCGTATGCTGGTTGAGAACAGTGACAAGATTTCAAAGCTCTACAGCAAGACGTTCCAGGCGCGCAAGGACACCGAGGAAGTCGAGCGCCAACTCACTGCGGTCGAGTCTGATCAAGCCGAGCTGTCGAGATGGCTGGATAGCTACGAAAAAGAAGTTGATGAATTGATGGACAAGATGGTTGGTGGCACAGAGGGCCTTCAGGGCCCAGACCAGGAGAGGGAGAGGACGTGAGTGTTCACCGATTTGTGACCAGGCCCGAAGGAACTGATATTAATGGTTTTGCAGATACAAGCTTGCGGAGAAACTCTCCGACCGCCTGAACGATCTGAACAAAGACCTTTCTGAGATGATCGAAGAGATCAACAGCGTCTCGGCTACTCTCAGTAAGACGGACAAGCCCGACGACCCGGTAAGACGAATCGTGATTGACGAAAATCCACCGTAAGCTAACGCTATCAATAGCTGTCCCAAGTGGTCCGTGTCCTCAACAACCACCTTTCGCAGCTGCAGGCCATTGACACGGGGGCCGCGGAGCTACACGCCAAGGTTGCGGCGGCGCAGAAGGAAACGCAAAACTACCGTACCAATGGCCACGCCGGCCTCGGTGGTGACGCGGCAGAGGACTTTTACCGCTCGCTCATGAGCCGTCGCTGATCTTGGCCAGTCGCGAGGGGGCAGGCAACGAAACGAAGGTTCGTGTGTTGGTGGTCATGGGAACTGTCTGCGGACAGAAAAAGGCGTTCACGGCATTGGGGTTTTGGCAATGGCAAAGTCAAAGCAGAGGAATTGAGGAGGGAGCAGGGATGATGAGTGGTGGATTGTAGGATAGGCGGGGGCAGGTGACTCGATAAATGATGATAGCTGCGACGAGGTAAAGCATTGGCAAGTAGTTGGATAGGGAGTGGGCGCGTGTTGGACGACTGACGCAATAATTCGGGAGAAAAGAGATGTAGAAGTAATAAGCTGCCGTCATCTGGTTTCAGATCGTTGGCAGTCGGGCACGGACGGGCGTGCAGATCAGCCAACGAGTTGCCGTTGGCCGTTGCCCGCTAGAGGGCAAGCCTCACCGTCTGAGATCTCCCCTGCGCGGCGACGTCGATGGCTGCGCGCCGTTTGACAGACGAGCAAGGGATCGTCAGCCGCACGCTTCCCGTTCATTTCCCAGCCAGCAGCAGCATTTCGATCCTGGGTTCCCGCCCCCGTCGCTCCTGATAGGTAGCCGACTGTGCTGCCCGTCGTCGCCTTTTTTCCCTCCCCCTACTACCCTCCTTTACACAGGTTGCCACCCGCCTACCTACCACATGTAATTGTATGTATGCATGTATGTATGTCTGTGGTCCATGATGGTTGTTGATGACGATGACGATGATGATGATGATGATTATGGTGAGACCATGAAGCGACGACGACAACAACAACGCAACCGGCAACGCGAGACGAGAGCCCTACGCACTCGTATCCACTATCCACCCGACGGCATCTTCACGCCCGCCGCCCACGGCGTCGCACGGATGGGGGATGCGGATGTACGGGATCGGGGCAGGCAACCAGTCATTTCCCATGAGCACCTCACCGGCCGCGGATCCTGCGGTGCGACTTTTTGTTGCCGCTGCAGCCTGCAGCACGGTTACGGGGGGCCTTAGCGTGTGTGAGAGAAAGAGAGAGAGAGATAGAGATAGAGAGATAGGGAGGGAGGGAGAGGGAAAGAGAGAGGAGGGGGAGAGAAAACCCAGAGACGACGCGACAGAGACAAGACAGGTGAGGGGCAGAAGAGGGAAGGGTGGAGGGGGAGAGAAGAGAAAGAGAAGAGGTACGGATTAGCAGCAGCGGAGCCGCAGGCGGGTAGGGTAGGGAGGGAGTCGGGCGCGGGCTTTTGGGGTGGGGATTGGCTGAGGGAATCGGATGCGACCAAGAGGGCGGGCGCGGGCTTGTCTGCAGGACAAGGGGGGGCTCAGTCGAACAAAAAGGCTCAATCAAGTCAACGCGAGCGTTGCTCCACCACCGCTGATCGCCGACGGGGCGCGCACGTGTACAACCGGGTTGTGCCTGTACGCGTGACTGTCGATGATACACCCGCCGGCGGAGGCCACCGGACCTGCAACCTGCTGCTGATGCGTTGTTTGATCGCTGCTAACTACCGACTGGCTGAAGGGCATTAGGGCATGCAGACAGGCACACGCAGGGCACGCTGGACAAGTGCAGGGCAGAGGAACTTTTTTTTCTTTTTCTTTTTTTCTTTTCCTGCTGCAGGCACCACGCCCATTGTCCCCATTAAAGAACCCGTAATATACATATGCGCGTGAGAACCATGTAGTTACAGACTCATCTACCTATCAGGTAGGACCCGTGAACTCGGACTTTAAGCCCTGTCTACATACACCAACATCCAACACCAACCCACCCACGACCAAACGTCGCCCTCTCCCTCCCCCTCCCCTAACGACCGAGGTACGGATAAGGCTGCGGGCATCCTCAGCTTGCGCGCGCGCGGCCGCCGGCTCGGGCGCCTCCGGCCCTTCTCACCTCATCCTTGCTTCTCGAAAGCGGCGGGAACGCGGGCTGCGCATCCCACGATCCATCGCGTCGAGCACTCGATCAAACGGGGCAAGGGGGAAGGGAGCTAGTCGAGCCGGCTGCGGCGGCAGCACCACTGATTGGACCGTGTCCGAAAAGGCGGAAATGTCCTTTTTCCTCTCTTCTCTCAAAAGAGCTTGGGACGGTGAGGGGAGTCGGGCAAGAAAAGAGTTAGAGACCACCGCGCGCACGAGAAAATTTTTGAGGACGGGGGAGACTCTGGAAGAAAAAAATGCCGCCGGCGACTTCTGTGCTCATTCATCCTGTTCTCCTCCCACTAGCTACTGCTCGCGCTCCGGTCGTGGGCCACCCCCCCGCGACTGACTGACTGATGACTGCTCGCTCGCTCTGTCGTCTGAGAATTGAGCAACCGCCCGGGATTGCCAGTGGTGGCGGCCCAATCACCGCTCGTCCTGCTTCCTCTTTTTCTGCCCGCCGCTTAGCGCACCCTAGCGCCTCTCGCTACATGTACACGTCCGGCTTGTCTTGCTCGTTTGCGCCTGTAGTTTAGAGGCCTTGTTCCCGTCTTGCTTCGGATTGTCGGATAAGGGGGACGGCGGGCGGTGCCACTCGTAAACTGGCCACCGCCCGTGGCTGGGCTCCATAGTTATTTTCTTGTGTAGTAGCATCGCTGTCTTTTTGTCTCTCAACGCCCGCCTCAACGCATGTAACCTCGCCTGTTCCCCTTCCAGCTGCGATCGCCGCCGACCGGGTCAGTAGCTCTCTTGGCCGTTGGGCCTCGACAACGGCCGCACCGCCGTACGTGAGATGGACCGTTCAAGGGGGAGGGAAAAGAAAACACTGAAATCCTCCGATGAAATGTGTGCGCCAAACGGCCTAGCTGGAGAGCCCATACCACAAAAAACCCGGCTACATGGCTATAAGATAAGCGAGTATAAGGCGTGTTGTGTAGTCCCAACGTCAGGACCGCACCGCCCGCACCGCCCGCACGGCACCACCGCCACTCCTCGCATATCGCCAGCGGGGGGCAGTGCAGTAAAACAAATGGGTATGAAAACGCGAGGTAAAGAAAGTGCCCGTGGCTGCCTGCCTGCTGTGGGCGTTGCTCTTACCGTTGCGGGCGCTCGGGAGCACCTAGCCACCCTACAACCACGTAGCCAACCCGCCCCATATAACGCTCCGCGGCCCACACCGTCCCCGTTTCACCAAGGCAGCCCCCCAAGCGGACACTGCTTTGGGCCGGGCCTGCATGTGCAAAATGCCCAAGACTCATCGATCCATGCGTTACGGGCGTGTGATCTGAAAGATAACCAGGAAGAATGCGAAAAAAAGAGACAAAAAAAAAAAAAAAAAAAAAAAAAAGAAAAAAAAAATCTTTTCGATTTTCTGCGACGGCCAGTGTCTTGTATGTAGTAGTGCGAGAAAAAGGAAACGCTCGGGTATAATTCTCTTAGTCTAAGCTTCGCTCGTTCCCCTCCAACCGGTTGCGTGATGCTAAGCGACCTGACGCCGGCAGACGCAACGAGTGAGGCCGAAGCAAGCGCCGTCGCTGCCGCCATGGGCTGATGGTTCTCATGCTGCCTGTCGTGATAGCAATGGGCCCAAATGCAACCCCTATTCCTTGAATTCCCTACATACAGCAGCAGCAGTGAAGCAGACCGTGTAGTAGCAGTGATAGCGGGTAGCGACCTCGGTCCCTTCGTCTTACTCGCGTCCCCACTTCTGCTCCCGTATCGAAACAAACCAATTTGTGCTGCGGCTTTCGCCATCCGGCACCCAAGCAAAAACAAAAGTAACAACACGCTGCAATCCAAGACTGTCAAACGCAAGAAAAACCGAAGCTTGCTGCCCCAAAAAACGGCGAGCGCTATGCCGCAAACACTGTACAATATCAACGCCGTGCGAAGTGTGACCTGACGAAATGAAAAGAAGAAAAAAGAGAGGAGAAAAGCAGGGGAAAAAAGACAAATAACAACGCCCACGGTGGTGATTTCCTCCTCATGCCCTAAAGTGGTATCCCTACAGATGGTGATCCGTACGCGTGCTTGCGTGATGGTGAGCAAGACGGGCGTACGGAGACGAAGGACAAGATTCTTAATTTTTCGTTCGTGAAGGGATGATAAATTGGTGCTGTACAACGAGTGGCGGGAAGGATGGTAGACTGCTGATGATGGTGGTGGCGATGTGATGACGAGGATGAGAAAACGGTGACTTGAATGGTGGTGGTAAAAAGGTCCCGAAGCGAAAAATCCCGAAAGAAAAAAATGTGCGCAGGCAGAAGAAACCCAAGACACCAAATACGCCGAATTAGCCTTCGCTATGCACGCTTCGTAAACGCGACTAAACAGGCGAGTGTTGTCGCCGATGGTTTTGAAGTTGTGATGATGGTGGTGGTTGAATGGGGGGGAGGGGGTGAGCACCCTGAGAAGGGATTTTTGAGATTTTAGGTCGGTGAGGCCGTCAGATTTGGATGAGATGGATGGAATGCGTCGAGGGGGAGGGTGTCGTCTTTTGGTGAACGTTCTAGTGGCGGTCGGGGGCGAGATGGAAGAGAAAAAACGTCGGAGACGGACGGCTCGTAGAAATCCACGTGATCAGGATGCGACGTTGGCGACGGCAGGTTGAAGTGATGGAACGGCCAGGCTGCGTTGCTGGCCGGACATGGGGCGTAAAGGAGTGGCCGCCGCCCCCTTCGTCGTGTCGCGTGGCGATGACCTGGCTCGTTTTATTTGATGGTGCGGCCCTTGCCCTTGGGCTTAGCGGCGCCTGCAGCGGTGAGTTTGCTTGTCTGCATGAGCTCGCCAATGTACCTGGTCGTCGGTTAGCATCCATGGTGGAAAGGGCGGACGGGAGGGTGACGTGACGTACGATTGCAGGAAGCGGTTTCCCCCCTCGAGCTTTTCGTGTTCGCAGCGCACCGACTCGACGCGGTCAACGATGCTCAGGAGGCTCGCTTGGAGAGCCTTGGCTTGCCTGACGAGGTGGGCGTTAGACGATGAGTTGAGCGAGTTTGGTGTTGGCAGTGGGCGACTCACTGGATCAGGGCCTCCCGGGCTTCCTGGCTGATCTTCTCAATCTCCTCGCTGGTCCGGCGCGGGCTCATGGTCCTCGCGTCGTTCTCGTCGTACTCCTCCTCTTCCTCGCCCAGCTCGACCTGGGGGCTGTCGCGCGGGATGATGATGGTGCCGCTGGACTTGCGGCTGCCCAGCTTGGGGCGCGGCATCTGCTGGGGCTGGCCGGCCTCGTTGATCGAGGACGAGGACGAGGCCGGGCTAATGTACTCGTCGCCGTCGACAACGGCACATTCGTTGGCCGGGTCGCGGGCCTGGGCCTGGGGCAGGGTCGAGGTGGGCGTGGCCTCGGAGTGGTGTGCCGTAGACATGGTGGGAGGTGGATTGTGGTGGATGTGAGAGGCGCGAGGAGGATAGGTGTGGAGGAGGAGGGGGTGCGGTGGAGGAGGGAGGGTGGACTGCAAGCGATGTTCTGCGAAAGTCGAAGTGACTAGCTAGCAAGCGCCGGCGCGGCAAGCGTGGAGCTGCTGGGAGAGAATGGAACGTCTGGTGGACCCTGACCCTGTTTCGGGCAGCGGCAGCATGTGGGAGTGGATACAGGCAGGGTGGTCGGGGGCGTGCGAGGGCAGAGGATAATGGAGATGCGGCGGCGGCGGCGGGCGGCGTGTTGATGAATGGGGTGCCCGGCAAGGGGGCCGCCATGACGGCAGCTGCTCCACCACTGTCAAGCGCTTACTCGATGATGTCAAGGGGTCTCTCCGGCTCCCTTGCGCCCAAATTGCTCAAGAGGTCAAGTGATGGCGATCTTCGCGACAAAACCGCCAAAGCCTTTCCCGCGCTTCCGTTGGTTGCATCTCGCTTCACGCTGGAGAAAATTGTAGGGGCTACGATCTGCTACAACTTGCGCACGAATGAACTCTCTACAAACACCCGACTGCTCAGCCTCACTTGCTGCGTTGCCTACTATCCCTACTAGTAGACGGATCCGTATTCCTACGTACGTGTTGTATTGTCGCCCTCCCCTACCCAGCCGCGCGGGCTCCTGCGATCGGCCCGCATTATCGCCTCCATGACCTGACTGTTGACTATTGACCACCTCACCGGGGCTAAGCTGCCTAAGAACAGGAAGCGGTGGGTGCTGGCCGCCAGCAAACACCCTCTCCCCCCAAAAACATCAACGTCGCCTGACTCGCAACAAGTCTCGTGTCCGAATCGATGCCTTGCCGTGCTTGCCCGCCCGCCCGACCGACCTGCAAGAAATTGATGAACCACGGACGGACTGCGTGTAGGATCCGCCGTCCACGTGGAAGCAAAAAGAGAGAGAAACCTATTTACCCATACGTGCGTAAAACACACGAGAGATAGGGCTTTACTTTCGCAAAATTCCCCCATAACCTACCTTCCAACTTTCCAGAAACCCAAAGCCCGCCGAAATAATGCATGACGAGCACTGCCCGCTGTCGCAACTCGCTCGCTCGCTCCCGGCCCGCCCGTCGCTCCTCTCCCGTCGGCGGCGCCGAATTTCACGCGCATCGCGTGCACCGGGTGGGCATGTGTGGGGATTCGAGATGCGATTTTTTCGTTTTTTTTTTTTTCTTCCTTCTTCTCTGCCTTCTTTTCTCCTCCCCCTCCCTCATCTAACGTCCTTGCTTTAGGGCCTCCCTGCCCTGGCACGCTGCGCCGGGACCTTGCGCCATCTGTCCTTCCGCTCGCCGTAGGGCAGGCGCCGCATGAGAAATTTGGCGAGCGATCGACCGTGCTAGCATATTTCCCAATCACCTGGGACCAGGTTCCGGTCCTTCGAACGGACTTGCGGAAAAGGGTGGGAAAGGGCACCTTGTCCAAACCCGAGTGGGGAAGGCATGTGCACTTTCCTCGTCAGCAGGTTTGCCGACTTCATAAGAGGGTTGCCAGCCGAGCAGCAGTGGGTAGTACACGTTGCTCGACCCTTCGAGAAGAAATCCTTCGATTCCTCCCCCCTACGTACTTGTGCTCCACCTCCACTTTCTACCCAGTCGCGTCTATCGTTCCTATTTCTTGGTGGTTTGCCATGTGGCCGACAGACAAACAGAAAGCAAAAGAGAGACAGAAGACGGTTGTAAGTGTTTTTTTGTAGGCAAACGAAATCTCACGAAAAGCACGCCAAGCATCCATCACTTGGGATGCCTGTCTAAAAAGCAAACCTGTATAAGCCAGACAGAACAAAAAAACAGAATCTTTAGTCTTTAGCATTTGATTCATGAAGGGTTGGTTGAAACCGTACAGAAAGCTGAACGTGCTATCGTGATATGGGGATCAGAAAGGGGGAAGGGGTAAGACGACTGGGGAAGGGGGGAAATCTCGACTACTGCAACGTTCTAGTAGGTGTTTAAGCAGGGTTGAACGGAATCTTTAGAAGCAAAGAAAGACCAAAAAAGCCCCATTTTTGCCGGTCCTCGAGGATGACGACCCTAGGGACTGGCTTTTCTGCTCCACGTCCAATGGAATGCCAACTATGAACCCTCCGTCACACCTGCCACGGAAGTGTGACTCCGTGGAGAACACGCTTACTCGGAGGGCTTGGCCTCCTCAGCCGGAGCAGCCTCCGTAGCGCCCTCCTTGGCCTCAGCCGGGGCAGCCTCGGCAGGGGCCTCAGCCTCGGAGGAGGTCCAGAGGGTCTGTGTACACAATACGTCAGCGGCCGAACCAATGATAAAGGGCGGAGTGATTGCGATGCTTGACATACCAGGTTGTCCCTCAGGAGCTGCATGATAAGAGTGGAGTCCTTGTAGCTCTCCTCGGACAGGGTGTCAAGTTCTAAAGAAACCATGGTTATTAGCCTGAAATCACGCTAACGATGCCTACTTTAGGGCTACTTACCGGCAATGGCGTCATCGAAAGCCTGCTTGGCCAGGTGGCAGGCCTGGTCAGGAGAGTTCAGGATCTCGTAGTAGAAGACAGAGAAGTTCAGGGCGAGACCAAGGCGGATGGGGTGAGTAGGGGCAAGGTCAGTCTGAGCGACCTCGGTGGCGGCCTTGTAAGCCTCGAGGGACTTGTCGGCAGAGGTCTTGCGCTTGTCGCCAATGGCGAACTCAGCGAGGTAACGGTGGTAGTCACCCTTCCTAAAAGAGAGAAAATCATTGGTAACAGTCCTCGTGACGTCTTCGCATGCGGGTTTGCTTACATCTTGTGGTAGAAGACCTTGGACTCGCCGCTCTGGGCAGAGGGGATCAAGTGCTTGTCCAGAACCTCCAGGATGTCCTCGCAGATCTTGGCAAGCTCGGCCTCAATCTTTTGACGGTACTCCTTGATAAGGCCGACCTGGCTCTCGTTGCCCTTAGACTCCTCCTTCTGCTCGATCGAGGTGACGATTCTCCAAGAGGCACGGCGCGCACCAATGACGTTCTTGTAGGCAACGGAGAGGAGATTCCGCTCCTCAACGGTGAGTTCCTGGTCGGCGGAGGCAACGGTCTTCATGTTCTCAACCATCTCTGCGGACAAGGTCAGCGCGAGTGCTGGAGGCTGATAAGAGTCAAGACATACCCTCGTAGCGCTCGGCCTGCTCGGCGAGCTTGGCCAGGTAGACGGAGTCCTCGTAACCCATTGTGACGGTGTTGGAGCTGTAGACGCGCCGGAGTCAGTATTGGCAGGCAAAGACGTTGATAAGTGTGCAAATATGAATGTGCTGCCTCGGACGTAACGATGATGCGATCGCCGGAGTTCGGAGGAAGAGACGGACGATGCGTGGCGCGGGGCAGAATTGCGTGTCGCGTTGATGATGGCAACAGCCGTCTAGCGCAGCAAGTCTGTGCTGAGGGCGCGAAACGGAAGAGATAAGGGTGGAGTGGCGCAGGTTTGAATTGCGCTGTCGGACGGCGATGGGTCGATGTAGGGGTGAAGTTGCAAGGAGTCGATCCTGGAGCGTGGGGCGAATTGGGCGCGCAACAAGGCCGCTCGCAACCAGATGTCGTCTCTTGGTTCAGATGAGGTGCGTCGCACGAAGGCAGTCGTTGGCGGATTGCAGCCGTCACGTCCGACAGCGGATTCCAGGAGGCTCAAAGGATGACGAAACAGATGGGAACGGGGTGGGTGGCTTACCTGATGGAACAAAGTGGCTTGAGAGTGACGGGTGGGGAGTAGAGGTTGTCGGTGGAAGCTGGGAGCTCGAAGAAATAAGCCTGGAGCGACGCTGGGTGAGAAAGGGCGAGTGGTAGAAGAGGGTGTTTGTTGACGTTCGAAAGACGATCGGGCTCAACCTGGAGTCAAAGGTGAAGCGGTAGGGGCCTTAGTAAGCGAAATAACATATTACACCGCTCTGGCAGGCACGATAGGGACATGCACCAGCGCCGCGTTGCCTGACTGCCTCTCGTAGACTGGCTGGCTGGATAGAAGCGCCGCCCGCAGCCGCTTTCCATGCACTCTGCCCGCCTCTGTTCCCCGATGCAAGGGCTGCCCATTCACCACCTGCGCCCCGTAACCCTATGTATATACAATCCATATATGTAGATGTAGGCGCAAGGCTAGATGCCCGGCCACACAACGGGCTCTCTCTCTCCTGGAGCTCATCAAACCGCTTAGCCTTCTTAGCTGCCGTTGAAAGGCTTCGAGAAGCGTCTTCCTTTGGCATCTCAGGGGCAGATCAGGTCACGTGCACCCGTGCCGTCTCTACGCCTCTCGGACACTGGTCACACGCACTGCCGACTGTGGACTGACACACTTGGGGCTGCTGCTGCGGATGTTTACTTGCAGTGTTTCCAGTTCAGGACTCTCCGTTGCCCGGCTACATTCACGGCTGACGGCATTCCATGCTGGAACACACCCAACCCGCGCGGGGATGATGCCATTGAAGACTTGAATGAACCGCAAACAAAATGTCAAGCCATTGCAAGCCCATGAGCAAAAGTCTCGCCATTCCTGCGGCAAGACGAGTCAATCCCAGTGTTCCCCGGACGTGTCTCCCCATATCTCCAGACAGATCCCCTCCTCGCACGTGATCAAATCCCCGGTGAGGTCATCCGGCACAGCAGCTCAAAGCTCCCGGTCCTGCCAGCTTCCCAGCCATCCACTCTTCCACCACAACAGTCACACAACGTAAGGCAATCCAATCCCTCATCACGACGCGTCTGGTCTAACCACCTGCCAGCTTCACACTCACAATGCTTCGCACCTCCATCACCCGCTCTGTCCGTTCATCCGCGGCCCTTACCCGTCCCTTCAGCACTACCGTTCGCACAATGGCTGCTGGCGACGCTGGCAGCACCAGGGCCGGCGGCGAGAAGGCTGCGTAAGTACATCATGGATCTTCTGTTTTCCACTAGCTTCAAGACTAATGCGCGTGTGCTTCGTAGTGACGCCTTCACCAAGCGTGAGGCTGCTGCCGAGGAGATGTACATCCGCCAGGAGGAGCGCCAGAAGTAGGTATTTTCGCAGCTTCGGCCTAAGAGCCGTATGCAGTCATTATGCTAACAACCTGCTTCTACAATAGGCTGCTGAACCTGAGGGAAAAGCTGAAGGCTCAGCGCAAGCACCTCGATGAGCTGGACAAGCACATGTACGTACCCACCCTAAATGGTTCGCCCATTACTAGTAGAAGAAACTAACGTATCGACCTTTAGTGAGGATCTCACCAAGGACCAGGGCGGCGAGCACAACTAAGCTTTCTTTTTGATACCTTTGTGTCCTAAAACAAACCAAGCGAATTGAGTTATTAGTCGGTGGTTATGTTTATGGCTGTAGTAATGCATTGAGCAAGGCCATAAGCTGCAACACGCATTCTGTGTGTCTATCTAAATGTCGATAACTACTATACAAACCTTCAAAAGTTGTTCAACATTTGCGCGGATCATGAGCGCCTCCGCTTGCTAAGCCTGCGGGGGCCACGGATGGCAGGAACGCGCGCCCCACAAAGCTTCGTATCGCGCCCACCTAATGACACGGATGTTCGGATATCCGTTTGGAAGCCTCTCAATGACATGTCAAATGACAATCATTCAAATCAATGAGATTTGTACAGCAAGGAAACTATTGGCTAAGTGTACACAACTGGTTCTCTATCATTCGCTAACAGAGTGCACCCCCATCTTCTCTTTCTTTCCCCCTCTAACGCATTTAGCTCGCGTTCCTGCTCATGTCGTTCCTGACACGGGCGTAGTCCAAGAGACCCTCGATCTGGCCAACGGCAGAAATGGCAATGTCGCGGTCCCACAGCTTCCTCCTGGCGAAGTCCATAACGTCCTTCTCGGTGATGGCACCGACGACGCGCTCGACCTCCTCGGGGCTCAGGCGGCGGCCAGTGGTGATGATCTGGCGACCAATGTCCTCGGCGGTGGCGGTGGTGCCGTCAAGAGCCAGAAGGATCGAGGCCTTAAGCTGAGCCTTGGCGCGCTCGGTCTCGGCCTCGCCGACGTTGTAGGACAGGCGAGACCACTCACGGAGGGTGAAGTGGACAAGGTCGTCGATCTTAGTGACGGCGTCGGTGACGAGGTAGATACCCCAGAGACTATAATTCGGTCAGATGAAATTGTTTGGCCAATTGCGGACAAGATCTTACCCAGTGTCACTGTAAGAGGTGGAGAAGCTCATGAAGCTGTTGGCAAGGCCGTGGTTGTGGACGAAAGTGCTGAGCTTGCTGCCAAGGTAGGGAGAGCTGCCCATGGCGCGGTCCCAGTTGCCGACAATGGCCTGGGCAACGAGAGCAGTGAAGTAGTCGTCATCCTTCCAGCTGACACCCTCAACAGCGATGGCGATGTTGGCAGTGGGCATGGTGTCGTCACGGATGCGGACCTCGGAGCCAATGAAGTCGGGCTTGGCCTTCTGGGCAGCGGCGATGGAAGAGTGCGTGCTGGGGGCCTCGGTGGGAAGGTCAGAGAAGTACTTCTCGGCGAGATCGACGAGCTGCTCGTGGGGAACACCACCGGCACCGACAAGGACCATGCGGTCAGCGGTGTAGTTGGTCTTGATGTAGTTGACGAGGTCATCGCGGGAAATGGTCTGGATGTTCTCCTTGGGTCCGAGGATGGTGCGGCCGAGGGGCTGGCCCTGGAAGGCAGTGGCGTGGAGGTGGTCGAAAACAACCTCCTCGAGCTGCTTGTCAACCTCCTCCTGCTCGCGGAGGATCACGTCACGCTCGCGCTCGATGGCGGCCTTCTCGAGCTTGGAGTTCTGGAGGATGTCGGAAAGGATGTCGACGGTGTTCGGAACATCGGAGTTGAAGGCCTTGGCGTAGTAGACGGTGTTCTCGCGCTATTTCTTGTCAGAGGGCGTCGTAGGAAGCCGTCGGTGGCGGACACGTACAGAAGTGTAGGCGTTCAGGTGGCCGCCCATGTTCTCAATCTCCAGCTCCAGCTGCTGCTGCGTCCGCTTCTGGGTGCCCTGTGCGCCATGCTCTCAGCCATTGTCCATTGTCTCCAGAAGCCATGGGGGCCTACCTTGAAAGCAAGGTGCTCCAGGAAGTGCGCAGTGCCATTGGTCGCGTCCGTCTCGGCGCGGCTACCAGCGTCAATCCAGACACCAACCGTCGACGTCTGAGCCCAGGGCGAGTGCTCGGTTGCGATCTGCCATCAATTGTATCAATTGCTGTTCCGAGATGCGGCCATGGACGCAGCAGCGCATACCGTGAAGCCGTTGGCCAGCGTAGTGCTCTCGGTCTTGGATCCGTGGCTGACCGGCACCGCCATGCCTCTCGTCAATGGCGACCTGATGGAGTTGAGGGCGGCGCGGCTGCGCATCGCCTGCTGCATGTTGAAGGCGAGCCGCCGGGAAGCCATAGCGCGGGAAGCCATAGCGAGATATGAGATGGGGGGGGCGGGATGACGGAAGGGGGGTGGTGATGGGTATGAGAGCTTTAATGTGATGTTGCTGGTTGGCGATTTTGCAGGCTCGCCGCAAGCCGGCTGCAGCCAATCATGGACGGCTTATACTTCTTGGCAGCGTCCGCGCGCGAGGTACCCTCGGCATCGCTAACTACTGTTTGATGGTGATGTCGCCAGCTCCCCTCCGCTGTCTCCTGCACCTCCCGTCTGCCTCCATCTTGTGCGTCACAATGGCTTCTCTCCTGCGTCCGACTATGCGCCTCTGCTTCGCTGCCCCGAGCAAGCGCCTCCTCTCCACCAGCAGCCCCGCCGCCGCCTCCGTCTTCGCGCCTTTGGCCCGGAAGCCTGTCCAGTCCGCCTTTGTCCGCGATGCCCTCCCCGCCATGAGGGTCGCGCCCTTCCACGCCTCGGCCCGCAGGCCCATCCTGCCCCCTCTTCCCCAGAAGATCGAGGGCACCGTCAACCAGCCCGCACCCGTCCCGGACCCCGTCCCCGCCCACGGCAGCTACCACTGGTCGTTCGAGAGGCAAGAAAGCCCTGCATCCTTGACTGCCCCACGCATGCGCTAACCATGGAGCAGAGTCGTTGCCGCCAGTCTCATCCCTCTCACCGTCGCTCCCTTCGCTGCCGGTTCGCTGAACCCCGTCCTGGATGCTACCCTCTGCAGCTTGCTCCTCATTCACTCCCACATTGGCTTTGAGTACGTAGTATCAATCCACCCCTACCCCGAGCTGGAGCTGACAGCAAACAGGGCTATGATCATCGACTACTTCCCCGCCAAGAGGGTTCCTATTGTCCGCAGGTCGCTCATGTGGATCCTGAAGGGCTTCACCTTGGCCGTGGCCGTTGCTCTCTACCAGTTTGAGACCAACGATGTCGGTCTTACCGAGGCTATCAAGAGGGTCTGGACGGCATAAATTAGTGGCGCGGGGTTAAACTTGAATTCGTGTAAGATGAAATTGTTCGGACAGGCGGATATACTTTTGAGAAGTTCCCCACGAATAGGAGCAGGCAGTACGCAGACGATTTTAAGATTCGATAGCTCGAAAAGGACTGTACCATAGGTCCGTTTTGCCGTGTTTACAATACTTGGCGCACCGAGTCCTCCAGCACCAACCTTCGGCCTTTAATATGGCGATCACACCCCATCCCTGCAAAAAAGTCTAGTCCACCACTAATCACGGTAGCTCCTGTACGATCTTCTGATTTTGCGGGACAATTCTTGAGTTTTACAGGATCGTGATTATTCTAAATGCTTGTAGAAGATTCCCGGTCCGCCCATTGCTGGTATGTACATGCGTACATTCGCATCAACCGTCTGCGTATCAAGCTTCCAACGCACCCAATGGTATCCTTACAGGGCCTGGTTCTAGTTCAGGATACGCTTTGGAGGTGTAATTTGCGTCGATTATACTTCCAATATTTGTTTACATGAGTTCTAAAGTACCCAACTTGAGAGCCTGGCTATAGCTGTAATCATAAAAATGGCCAAGGATATCAAGATCTCAGAAAGCAGCAGTAATTTCCGAGTCAAAAGGTAAAACAACCAAAAGACAAAGGAACAAACAAACACACCAGAAAACAAAACAAGAAGAGAATTAGTCTATCGGATCGGAAATATAGAACATACAACGGAAGTATCAACAACAACGAAGTTCAGCCTCACGAAACCAGGGATCAAGTTCAGGAAGCACAGCCTCAAGCCGCTGGCACTCTAACAGAGTGGCCATTAACACCGCTCGTGTCACAGTAGGTTGGCCAAACCGGCAGCCAGGGAACTCGAAAAGCCATAGCATCGGGGTTTTCGCGAGGCAACCAGGCCGCTGGGAGACAGGCAGCGGGGTCAAAAACTCGATGCCCAGGAGGGGGAGGGGGCAACGAGAAACGGCCTTCACCCATGAAGCGGAAAGGGCCCAGCAGCTGAGTATACACCTGCCATCCTATAGCAAGAGCAGCAGTTATGCCACGAATCGGAGGGGCCTGCACCAAAGCTATCAATTACACCCAGAGCTACGGATTGTATCTCGCCACCCCGAGTGTGGCACGGTCTCCGTTTGCGTCTCTTGCGCACCGGGAGGGGCGTTTCGAGGCAAAGTCACACGCACACGTGTGCCGCGAGCTGAGGTCGTAAATAGAGTAACTAATATCTAGCGGCGAGGACCCCACGAGTGAAGCTGAGTGGGGGGGCACCATAATACGGTTCCGCCACCGTAAGCCTACCCAATGAGCTCGCTGTCCATTCCAACAGGCAAAGCTCGTGTCATGAGGAAGCCAGGAACCTGAGCAACGCAGGATCGGAATACTGGTCTGTAGGGCTCTCTTTCCGTCTCTCGGTACGGCGCAGGGCTTATCTTTTTCAGCTGAAGCTGCTGCTGCGAGGTTAGTGACCTTCCCTGACCGACCCGGACCCGGCTCGTCCGCATGGGTTGGCTCTGCGCCACGGGACTCTTCTCGCGAGCTGAGAGGCCCGTCTGCCAACATCGCTCCTCGTGGGGTAAGGGGATCAGGTTTCCTTATGCGGAGCCCACCCTCTGTAGCTATGCACCGTGTGCGGATGTACCTCTTAATTAGCTCCTTCAGCTTGCCTCATAGGCTTGGTTTCAGAACTTGCCCTTGGTATTTAGGCACCCTTTTGCCTGAAACACCTGTCCCGAGGGCATCAGAAATTGCTGCCTTGCTGCACCTTCTTTGTAGATGTGCAGGAACTGCATGATAGAGCAAGCTCCCCCACGCATCCCACTGACCGGTATCAGCTACCATCACGCCTTCCACGCTGACGAGATCAGGTGGTCCTCTTGCGCAATTCATGTCGCTTCTGGCAATCTTTCTAAAACAAAGTTGAATATAGCCGGTGAAGCGAGCGTGAAGGCGGCTAGGAGATTTTATAGTTGTTTGAACAGGTAGCAAAACCCAACCAAGTCAGGGTCGTGAAATGGATAAGAAAATCCCCTTGCCTCTATATAGCCACCAATGCACTTATATTTGCACAAAACAAAATTGAGGACAGAATTATCAACGCACTCGTTACGTAGCTATCTGCTGTGTGTAGTCGGATTTCGAGCAAAAAAGGACTTGAACTTGAACTTGCGACCGCCAAATGAGCCAGCTATAAGGTCGGTCATTAAAAGCCAGGGAATCGTCCATGTCGTCCGTATCCACAACTGTAGAAAGGGCGCCTTTGCCTGAAATCGGTAATACTCCTAGGGTATCATATAGGTCCCGTCAACCTCATTGTCCTGTCCATTTCCCATGATGAGCCAACGTTTTAATCCTCGGACGCCGATGCAGAGAATATGTCAAGTGCAGAGTGGAAATCAGAAAGCCAAAGTACAAAGAACGCAATGAAACGAGGGCTTGTCGCCGCCTGAATGCTGTGCAGAAAAAGCAGCTGAAGCACAAACTTTTCCGATGCGCATAGGCACGTCGTGCAATGTAGTACGGCGCTGAATTGCGGCAATGACAGAGCCGGTATTTTACCCATCATTGGCTTGTGGCATCGTGTTGCGAACTCCAAAGAGGTACGCAAGCTCCTGGACACCCAGACGGGCGATGCTCTTTCCAGCGTTCTCATCAAGGGCCGTCGAGATGAGCTCTTCTTTCTTTCGTTGCAGGTCCATGATGCGATCCTCCACAGTATTGGGCACGAGGATGCGGTGCACATGAACTGGGCGCTGCTGGCCGAGACGGTGAGAGCGATCAATAGCTTGGTACTCGATGTATGGGTTCCAAAAAGGATCAAGAACGATGACCTGCGACGCTGCGTTCAAGTTAAGGCCTGCGTTGCCGGCTTTCAAGGAAATGAGCATAATGTTGCAGGTAGGCGACTCGATGAAATGGTTGACGGCGTCATTCCGTTCGTTAGGAAGCATGCTGCCGTCGAAGCGGACAAAGTCCATATTCTCGCGAATGAGAGGGATCTCGAGAAGATCGAGCAGCGAAGTGAACTGTGAGAAGATAAGCGTCTTCTCGGTTGGGTCCTCGTCCCTAACCTCCCGCAGGACTTCCAGAGTCCTGTCAATTTTGGCGCTGGTTAGCCAATCCTTGGCAAGACGCTGGAAGTATTCTTTCTTGGCTGTTTTGTTCCGAAGCCCTTCTCTGCGCAGCTCGGCAAGAGTTTTGGTCTTCTTCTTTGTCTTCTTTTTATCCTTCGCCTTTTCCTTGCCTTTGTCCTTGGTTTTGCCCTTACCCTTGGCCTTGTTCTTCTTCTTTTGCTTGGCTTTCTTAGTACCCTCGCCTTCAACGCGCTCTGCGCTCGAGCTGGCCTCGGTGCCGTTGGCTTCATTGTTATTGGCCTCACCTCCGTTTTCATCCTCGTCAGCAGCTTCTCCTTCTTCCTCGTCATTGACGATGAAACCATCGAGACTGTCGGTCTCGTTGTTTTCGTCGTCTCCTTCGTCATCGCTGCTGTCTGTCCCACTGGCTTCTGCTTCGTCGTCCTCAGCAGGACCCGCAGCACCAAATCCAAGATCCCCGAGCCCATCAACTCCGTCGACGTGGTTAGGTAAATACACCTTCTGGAACGCTCTGTAATCGATGATTTTCTTCGTATCAATCTTACCACGGCAATTCGGGCATTTCAAGTCCGTCGCATTCTCATTGCCATTAGCAAGGTTCCTGTTGGGGTCCGAAAGAGTAGAGAAGCATTCAGCACAAGTGTTGTGGCCGCAAGGCAGGAAGATGGCTGGATTTTCCACGGCGTCAAGACAAATTGGGCAGCTAAATGCACCTTCCTCAGCTTTGATGCGCGCCACCACATCACCACTGAGCTCTAGCGCCAAAGCCTCCATATCATCATCTGTCAGGTCGGTCGAGATTCGTTCTGCAAAATCCCTGATGAGATGAGGATGACAGCAAGCCTGACGTAAGCGAAGCAGCAGCACGAGGATGTGCGAGTACTGCTTGCCGACAGTACCAGCTTTCAAGTATTTGTTGAAAGTGAGTTGTGTCCTCGTCTCTAGTGCACTATAAAAGGCTGCTTGTTCCTCATCGAACATAACGTGGTCGGCAGAAATAGTCTTAGGCGGCAAAGTAAAGATGGGCTTGCCATCAATCTTGGAATCCTTGTTGCGACGCAGGAGAATTGCTTTGAGCACGGCCTGAAGCTTTTTCATGCCGGCCTCGCTAGTCATTTTATGGCTTTTGCCTTCTAGCGGAGCCTTGATGTCCGCTCGGAACCTATCCCACTCGTGGTATGGTGGGATTCGAAGGAAGCGAATGAGCGAGAACAACTCTTCAACCTTGTTCATCATTGGCGTGCCAGTCATACACCACCTGTAAGTCGACTGGAGCTCTGTGGCAGCCCTTGACGTTTTGGTCTCCCTGTTTTTGATACATTGTGCTTCGTCGAGGATGCAGCGATACCACAATGAATCCTGGTCGAGCAAAACAATGTCGTCAGGCTTCTTGCCTCGCATTATGCCATTCTCGTCGCGAACGAGAGACTTCCTCCAGTTTTCCTTTCTGGAAAGCTCCGCCGCCAAGGTGCCGTAGGATGTCAAAACAACGTCGAACTGGCTGAGCTCTTTGTACTTCAGTCTCTTGCCAGCACCGTGATGAACGTGTACAGATAGCGCGTGGCGCCCGGATCTGATCTTGGTTTTGATTTCTCGTTCCCATTGTCTCATTAGAGCAACGGGGGCAAGAATCAAGGTAGTCTTTCTCCGCGGGTCCTCGGAAGGCCTGGACACAATGAGAGCGAGTGCTTGGATGGTTTTGCCCAAGCCCATGTCATCAGCAAGGATACCGCCTTTGGTTGACCCTTCCTCCATTTTCTTGAGCCAAGCAAGCCCCAGCTTCTGGTGTTCCATGAGTGGATGTACCATGGCTTCAGGAGTTCCTTCACGAAGATTGGGTGGGATTTCATCATCAGGGCGGATATTCGCTAGCATCTTCTTAAGATCCTCTTGGACGTCATGTTGATCAAAGTGCGGGTAGCCGTGACGGTTGTAAATACCGTAACGATCGTAATCGTCGAAAGACGGGTAAGCAGTGCGCCCAGTGAATGAAGGATATGCCCCTGGAACAGGCATGGGGCGGGAACTCGACGATGCAGAGCTGTATGGATCTATATGATGACCGTACACTCCAAAGGGATTTGGGCTGTCGATATTGAAACCCGTAGAAGATTCTCCTGACCGGGAGGACGTTGTACCGTGAAACAGTTGGTCGATCGCGTCAAGATCGTCACTATACCCACCGATGGCCGGAATACCGTTCTGCAGTGTATTGTAGATTGATCTTCCTGCATTCATCACCGCACTGCCTGCGGATGACATCCAAGATTGTTGCGATGGGATGCCAGAAGCAGAATTCGAGGCGTAGCTGTCATTGAGAGATTCTGGCAACGGAAGTGCTCTTCCAAAACTACGGTCCTGCCCAAGGGTTGAAGGTGTGCCGAAAGCATGTTGGTGAGGTCTCACGGGAAGTGGTCTCGGTTGGGACCTCATCTCCACAACGTCGTCATCATCGGTATCGCCACTAAGATCAATTACTTCGACGACATCATTGGAGCCACCAAATTGGGACGGCGGCTGAGGGCGGTTTGCGAAGGGCGTGTATGGAGACAAGCGGAGCGGTGTGCGAGAGTGTTCGGCCTTGACTGCATGTGGCCGAGCAGAGGTACTGGAATAAGGAAGAGGAGTCGGTTGGGTTGGGCGCGTGGTACCCATAGTGAACGTGGGCTGAGGTTGAGGTTGTGGCCGCCGGGCGTGGTCTGCCATCTGCCATGCGCCAGCGAGTTCGGCATCTTCGTTCGCAACTGCAGCGTTTGCCTCTTGGCGCCTCTTTTGCTCCATGTAGTTGGGAAAGTTCCTGTTCGGTGGCAATCTTGACATCCTGTTCGGCGCATGAGCGCTCCTCGTGTCGAGACCTCCTTCAAATGTCTCCAACGAGTCGGACGAATTCGGAGTACCCGGAGTGGTTGCAGCTGGGCTAGGAACCGGAGTGGATCGCAGGGATTTGGCGGCATGGTCGGACGAGAGAGTATCGTCGACGGGGCGGATGCGTTTGCGCGAAGAAGGCGGAGCTGGAGTATGCGGAAAGGGAAGGTTGCGGTTCAATCCGTTTGCGAGCGGTGAAGGATGCGACGGCGCTGCTCTGCTCGGATCATGTTGCCGCACGCGTGTCGAGTCGGCCAGCGACTGGAGCTGTTGAAGCTCCTGTTCCTTTGCGAGCTTGTCCTGGTGGTAGAAAGCGGAGGACGTGTCCAGGGTCTCGATGAGCATTCGGAGAAAGATGATCTCCTCTTCGACCTGCTCGACGGTCGGGTTCTTCGGTAGATTGTTCATGGTCGTCGGCGGGACAAAGAAAGTTAAGACCTTGAAGGGGTTTCTGGGAAGGGGTCAAAGTCAGCTGAGGCTGAGTGTGTGAGAGAGAGGGCAGGCTGTCGCATACTCGACTGGTCGCAGCGGAGGGTCAATGGCGCTCAAGCGCTGGGCAGGCTCGGACAAGCGCGCATGGACAGTGTCGGGGGCGAAAGGTCGGGAAGAAAGGAGCGGCGGAGCGTCGGGCGGGTGGTGAGGTAGGCGGCAGGACGTGGACGTGGGTGAGTTCATAAAGCCGCGTTCGCACCTGACCTGACCCGCGGTGACGGCACTGGGCAATTCGCCGACTGTGGGGAGGGAGCCTGAGTCAACCGCAACGGGGCCCCGGCACCACCCATGGATTTGTACTTCAGCCGGCCCATGTCGCACAACAATGCAGGGCGGCCGGTGAGCTGCTTCGCCTTTCCACTGTGCGCCGCCTCTTCTCCGCAACCGGTGAAGGGTGCATGCCTGCTCGTCACGGCTGCCTGGCCCAAGAGTCGCACAGTCTGCCTGGCCGTTTGGAAAAGGCGTCATTGAATTGCTATCAGTCTGCATCGTCCATTCCATATATGTGTGCTCTCTCCCGCTCTCCCAACCGCCTCACCGACAAAAGACAAACAAAACGAGTGGTCGTATTCCGCTTCCGCCCTTCCCGCCTCAGCTACTGCATGCTCCCGCCGCACGCCTAAGCGGGCGGGTTGTTCTGGCCAGCCGGCGCAGTGCAGTTGCACCAAGACGTGTGGTCGCAGGCCGGGCTGTGGGTACGTTAGTACACGACATGACGTCCGTTCTTGTCGAGCAAGGAATCTTAAAAATAGTCGCTCTGCCCCAGTACGTGTAACACCCACTAGGCGACAACGAATATTCTTTTCACTTCTATCAGAAAGAGAAGACATACCAAGGCTTAATCCACTCTTGAGTGCGAGCGTCGAGGCAGTTGCGCCAGTAGTGGCAAGCTCCGCAAGAGGAAGGAGAATAGTCGGCGTTGCATGCAGGCGTAGTAACCTGAGGCTCAGCGACGGGGCTGGCCTGGACGGCGAGCATGCCGGCGAGGATGGTGAGAGCGAAGGTGGAGAATTGCATGTTGGCTTGAGTGTTGTTCGAAAGAGGAGGTTGTTGTCTTTTTCCTTGCTGTTGTTGTTGCTGTGGGCTGTGGGCTGTGGGCTGTAGACTGGAGTGCTGCTGGACACTTCGAAGGACTTGAGGTTGCCTTTATATGTCCAGTGCGAGTCTACTATCATGCTCCGCCCTCGAATCCAACATACGCCCTTTGAGAAGACTATGATCGTGTGGTCATACGAGCTGACTAGACCCTCCCAGATACGACGTTCATATGGTCCATCTCACCAAGTTTGAGAGTCTATCTCCCACACAGTCGGGTTTCGAGGAAGGAACTCTGGTTACTCTAGCCAAACAGGCAATAGGGTCGAGGACATGGCTGGGTGTGGTGGCTGTGAGACGGATACTTGTGTAAGCCTACTATGCACCTGGTAAGACCAAACTCTGTTCACTGGTTCTGGACGGCCTATGTGCACATGTAATACAGACTGGAGTCCATGGCTTCAACGAGGTGTTGCGGCCTTTTTTCTTCTTCAAACACAATGTACTCTTGATTGTGGTGGTAGCTCTGGTAGAACGAGTATTGTGTGACGGTACTATGGCAAGCTGAGCATGGCAGGTACGTGAATGAAGACGACGACCAAGACGGTCGAGTAGCTAATATTAGTGCTTACTCGTGTGCTGACACGATTTGAGAAGGACACATGATGATGATGGAGAAGAATACAGGGCGCTCGTAATGCAAGGTAAGCAGAAAGCGGGGTGGAGAGATGCCGATACAGAAAGGGGGAAAAGGTAGTGGTGGAACAGATGCAAGAGTCCGGGTAGACCGCGCGTGGCGCGGCTCCCGGTACCGACAGCGGCTCAGTGGATCCGCTTCGCGTTACGTCACATACACCTTTCTCTCGCCGCCGCCGACACGCCCAACACACATCCCAGACAGCTGGCATGCTCAAGCTCAAGCTCTTTCGCCAGCAAACAACATGGTGCGCACGAGATCGAGCATGGCGCAGCTAACACCGAGTCCAGCTTCGGGCAAGCAACAAGATATGCTTGGCTCTCCAGCAAGCTTCGATGGCAAGCTCGAGAAATTCCAATACGTTGCCACCGACCCGCCAACAAACCCTAGCAAAGCATCGCCGGCTCTCCAGGGCGGTGACATGCCAGGCCGCGCCAATAACTCTTTGAAGCGCACACACGCGCAACGTCTCACGGCTGAGTCGGACGCTACGCCTCAATCGCCCTCACCAACGAAGCGGCGCCGCACGCCCAGCAAATACGCGCATCCTTCCAAATACGCGCACCTCAAGCCGCTCACGGACATCCTGGAACCGAACCTCATCTGTGTCTTCGTTGGCACCAACCCCGGCGTCCGGACCGCCACCGCCGGCCATGCCTATGCCCACCCTTCGAATCATTTCTGGAAGCTGTTACACTCATCCGGATGTACGGATCGAAGGTGTAAGCCGGAAGAGGATGTGGATCTGCCTAGACTGTACTCTATGGGTAACACAAACATCGTGGAGAGGCCAACTAAAGATGCTGCGGAGCTGAGTAAGGCCGAGATGGCGGCTGGAACACCAATACTAGATGCCAAGTTCAGGGAATACAAGCCCGAGGCAGTGTGCATTGTTGGAAAAGGCATTTGGGAAGCCATATGGCGGTACCGTCATGGCAAAAACCCTACAAAAAATGAATTCAAGTATGGCTGGCAAGAAGAAAAAGAGAACATGGGCCAAAGCGAGGATGGTGAAGGAGAGCTCGATGCCAAAGGCAATCCGTGGAAAGGATCACGCGTCTTTGTCACTACTAGCACGAGTGGATTGTCTGCTTCCACAAGGCCCTCTGAGAAAGAAGCCATCTGGAGACCGTTTGGGGAGTGGGTGAAGCAGAGGAGAGCGGAACGTTCGGCTTCGGGGTCAGTGCCCAGCTGAACGTGCCACATGCGCCGTCTGTTGCTCAGACGACAAACCACACCGGATGCTTCGTGAATTACAAAAGATCTGTCATCAGATGAGGCACATTCTGGATTGGCAAGCCCTAGGTTACTCGCGCATGCTCTTGACGTGGGTCCATGGCCTTTGACATGTCAAACCCGATGGACACCTACCGCCGGATTTCAAGAAAACAAAGAAAGGTAGCATCACCTCGTGAGCAATTGGGGACTGGGCTGGTCCGGATCGGTCAAAGCAAAAGGTGTAACATCCAGAGTGCGGAGTATACTTGGGGCCCGGACCTAACGCTTTAGCTCATGCCCGATTTACTGATGCAACTTAGCCCTGGACGCATAAATATTGCATATGTACGTACTCATAGAACTACTGTATGCGGTTACAGTAAACTAGTAGACTTATGATAGCGCCAGGCATGAAAGCGAACTCGTTCCTGCAGATCCGATGCTAGTCTGCAAAAGCTGTAGCACACTTTGCGGTGAAACAGAACCCAGTTTGTGACACGACGCTTTTTGGTCGGTCTGCACCACCTTGCCGATGCATTTCTATTGGCGGCTCGCTTGCTGTCGGCTAGTTCTGGGAATCGAAGTTATGCTGCTATGCCGGGTCTAGAATGTCATAAAGCCACTTTGTGTGATGGTCATAGCTTTGTTCTTGGACAACAGAGTTGCCTGCCGTCTGTGAGTACAGGTCTTATTGAGTGCGGAGTCAGGCCTACTACGCTTGATGTCAGGATATGTTTGAGCAACAGCCGAAGGAAAGTGCGGTGAAGCAGTCGAAGTTGTTCCAATTCCTCACCAACCGGCGAACTTCCTCGCTATCATATCCACACATTGTATCCATGTGTTTCTCTGTTTGAAATCAACATCCTGCCTCACTAGACTAGAGAGTCGGCAGATGAAATCTCAGTGAGGAGACTGGGGCCTCATTTTTACTCAAGCCTTTGTGTCGAGGCGTCTTTTGCGTGTTATACAACCTTTGGTGATCCTGTTACCCCAAAATGTCAGTTGCGACGCATCCACTTGAGCTAATTTACAATATCGTATGATGTCCTGAGGCGAAGGAAGACAATATCAGAAAAGCGGCGTTATTAATGTGTAGGCCCAGAGAAAGTACTCAAAGCACCGCTGAGTCGTACCGACGCATCTTCAGCCTGTTCGGGCATGTCATCCAAGCCAAAACCTAGTATTTCAGCGGTGTCTACGGTTTGTTACTGTCCACATTTCATCAAATGCTCCGACAGTATATTGTAAAGCTCGCTGTTGACCTGAGAGTACCAGATAGTTGATGATCTTGGGACACTATGTTCATCCATTCTGACTTTTCGTATACCTGCTGGGTATTCTCTAGGAAGAAATGAGGAAGTTTTATAGAGGACGTGGGGCTGTATATGTTAGGATGCGAAGTATTTTATGTGGGCATGAAGGTAAAATGTATGAGGGTACGAAGTAGTTTGCGTGGGTATGAAGATACGAAGACAGGAAAGTGTGAGAGTAATCGAAGAAGGTATGGTGGTATGAAGGTAAATGGGCATTGAAATAAGTTGTATACCCATGCAGATTTAATAGTACATGGTGGTTAACAAGGTTAAAAAGAATGAGCAAAATGGTCGGCCTGCTTCATCCATTCGGCTAATGTCTTTTGCGACGTATGTATTTGCCTTTGCCAAAGCTGCTCCACGGTTTACTAACTCGAGAAATTTTGAAGCGATTCATTGTGTTGATTTTGTTGTAGTTCAGACCGTCCACTATGCTTTAGGTACTGAGGCTCTGGAGATATTAGAGTTTAGTCTATGATTATGCGTCTGATAAGTAAATGCGGATTTTCTAAAATTATGTTGCCATAAGATTTGTCGCCCGGGGGTTTTTGAAGGAACACCTAGTCTTTCAAGGCTCTTGAAAATCGTTCAGAGTGTTGCTTTCGGGATGGACAGTGAGGCAATTTGCCGCACGTAGTCTTTAGATAGTAATCAAAGTGGCTCTCAGAAAATCAGCAAAAAAGCTTTGTTCTGAGGCCATAAAGTTTCCATAGTTTAGCTATTGCATGTCAGCATCAAGGGCGCATGACAATTGATACTTAAAGAAGCATGCAGGTGCGGTTATGTCGCTTGGCGCATGTAGATGTGCAGATTCGAAGTGCTGATTGACATTGGTGTGACAGTGTATTCTGTTTTTCGCCTCGCATATTGCTTCTGTTAGAGCAGCATAGTGATCGATTTTTATATTCGCTGCCAGGAATGTGCGAATCGATACGTGGGGAAGCGAATATCGTCCGGACTACTGACCTTGCGATGGCCTGAATTTGTTTTTTTGAAGTGCCTGCGTCCACCTCCAGAGTATCATGTTAAAAGGTCCGAGTAAAACTTATCATAGAGCGTTAAAGCATGATTTGTTCCTTGCAAGCAATGCTGATGCCTTCTAGTGTCTGGTTGTAATTTGTTCGCAATACCTAACTTGGGCGACTGATCGTCCTCCTCGTAACCCGGAGATTGGCACCTGCATGGGACTCAGTCGTCGTCACAGCGCGAATTTGATAGCAGCGGGAAGCGAGATCCTGTTCGCCGGTGGCGTCTCAGCAACCAACCAGCCTATCACAGATGGATGGCAGTGCATGCGAGCCCATGTCCAGGTGCTCGGAGAGAAAATCGCGACTGGTTGACGAGAACCTGGATGTCAGCAGCTGATGTGGAGAGGAGGCCTGGGGGACACGATCGGGTCCCCTCTTTTCAACCCCAGTGCACGCGCCACCTTGTGAGCAGCACTGAAAACCTTAGTATACCTTAAATCGTTTTCGCTCAACCTCATTCCTCGATGTCGCAAACAAAGTCGACGACTGTTACAAACATGCGAAGACTTTCTCAATTTACAGCTGCTCTTCAGCTGCTTGGCATGTAGATCAGTGCCTGGTGTCTTGTTCGCTGCCATCATATTGTCATCCGCTGCTTGCGCTCTACCCGTGTCAGGACGATTGAAAATGCCTCATCCAGGCGTATCTTGAACAAGACACACCGCCGCAGGCCTAGGCAGGCCTGGGCTACCTCGCCGCTTTCATGTACGCTGATGTAGCAGCTGAATGCGTTTTCCTGTGCACGCAGCCACTCAGCCGTGTTGAAGCAACAGGTTCGAAAATCGCGCAGCTACGCAGATGACATAGTCCACCAGAATGCGACGGATATAAATTATGATTCACAATGAGCCAGTTGTGCTTCCTAAGCCCTCCTGAAGTCTCCTGGTTTGCACTCTCGGTTCATCGTTTGTTCTCGCTGTTGTCAGTTTCACAGTCTGATTGCCTGTCGCCGCTGTGTGGAATCGCCTGCAGTAACCTCTCACAATGTCTGATTCTGCCTCCGCCGCTCAAACTGCAGAGGAAAGACCGGACCCACTTGAGGAGGATGTTACCGAGGTTGCAAAATCCTCCCACATCCGCTATGCAGAGGATATTGAAGCTGGCACTCGGCGTGGCTTGAAGCGCAGAGGCTCTGAGTCTTCTTTGTCGATACGTACGATACGATCGGTGTCTCGTGCGCGCCGTGAAGTTGACCCTGGTGTCGCCCTTCCAATCGAATTTCGGACTCTGTTCGTAACCCCGATCAGCATGTTGCGTACAGTCTTAGCTGACACTCGACCAGTTCATTCAATGTTGAACAGAGCCAAACTCGGGAAGAACCAGAACTTCCCTTGAAGGGAGATGTCAGTAAAGATGATGCAGTTTTGGGTATTTCCACATGCCACATACAACGCTTTTGTATGCTAACTTTGCAGACTTCGCCACCCTTGACTGGCACATAATAAATCCTGTTGAGCTTTGTACCCGTCTCTCTACGTCCCTGTCTTTTGGCCTGTCTTCCGATGCTGCAATTCGGAAAATTGAGGAATATGGGCCCAACGTACCATCGCCTCCACCGTCAAGGTGGTTCCGTAAACTCATCGCATACTTCTTTGGCGGCTTTGGATCAATCCTTCTGACAGCTTCTATACTCGTCTTCGTTGCTTGGAAACCACTAGGACGGCCACCAGCCCAGGCCAATCTTGCGCTGGCAATCGTGCTTGCCGTCGTTTTTGTGGCACAAGCCTTCTTTAACTTCTACCAAGGTATAATCAGAAACAAATTTACATGTAATACACAGCATCTAATATGGCCTTATAGATTGGTCTAGCTCGCGGGTCATGTCTTCTATCAAAACTATGCTTCCAGAAGAATGCATACTGTTGCGTGAAGGCACCAAAAAACAATATAGTGGTGCTGATATCGTGCCGGGCGACGTCTTGTACATCAAGATGGGCGATAAACTACCTGCCGATATCCGCTTTGTGGAGGTTTCTCCGGACGTCAAGTTTGATCGCTCGATACTTACTGGTGAAACCTTGCCTTTACGCGGTACGGTTGATTCTGTAAGTTATTCGATCTCAAGCTTGTCACCCACACTGATTGTTGCAGACCGACGACAACTTTCTAGAGACCTCATGTATTGGTTTAGCAGGAACACATTGCGTCTCAGGATCCGCGGTTGGCGTTGTGATCGGCACTGGAGACCGCTCGGTCTTTGGGCGTCTTGCAAAACTTACCAGCACACCTAAGCGTGGCCTCACTACCCTTGAAAAGGAGATCTACTACTTTGTCGCCATAGTAGTCTCAATGATGGTGCTTATGGTTGTTTTGGTCATCGCCGTCTGGGCTGGATGGCTAAGAAAATCACACCCCGACTGGATTTCTGTCCCCATGCTTATCGTCGACTGCGTTAGTGTAGCAGTGGCTTTCATTCCCGAGGTTTGACACATACGACTATCAGCATAAGAATACTGCTAATTGGAGCGCAGGGTCTTCCTATCGCCGTAACTGCCAGCTTAACCATCACAGCAAATATTATGAGGAAGAACTCCGTTCTTTGCAAATCCCTAAAGACAGTAGAAACCCTTGGCTCCGTCAGCGTTATCTGCTCCGACAAAACAGGCACCTTGACCAAAAACCAAATGCGTGTTACCGATTGCCTCGTTGGTCGCGATGCCGTGAGCGCTGCAGAGGCTCATGGAAAGCTTCAACTTTCTCGTATCTCTTTCAATGTGGCCGAGCCATCTCAGGGCTGCAGACAGCTCTCTCTTGTCGGCACCATGTGTAACGCGGGCGAGTTCGACGCTTCCACCAGCCAGCTTCCGGTATCCGAGCGTAAAGTCAACGGCGATGCTACCGATACGGCCATTCTACGTTTCTCAGAGGGGATATCCTCTGTGCACGAAACAAGACAGAAGTGGCGCAATGTCTTTCGCGTCGCGTTCAACAGCAAGAACAAGTTTATGATACAGGTTACGCAGCGTAACGTCTTCGACCTGGCAAAAGACGCTTTGACTGATGTGGAAAACCCCAAGCCTGACGACATGGTTCTGATGATCAAAGGTGCCCCCGATATACTGCTTCCTAGGTGCTCGCGATATACGGACTATGATGGCTGCCCGCAGCCGATGGAAGACAAAGATATCAAATTCATTGAGCTCGCAAAGGACATCTGGTCCAAGCAAGGAAAACGCGTTATTCTGCTCGCACAGAAGATATTGCCCAGGGAGGTCACCGAGCTCTCGGTCCAATCAAGGGAATTCGAGAACAAGGTGATGGAGGAAGCCACCGGGGGCCTGCTCCTCATCGGATTAGTTGCCATTGTGGACCCGCCTAGGGATGAAATCCCCGAAGTCGTTCGCACCCTGCGCGGTGCCGGTATCAAGATCTTCATGGTCACCGGTGACTTCCAGCTGACTGCAGCGGCCATCGCTGCAGAATGTGGCATTATTACCAACCCTACCGAGGAAATCCACGACGTGTCTGCTTTAGCTTTCAAAGACTACCACTCTAGCCCAGGACGTGTAAACACTGTCCCGGCTTCTTCAAAACCCGACACTGCACGTATTCTGCCTTCATCGCAACTCGACGACATACACCCACCGCGATCTATTGTCCTCAATGGTTCAGATCTCACCGCTCTAAACCAAGACCAATGGGATGGTCTCTGCGAATACGACGAGATCGTATTTGCTCGTACTACACCTGAGCAGAAGCTTCGCATCGTCACTGAGCTCCAAGCTCGCCATGAGACTGTCGGTATGACAGGTGATGGTGTAAACGACGCACCCTCACTCAAACAAGCCGACATTGGCATTGCCATGGGAAGTGGATCCGACATCGCCATCGAAGCAGCCGACATGGTGCTTCTCGAGTCCTTCTCTGCCGTGGTCGAAGCAGTCAAGTACGGCCGTGTCGTTTTCGACAACTTGAAGAAGACTATCTGCTACCTCCTTCCCGCCGGCAGCTTCTCCGAGTTCTGGCCTGTCATGACAAACGTGGTATTCGGGCTGCCGCAGATCCTGTCGTCCTTCCTCATGATCATCATCTGCTGCTTCACTGACTGCGCCGCTGCCACCGCAATTGCGTACGAGAAGCCCGAAGCCGATGCCCTCTTGCAGCGCCCTCGCAATCCTCGCAAAGACCGCCTCGTTGACTGGAGGCTTATCATGCATGCCTATGGGTTTGTCGGAATCATGCAGAGTGTAACTTCCTTCGCCATGTCGTACTGGTACGCCCAACGCCGCGGACTCCCGTTCAGCATCTTATGGTTCGGCTTCGGCGCTGTCCCTGACGGCATGTCGAAGGAAGAATACACGCAGATCCTAAACACAGCCAGCTCCATCTACTTTATCAACTTGGTGGTGATGCAGTGGTTCAACCTGATGGCTGTCCGCACGCGGCGTCTTTCGCTGATCCAGCATCCTCCATTTGGTCGTAAGGCTACTCGGAATTTGTGGTTGTTCCCGGCGATTATCTTCGGATTGTTGGTCGCTATCCTCTTCCTGTACGAACCGAAACTGCAAGACGTGCTGGATACCGCGGGTGTGCCGGTGGAGCACTGGTTTTTGCCTATGGCGTTTGGCATGGGGCTTCTGTTGCTTGATGAGGGGAGAAAGCATGTCGCTAGGAAGTGGCCAAGAAGCTTTGTTGCAAAGATCGCTTGGTAGGAGGTTGTTTTGGCTTACGGCTTATAACTACTGCGACTTGGAACATATGTCTAAAGCAAGGCAATTAATTGATCAACAATGCGGATATGGAAAACCTATATTGCTGATAGACCGAGATATGGTCGGATCGGTCAATTTGTATATGGCCACTTTTAGCATGCGGCTGTTGCCGTGCTCAGGCCGATAGTAAAATTCAAATATTGGCCGGGGAGGCCGCGCCCCAGAGAGTGCTACTATGTAAGTTAAGGCCTTGAAAGACCTTTCAACGCCAATATGAGACTATAGTAGCCACTATTATTTCCTGATTCACCATAAAAACAACTCGTCAAACAGCTAACCGGCCTAGTTAATAGTATTTCCTACGCTTGTTTAATCATTGTAGTTTCGTTTATGCAAGCAAGTTCTTCCAACTTGGAACGAGATTACAGAAACAGGTTTTCCACCCGGTGTCGATATAGTTTTGTGTAACGGTCAGCAGCCACCAAATTGTCAGCTGCCCAAGGCAGACCTTCAGCCTTTACTCGCCCATAACGTTTGTTTTTAGCCTTACCCCGCCTTCTTATCTTCCTCCGCGGTTCTGATTGTTACAACAGTCTCTGCTGCTCCGGCTTTGGTCATTACCGCTCGATTCCTGATTATCGTTCCTCCGCACCAAGCACGCTTTTCGGACCACTCCGTACTCATTAGCTGACGAGAGAAAGCCACTTCTGTGTGGCACTTTCGGATCCAACGCCGCCAGGTCAAGATGTCGGAAGTGCCTGACACGGGCATTAGTGTTGTTTGGGAAGCTCCAGAGGGGAAATCAGTCGTTGAGTCAGTCATACACCTTCTTGAGATTGCACATCCAAACCATTCTAGTGCCGAGCAGTACAACTTACCTAACTATCAGTATTGTCTTTGTGCATGGCCTACAAGGTCACCCCTTACAGGACATGGACGCAGAGAACGGCTCAAAACCCTCGTAGCGAACCATCATCAGTAGGGGCTAAGCCTAGATCCAGGTGAACGAAATCTTCGAGCCCTTTTTCTTTTTTCTCAAAAAGAACACAAGCAAAATCTACCGAACGAGTCCGCTATGCAACTTCCGAAGATGAGGTTGCCTCCGACTATGAGACTGATAAGGGGCATTATCAGCGACCTATATTCTGGCCGGCCGATCTACTTCCAAACGACTGTCCAAAAGCTCGTATTATAACATGGGGCTATGACAGCAAAATCACAAATCACTTCATGGATCAGACAAACAAGAACAACATCTTTTCTCATGGAAAAGATCTCCTCTTTGCTCTGGACCGAGAAAGAAAGATTGATAAGCCGCTCATATTTGTGGCACATTCTCTTGGAGGAATTATGGTCAAAGAGATGCGCGAGTTTAGTAGCACTTCACTAATTTCTGTGGCCCATATACTCTAACTATGATCGTGACAGGCTCTTGCCATCTCATTCCAATCCTCAGAGAAGGAAATATCCAATTTCGTAAACTCAACAGCGGCTGTCGTCTTTTTAGGAACGCCACAACGTGGCAGTGCCAATTTCGCAAACCTTGGAGATATCGCACGAAAAGCTGCCAGCTTTGTTGGGATGGGCACGAATCCTCTAATTTTGGATTCTTTAGGTCTCAAGAATTCAGACCTCGAGCGTTGCCAGGATTCCTTCACCAACTTGTGGAGGATACTCGATTTTCGTGTAAAAACATTCCAGGAACCAAATGCCGTTACCTCTGTTGGTGTAGGCTTGCTAAATGAAAAGGTAATTAGGAACAAAACTCTTTTGGGGCTTTGGGCTGCCACGACTGATTGTATAACAGGTCGTTCCGAATATATCGTCATGCCTAGGTGATCCGAGGGAGCATGCGGAGTCCATTGAAGCCAACCACATGGAGATGTGCAGGTTTAGCGGCACTGATGATCCAAATTACCGGAAAGTCGGGGGGGGGGGCTTAGAAAGATGGTTCGTGATATCCTTTCAATGGTGGGAAACCAGAGAAAGGTAGATCTAGATGCGAAAGGTTAGGCGCCTTGCAGTACGGCATGAAATTCTGTAACCCGATGTGCTGACTTGTAAAGCGAGGCCCACTTTTACTGCCGAGGAAAAGGGTGAGTAGCTTCTCCAGCTTCTAGTACTTTAATATTGACCTGTCAATCCAACCTAGCCTGCCTCCAATCATTGAGTTTCACAGAGCTAGATACTCGTTATCATACAATCGACACACCACTTGCAGGCACATGCGATTGGCTGTTCGAATTGTTAGAATACAAGAACTGGCAAAGTCGCGAGAACTTGAACAATCACCATGGCCTGCTCTGGATCAAAGGAAAGCCTGGTTCAGGAAAATCAAAAATCATCAAAGAGGCACTCCATCGTCTAAGACTGGAGGCTGGAGAGGAAGAGATTTATACGGCGAGTTTCTTCTTTAATGCTCGCGGCGGCGAGCTTGCAAAGAGCCCTCTCGGCCTTTACCGGTCACTAGTGCATCAGTTGCTATGCCAGTCTCCATCACAGCTCTCCTCATTTCTGGGACGCTATCGCAGAAAGAGCGATACACTCGGTTCTGATTGGGAATGGCACTCCACGGAGCTTGAAGAAGTCATTCTCAATATGTTCAGTAACCCCAGAATGGACGCTACTACTCTCTTCATTGATGCGCTTGACGAATGTGCCGACGATAAAATGCGATGCGTTACTGGTTTTCTTGAGAAGTTGACGGACCACGCCTTCATTAATGGAGTACCACTCAATGTCTGCATCACGAGTCGGGATTATCCAACTGTATGCCTCACCTTTTGTTCTGAGATTGCCATGCAGGACGGCAATGGGACAGACATAAAACTCTATGTAGAGCAAAAGCTCTCCAAACACGACCAATCATTGCAACCACTAGAATCTGCCATAATTGAGAAATCTGCAGGGGTATTCCTCTGGGTTGTTCTTGTGGTAGATATCTTGCGCCGAGATATGGACAACGGAAAAAGCCCTAAGTGGATGCTTAAAAGGCTGCAAGAATTACCACCGGAACTCAAACACCTATTTGCTCAGATCCTTAGCAATCTTACGCCAGAGGACCTGGACACTACACTGAGGCTATTTCAATGAGTCCTGTTTGCTGCAAGGCCATTGAGAATGAGCGAGTGGCAACATATCCTCCCCTTCATGAAAAGACCAAACTTTGAATCATTAGAGGAATGTAGTAAGTCTCCTGAGTATACCTCGAATAATGATCAGCTCGAAAAACAAATTCGGAGCCTATCCAAGGGTTTGGTCGAAGTGAAGATGCACCACCATTCGGTTATCCAAGATTCTCCCCTTGATGAAACAGACTCTTTGCATGCTAATCCTGGATCCTTGTTTCAAGACAGAGATGAGGACAGGATTGTACAGTTTATTCATGAGTCTGTTCGGGAATTCTTTCTTAACGGTGACGGCTTTCACGTTTTCGGTCAACAGACAAAAATCGACCCCACCGGTACTGGGCATCTAACGATCATGGAGACTTGTCTTGATTTTATTAAGATCACAGAACTGGATACTTTTATCCAGGGCCACGCCGAAGCAAAAACATCAAAATCGAAAACCCTACGTTCAATCTTAGCAGACTCAAGTGGTTCTCTCTCAAGTCGCTCTGACGACTTGAGCGAAGCAAGTTTTGCTACTTCTGCCTCAAGTAGCTTGTACGAGAATAAACGGGCCACATCAATCCCGCAAGTAAAATCAGCCGCGTCTTCCGATCTCGACTATGACCTTGTCGACCACGACGAGATTAGCACTTCATCAGCCGTACCAAACAGTCGCCATCTAGGCTCTAAGAAAAAACCAGCACAAGGTGTCCAGAAGATTAACGCTTCATCATCAATTTCCTTGAAGGGAAGCAAGCCAGTTTCGCATGATCATGCAAATGCCGAATCACTTGAAGGGGAATCTGTCTTGCAAAATTGGCTGGGCGATCTTGAGAGCATTTCCTCGGATATGGTTCACAGGACCTTCAGTCATCAACAGTCCAACACTGGTCATTCTGAGGAGCTCAAAGAATACCCTCAGTTTCTACTCTACGCAGAAAACCACTTGTTGGACCATGCTATACTTGCCACAAAGTTTGGTGCGGACCCAACACAAATCGTCAGAAATTTTCGTGAAAAAAGATAACTGGAAACGGTGGCTTGCCCTGAAGGAAAACATGCCACAAGACACGACGATGTTATATCATGCTTGCACGCTCAATCTCTTCTCTTGGGTTGAGGCCCTTCTTGATATGGGCGAAAATTGTAACATTGAAGGAGGCAAGCTACAATTCCCTTTACACGTGGCAGTCAAATTAGGCCAGAACCAGATCATCTCTCTGCTTTTAGAGCATGGGGCCAACGTATACTCCAAGGACACCAAGGGACGGACTGCTATCCACTTTGCGGCTGCATCATCAAATCGTTCATCCGTCTCTAAGATTCTTAACGCTATGGGAAGACAAGGCCATTTCCCAAATAGCGATCGTGAAAAAGTGGTCAAGTCGCAGCGTTCAAAAGGGATCGGATCAGATGGAAACTATAATATAGGTGGCATCCCGATTAACTATGCTCTGAATGGCAACTTTATGCTGCGATGGCCTAATGTCGTCAGTTCACTGGACACTTCTCTGCGAACTCCACTTCATTTCGCTACTCAAAACTCTCATGCGGGCGCCCTGAGAGAGCTCTTGAGGCGGGGAGCTTACGTGAATGTTCAAGATAAGCATGGTGATACACCCCTCCATCTTGCATGCCGCAGGGATAGGCCCGTCTTGAGCGTATGTGAAGCTCTTCTCGAGGCCGGTGGATGGTTCAATAACAGAAACCATAAGGGGGATTCTCCTTTGACTATTGCTAAGAAGAGCGGACGGGATGATTTGGTTCAATTAATCACCAGTCATAACAATTTCTTGGACAGCGACAGTGAGACCGAAGTTTTTGGAAGGAAAAAATGAGAGAGGCTATGATTTTGTGCAATATCCCTCGGGGGAGGCAAGATTGTAATTGAAAGAACAAAGCGTAAAAGAATGATCCACTGAGCAATTTCTTTGACACAGCCTCAATATACTACTCCGCTGACAAAGGATCTGGCTTCACACCACCCTCACTCATTAGTGATGTCAGCTGAATGTGCATGTATAAAAGAACTTGGGTTGTAAGACAAACATGTCCAGCTTGTATTCTAACAACTCCCGTTACAAAGTTTCTTCTACAAGTATATAATTACGTGACAATTTGCTACCTAGTGCAGGCCATAACCAAGCACATCTTCGAAACACTGAGCACCAGTCACCTCGAAAGCACAAAACGACGAACGACAACACCACAAGCAGCAACCACACCACTAGAGCCATGTCGGACAACTCACTCGCAGTAGCATTCGGAGGTCTTGGCGTAAGAGACGAATTCCCGTCTACCTACAGGATCTGGGACGACGGCCCCAAGCCCTGTAACCGAGACCTGCAGTCGCACGCAGAGCACGAAGCGCGCAAGGCGGAGCTACGCTCGTTCTACGAGCAGCTGAAGCACGAAGAAGTGGAAGTCACTGTTGCGTGCGCTTACTTCAACGTGATGCTGATGGCGCACAAGTACAACAAAGTCGTCGATGAGTACCACGAGGAGCGGCAGCGGCTTATAGCCGTGGACGTCGACATTGTGATGATGTGGCCGAGCGTACGCATGTTCGCGCGGGCGGCCAAGCGGACGGCGGTCGAGGGCGTAGCGATCGAGGACTTGGACGATCAGGCAAGCATTGTGAAGGCGTACGAGTACTCCCGCGACCGTGACTTCGAAAGCCTTCTTGCTGCTGTTTCGCACCTCTTCCGTGAAGGCCACTTGCTCTGGGAGGCGCGGCGTGCGCTGAAGAGCCGCATCCAAATCCTCAAGCGATACAGGGAGCAGCTGAAGATTGCCGAGACTGACCACAAGGCGAGCGTCGAGATTGCGTCCCTAAGATCGCGGTTGGGGCGGGAGCAAGGGCAGCCTGAGGCGACGTTGGAGCATCTGCTGCTCTTGGCTGATCATCTCTCTCAGCTCGATTTGAAAGACCGTTCCTCCGTGGCGGCTGAACTGTTCCTTGACAGACTTGTGGCTCTCAGAGTTTGTGTGGCCGAGGAGCAGGCGAAGATGGAGGAAATACAGGTCTCGGAGTGTGAGGCCTGGAATGCGGTTTGTAACGTGCTCAGGGAGGAGGGAAGAGGTGAGGAGTAGATGGAGGATTAGAGAGGGGAAGTAGAGTGCTACAATCGAAGGGTAGGTTGTTATCCATCCCTACAGTGAATGGTACTCAGCGATCCCTGTCTATCCTCTTCGTCTACTGGTTGAGTAGCTATTCATTCCTCTAATAACTGCGATGTTTTCCCTTTCTTTTCCTTTTAAAGACTGACTGATGTGCTCTTCCTCCCTTCCTATACTAGTTGAGTAGTTGTCCTCTCTTTCTACACTGACTGAGCCTTTCCTTGAGAAAAGCACAAAAGAACAAAAAAAGGCGTAAAAACTAAAAATACCAAAAAAAAGGTAGGATGCTTTTTTTCTCTTACAGTACGGTGGGAGGCTTTTTCTTTTGCGACACTAAAAAATCTAGAAAAATACAAAAAATCATGAAAGTAGAAAAATACGAAAAAGGCGGTTTCCTTTGTATAACTTGTGCCCATGACTTCTGTGACAGTGATATATGCTCCTGTGAGTAGATGAGGATGCTCGCTATATTTGGTTTTACCCCTACATAGGCCTTGAGCGTAAGCTCCGCTAAGCAGATGAGAACGCTCGCTACGGATTACTACTGACAAAAACCTGGAGCTTACGCCTATGGGAGCATGTAAACTGTAACAACATCTGTACTAAATACCATGATAGAATGAGTAGCAAATCGAATGTCATTCCCAAAAGTCCATATACAGAACTTAATTAATAGGTATTCGCTCCCATGAAAGCGCTTATAGGTTGTGCGTTACCTAAACCTCTTTAGGTGTCTCGAGTAAGAGTAAGGTTAACGATACGCATCTTAATGAGCTGAACGGTGTCAGTGAGACGTAGAAAAGTTTATTTTGTAATCTACGCTCTGATACGGACTAAATTTACTCGGCCGTTCCTTCTCTTACTAATTATTGGAGACCTAGCGGGGGTTTACACGAGGACATCCGAGCCAGCAGCAGCAGAAGAGGGCGGGCGTGGTTAGAGGGTTGATGCTGGACCTCTTCATTGGGTGCGTTCTCGTTCAGAATGGCATTGTTCCGAACAGTCTGTGTCAGACGAGAGTTGATAATCTTTGGCAGCAGATTTAGCAGCGCGCGTATGGCTAGCCCAAATTTCTTTCTGTCTTTTGCGAGGTTGGTTATCCATGTCGTGAATTGTTGCTTCAATCTCGCTCATCGGCTTGTCCCTGAAAATTCTCTTCTTCCGCCAAGCTAAAGATGAACCTCTGGCGTTGCTTTCGTCATCGTCACCAGCATCATCGTCCGCGTCATCGTTCTCATGAGAGCACTTCTTGTGAGACTTTGGTCCACTTTGATTAGGCGCAAACAAACCGCCAGGGTCACCGTCCTCAGACTCGGATACATCTGGGACCGGCTGTGGTCTGACAAGTTGGTATTGCCTGTTGTGCTAGGCTGGAAATTTTGCAAGTCGCAGCCATGCTGTCATGAAATTCTCTCGTTATCCATCTTGTTGCAAATTACAAGCTGCTCGGTTGCCTTTGAATTGTCGGAGGAAGCTGGCTCGAGGATTGAAGAACCGAATCTCCGAGGTTATTTACAATCAGTCTTGGAAACAAAGCACGGTAGTGGTTGAGTCGTTTCTGGTCGTAGTCAGCGCTTTTTGGGCCAAAGTCGGAGTATCATATCAACGGCCTTCGTGCATAGGTAGCGATTTAGTGACTGGTGCCATGCCATCACTAATAGCTGAATGTTAATTTCGTAAATAAGATGATTACTGGTGAATTTGTTTGTAATGGCTGTCTTGGACGGCATGGGCTTTCTTTGTCTTTTCATGGAAAGTGGATGTTATAGTTTCCAGGAAGTTTCGAAGAGCGCCGACTTCCGCCTGTGAACCACGGGCAACTAATCGTTCTTCGAATATAACTTTATTCCGAGCTCATGGTTTTGCAGTTGGCAGAGATAGATTTGGTAGCATTCTCTTTGTTTGATCCATAAACCCTCTGGCGGACAACTGAAGAAAGGTTCGATAGGTACTGAAAAGTAAGCAGTGAAGCCGTTCCGTCATCCAATCGATAAGAATCCGTGTCGATGAGATGGTATGATTCGATCTTTGTATCTTCCAGAAGTCCGACTGGATCCCAAGACCGAAGCAGGCGCAAAACAGTCAGCAAAATTGCAGGCGAGCCGCAATCATATCGTGATCATCGACGCAGCCGACAAAAAATCTTACTCAAAAGCCAGCTCGACAAGATCCCTAGATCCTCTGACCAGACTCAGCGCAGTCAGCCAGGTCCTTGACGCCAGCGACATATCCGCAAAGTAGCAGACGAGAAGAAGAAGTGAAGTCGTGCCGTGTCGTTGAAGGTCGACATAGCTGTCAGAAAATGTGAGTCTGTTTGACAAGAAAGTGACGTGATCCCTAGATCTTCTAGCGTTGACCTGGAGCGGTCCACTAGGTAGTTGAAGAAGCCGGCGGCGACGCAGCAGGCCGCAAGGGCGCAGTAGGCGACGACAGCAGCTGGGTGAGAAGTGAAGTCATGTCGCCGCAGACCCGCGACGGTGCTCAGAGTTGATCCCTATACCTAAGATCCTCTAGCAGGAGTCGGAGCGACAGCCCACTAGGTCGCGAGTCGCGAGTCGCGAGGCCCGACGCGCGGTGCAAGACGCCGGGAGCGGAGTTGTCTGGGTTAGGAAGAGGTTGTGCAACGTTGGCCGGACACGACTTTATGCTCGCGGCACTGAGACGCTAAGCCAAATTCGGTTAGTTTGCGGAGGCCGGATTGCTGGCCGTCTGCCAGGACGACCAGGTGCTGCCCACGAACGACTGCACATTTACAAAGTGAACTTGGCATCTACCACTTGCTCGTTGCCTGATCAAGGTATAATCCAAAAGAAAACGATGTGGTATTTCCCGTCCGTATCCGCTAGCAATGCAACAGTAAGAAGCTAAAAAAAAAGAGACAACCAAACAATTGAGATACATCTCATCGTCAACGCTCTCAACAATCCCTCGAAACACGTCTCTCTAGAAATGCTCCTTCCAGAACTTGAAGTTGACATCCCTCGACGTCGCGCCCTTACACGCCTTTTTAATATCCCTGGCCGCAACACTCGGTCCGCAGAAGTAGACTCCCACGTCGGTGCGCAGACTGCTCTCCAACCCGCTCATGTAGCTGCGATTGACAATGCCGTCGCGCATCCCCGAAAACAGCTTCGCGAAGTCCGGGCGACCAAAGTTCGTGCGGCTGCGCAGTTCCGTGAGGGGGTCCTTATCGGTGCCAACGCTGTTCAGGACGATATTGTTCGCCGTGTCCACGTCCACGCGCTGTGTCAAGTACGTATGGATGCGCAAGAAGTCGTCCTGGCCGTCGATGCCGGTGCCGTAGCCCGAGCCGCCCTGCGTCTGTGCCTCCAGACTGCTCAGCAGCGCCTGGAACCACTCAAACGACGTCGTATCCTTGCACACCCAGATGAACTCGACGCGGCGCAGCCGCTTCGGCGGGTTCGGCGACGTCCGCAGGTGCCAGATGTTCTTGAGGATGCTGGCCCATGGCGTCACGCCGATGCCCGTGCCGATCAGGATCGCAATCTCGTTCTCGAACACGTCTTCTGCCGGCGCTCCGTATGGCCCGTCGATCCGGATTGCGGGCATTTCTTGCCCGTGTTGTAGCGCTACTTCGTACATTCCCATCGGGTCCATGTCGTCGTAGAGCTTGGCTTGCGCCGGACCGGCACCCAGTGCGTCGGCTACTGACCGCGTCCAGTCGCCCACCTGCCGGATGTGTATGCTGACATACGGGTCAAATGGACAGGAGGTGATAGTAAAGGGGTGCCATTGTTGAGTCGAGACTGAAGGACAATTGATGAACAGCCACTGTCCGGCCTTGTATTTCATGCTCGGTTTGCTGAACTGAATCTCGACCGCATCTGCAGAATAGTTAGTAATAATCATAACGGATGGGCTAGGGAGGACGAACCGTAGGGGTGCCTGATAACCTTGACAATCTTGGTGTCTCGCCGGGCCCGAACTTCGCGGTAGAGTCGTTCGAGCAGGTAGAGGCCGCCGCCGACCAGCTCCCACCGCCAGCCTTCGTAACCAAGGCAGTGGTTCCAGAATTTGCTGCCCGCAAATGGAGAGATGGGATCGGTGGTGTCACGCACGAAACAACCGGTTGCATGCGTGTACATGGCGAGGAAAAAGGGGATAAAGAGGTGATGCGTGTACCAGAAGGTTTCAAAGGACTGCTGTCGTATCCTTTGATGCGCAGTTGTGTAGATGAGCATCATGCATAGCAGCATGACATGTCCCGTAATGCCACCGGCTTGCGTGTAGTGAATCTCCACGGCAAGAACCGGGCGGACCTGGGTCTTTTCAACATTGAAGAAACTGCAATAGTTAGCAAAAGAATATCTCCAGCCAAGAATCCTGCCAAGCTTACTTGACATAGTGACCGAGTGTGTGGCACGCGGTCCAGAAGAGCATAGTATATGCTACTTGTCTGTGAAACCACTGAGATTCGTCGAGTGGCAACCAACGTAACCTCGGTCTGATCTCCCGAAGAATTGTTCTGCACATGGGCAGAAGAATCATGAGCATATCAACACTCAAAACAAGACCAGCGCCTCTTGAAATCCAAATGGAGAATTTCAAAGCGTTCAGCGGTGCCAACCGCGGGTCAGTCGCTTGTTTCCACCTAGGCTGACGTTAGTTGCTGAACAGAAAATTTGCCCAAAAATCAACCTACCAGCCGTAGGCAAAAAGCCCAAAGTGAAGTCCATGGAACAGGAAATAAAACAGCAGCTTCTTGGGGAGGAAGTGCGACTTCAACTTGTCCGATATTTCGATTGCCATTTTGGTTTTCTTCTCTTCCAACCCAATTAAGCCCAATAGAGGCGTGGTAGATTATCGACGGAAGGCTTCGTGGTCGTATTCCGCAAGTGTATTCCAGAGACAACGAACGGACTTGTAACGAATTAAAGAGTGTAGACTCTGAACAGTGTTCCAGCACCGCTAAAGGAAAGAATCGAAAATGCGATGGTGCAGAGAACCGCCGGAAGGTATGGAGGTAACTTGAGGAATCCGGGAAATTCGTTAAGGTCACTGGCCACGGCGATGACACAAAAAAAGCTTGTCGAAGAAGCTTAAAGATAGCTCCAGACGCACAAACCGTCTCGGAGCACTGGCTCTGATGAGGATCAGACGATGCCTAGGGTGATTAAGTGGGTAGAAGAGCTGCTGAAACCCGACGTGCTGGTGTTATTGCGAATCTGGAGGGGTTCTTGGTTATGCTTTACCAGTGGGCCGTAAGAATAGGGGTCCTAGTATAGCCTCTTACGGGAATTGTCAAGTGTCGTGGATCATGCACTCTCGCGGAGGACTGTGGGGGAGGGGTTGATGTCGGAGATCCCTCGCGTATCGCCAATGTAGTCAGAAGATTGTATCAGCTGTGCCACAGATTCTTCGCAACCATTTTCGATGTATGATGTAGTACTGTCTCGCCACTTGCTGTATCTCTTGTCTGGTCCGGCTCGACGGCTGCTTCAGGGCTTCGGATTCGTATTTCGAGGGAGAGATTGTCGCGAAGTCGTTCCGAAATCCGTTTATGTCAACAACTCTCACAAGCCTGCGCCGCACTGCGCGCTTCCTGTAACCGTCGAATGGTGGTGTCCCAGAGGATTACTGGACGACGACGCTGGGTATATTCTTCGAGGGTTCCGTATTTGGTGTACAAAAACTTGGATAAGCTTCTTTTGGGTCGCAGGGCGCCAGGGCGCTTTGGGCTTTCTTCTGCAGAATTGGGAGTCGAAAAACGGGTGGCAGGAAGTAGGCGCTCGCCGAGGTGCTAAGTATACGAAACGTTAACCGCCGTAGGATTGTGAGGCTGCTTATGGCGGTTCAAACTCGGCGACGGGGGTGGATGCAACAGTTATGGCAAAAGAGGAAGTTCTTGATCACGGAGGTAAGCCGAGTTAGCAGGCCAGCAAGTGGGCCAGGTAGAGGCAGTGGGGTGACGTTGTAGACGGATGGTAGGAGGAATTGCAAGGTGTCGGAGTCGGGACTCGGGAGAGCACGTTTGCAGGTTGCCCTGCTGGCGATCGAGGCACGGAGGATCAGATAGCGGGACCCGCTAGCACTGCCTGAATCTGTACGGCACCGGACTTTATCACGGCCTTGGGAGGCATCGGTGGCTGAGTTCGCGTGCGTGGCAAGAGCGTGGAGGCGCGAGAGGCGAGAGCGGTGGCCTGGGCGTGCAGGTGTTCCTGGCCAGTCAATGGCCTAGCGAGCGGGATGCACGGCACGCCCCGGACGCCGCCTCGCACCGCCGCCCAATGGCCCGCCGTCTCGAAGCGCTCAGCTTTTGACGCCGAAAAAAGTCGACGAGATCACGAGTTTGAAAGAAACGACATTGCGACTCGAATTCGGTCCGTCGTTCTATTGAATCATCCTTTTGGGCTTTCGTAGAGAGCAATTGCTGCCCCGCCGCGTTCGAGGGAGGGGTGTCTGGGGTGTCGGCAACGTCTTGGCAAGCGAGGGGTGCATCCATGCTATACAATACATGTGAGCTGCCTCAAAGGGACAGGCTACTGCAGGCCCGGCCGGCCACGAAGCCTTCCGTGTCTCCGCTTTGGACGTGGGAACTGAGACGTGATGTCAGCATCGCCCGAACATGGGGAGAGGAAGGTGATGGACGTGATATTGTGATATTGTGATATCGCGGCAATCGTGGCAAACAGGATGCACGGAAGTTCGGTCAATCGTTCGGCGCAGGGCGAGGTCGAGGTATTCAACGGCGACGCCAATCAGAGGGCGTAGAGACGAGGCGGTGCTAAATGTGGAGGTAGGCCTGGTCGGCGGCGATCCTTGGCTTGGGCGGCCGCGGGCGCTTAGGACGCACGGGTGGCCCACGCTGGAACCACATGCAAGCAGCCACGGCCACGCGCAGAAAGCCTTCCATGCCACCGCTCAAGGCTCATCCCGTCTTGGGATGGCTGGCCCGAGTCCAGCAAAAGCCACCGCATGAATCTTGCCCGCCATCTAAAGCCCGCCATGCCCGTCCGTGTCGAGACAGCTACGGTTCGACCACATCCATCTTGACACTGCTGTTGCTTGGTCGTGCCTCCCCCTCACGCTCGCTGCTCCTGGAGTCTGGGGTATAGATACGCGCCGTTCGTTGCCCATGCTGTGCACACATCAGGCCTTGTAGTTGCATCGGGACCGTCATACAACCTGCTCTTTCTGTCCGCGGGCCGGACCTTGGGAAAAAAGATACACCACCACACTCGCTCGACTCACCTCATCCTCGCCGCCATGGGCAAGCTAATCAAGAACCACTGGGCACGCCTAATCATCCTCACGGCCTCGGCTTGTAAGCGCCATGCTTCCGTCTCTTCCTTCCTTGCTCTCTCTGCTAACCTCCATTCCCAGACCAGGTCCTCGCCGCCATTGAGGGCTTCTTCTGGCCCAAGATCTTTTGGGACTTCATGACGCGCAACCTCGACGGCGCCGTCAAGCCCGTTCCTATCCTACAAATACTCAACCTCGTCCTCGGCCTCATCGGCCTCGCATACGAGTGGCCTTTGAAGTTCATCGCCGGGTCGGGGCTGCACCGATCGATAGAGGCGCGTTTGATAATATATCCTTTGAGCGCGTTGTTGGCAGTGTTGCTCTACCAGGGCACCAACGCCGCGTTGTATTACATCATCGGCATGGTCGTATATTTTTGGGCGTATAGTGAAGGAGAGGTATGTTGCAACCAGCCATGTTTGCTTCGATTTGCGTACTAACATGTTGGCGTAGGTCGTTTGCGAGAAGCCCTGGACGCTGCCGAAGAGGAATAGAGCCTTGGCCAAAGTTTGAGATACCCTTTATTTTTTGTTTCTTTGCTTGATCTATTTTGATCTGTTTTTCCCATATACCATGGACGATGTTTTGCATGAGCGAATAGGATATGGCTGGCGGGCATAGCGAGGCGTTAGGAATACTGTTCTGCATGATGCGGGGCTGGATCGGTGCACCAGTTTACTGGAGGACTTTCAAATCCATTGAACTGCACCAATATCAAAAAACATACCTCTTTCCCTTGATCTCCGCTGCTTTGCCTTCTCCGTCAAGCTTCAAGTCTCATCGTCTCGCAGCTTCACCGACAGGAAGGGCATCGCTTTCTTATATCGACGTCCGTCAAATGCGGGGCCGTATGTAACCAGTAACACCATTCCACGAGAACAGCCGCAGTCAGCCTTGCCACACTACAATCTCACTGCATCCCCAAGAGCACATGCTGATCACGCTGTGAACAATAGCAAATCGGTTCCTCCGCCTGCGGGTACCTGCAGCTTGTTATGCTCCAACTAGGCTTATATTACCATCTTTATTGCCTTGGCCGGTAAACAGCAGCGTCCCGTAAACCAAGAGAGTTATACACGGCTACCAAGCTGCTAAAATCTTATATCACGAGCATCCGCAACAGTCACACAATCTTGACCTCGACCTTTGGTTTGCCCATCCTCGCCGCCTCGCCCTGCATCAAGCCATGCACGAAGCACTCGCCCACAAACTTGAACTTCCCGCCCCACGCCGAGCGCAGCACATACGGCGTCCTGCCGCCCAACAGCACGGCGACGCGATCTCCGGGCCACGTCGAGCGCGGTCCAATGCCCATATACCCCAACTTCGTAGTAAACAGCGCGCGGCCAAACGTCGCGCGATCTACATCCAGAAAATACGCCATAGCGGCCTCGTAGCCCTCAGCGCGCTCAGGGTCGCGCTCCCCAAACAGGATAAACCCCTCGCCGAAGGGATAGCGCGCGGTGTAGCGCATGAAGGCGTCATAAAACCCCTTTAGCACGTCGGGCGGCGCCTCGCAGAACTGGCCCGCGATCAGCGAGCGATGATACACTTCCTCTGTGGGCTCGCCAGTGGGGTAGCTGCGCAGGCCCAGCGCGACCCGCTCCCATTGCCGCACCCGCCGCACCGCCGCCACGGACAAAACCTGGCTCCAGAAGCGGCGCCCGCCGAGCCGCAGCGCCGGACTGTCGTCCCGCCGGATGCGGGCCGGAGTGTTCGGCTCGCAGACGCGCGCTACGCTGTCCACTACGTAGCCGCTGGCGTGGAGCACGCGGTCGTCAGCGCCCGAGAAGCGCAGTTCTGCTGCTTGCGTGTCGGCGGCGTGTGCGCGTACTGGCTGTCCGTAGAACGCGTATGGCGCGGCCCGTGTCTGCGTGCTCCAGTCTGGCACCCAGGTCGGGAGGTTGCTGCGCGTGCGCCAGTATTCGTCTGTGACGGCGCTGAGGACGTCGAGGCTGCCAGTGCTTAGGTGCTGCACTGCTATCTTGATGTAGAGCTCTGTGGCGGAGATGGTGTAGTCTGGCTGTATGCCGAGAGCGCTTGCGTCTTGTGAAAGGCCGAGGAGCCCGTATACTTTGTCGACGCGCTGTGTGGCTTGGCTGGCGCGAGTCCATACGAGGAGAGAGAGCAGTGGTAGCCCACTGTTGCTGCCGCTGCTGCTGTTGTTGTTTTGGGCATGGTACCCGTTCGCGTATCCTGCTGTTGTGAGGGCGGGGGCAGGATCCACGTCGACTAGCATGATCAGTCCGCTTTTGTTGAGCAGGCTTGCGGCGTTGATTAGGTCATTCCATGCCAACTTCTCTCTTCCACATATGACAGTTGCTCTGCGGGCCAGTGTGATCTCTTGAATAATCCACACGCGAGAATACCATGCGCGCCAGAATATGGCATCGATGGCTTTCCAGTCTTGGCTGTAAGGGGCGGGAAGACCGGCCTCGGCCATGTCTTCTACAAGGATGGACCTCTGGCTCTGAGCAGCATGAAGAACCTTCGGGCTGTTGGCGATGCGATGTAAGAGGTCGAATCCAAGAGGGCTAGTCTTGGTTTCATCTCCAAGCCATACAACAACGCCATCGGCTTCTTGGTATATCTGTTTCATGAGCGATACCTGAGAGCCTTGCTCTTGTTTGTCTGCTTGGTTGATGCAAACTGCATCAATCCACAGAACCCTCTCTTCATTCTCGCGGCGGAGCCGGTGTAGAGCTCGCCACAGGTTTTCGCCAATGGGCAAAGGTTTCCTATCGCATGAGATTATATATTCCGGTTGTGGAGCTCCCCAGGTGTAGGACAAGGCCTCGTATGGTGGGTGCTCCTGAATCGGGTGGGTAGTGAGCGTACACTCAATGACCGCTTCGGTAGTTGCGGCTGGGTTGAGCTCGAGTAAACGTATGTGGTCATTACCAGGCAAGCTCTGATAAGAAAATCCATGATCGTCGTTACATCTAGAATCTAGTTCAGCTTGACCATCTAAAGTGGACGAGAATATACGCACACGTATTGCTTGTATGCGGGAAGAGGACATAAAGGTAGAATATCCTCATACCATCTCCGTCTCCAAGAAGAATCAAGATTGACTTTTCTGAATTTACTACTGCTACTTAGCTACGTTAAACGAATAGATATTCTGATTCTTACCTAGGGGCTACCTGGCTTGCGCGAGGCATCAAACGAAGGAGCCACCCAGTAGGCCTCAGATCCCCAATACCGTCGCAATATTCGGCATAGTACTTTCGCATGAAAGCCTCCATCTTCGGATGGCTTCATTACCGGCAAAGCGGCACGGTTCTGGAGCGCATATGTTTCTTCGTCTAATAAATGAATTCAGTGAGTTATTGCGTTGTCAGAGTTGGGGCCGTGGCTTGCATATCCGTTTCTAAATATATCTTCGACTGGGGTCGATGGGGCCAAAGGTCAGCAAGAGAGTATCGTGTATCTGCAGAACATCAGAAGCTTACACTGCTCTCCGCGACAGAGTCCCAGCAACGTAAGAGCTGGATATCAGAGAAACTCCGGTAATAATATAGGCGACAGTGTACCAGGACGACTCTACCTTTATCTCCAACAACCAGGTGACCTGGGCAATACCTGCTTGAAGATATCAGCTCCGCTTACTGTGGCTGCAGCAAGAAGTATTGTTAGGGCTGCACCTGGAAAACCTAGCCAATCAAAAATGTTACGCATGTTTTTGCGACTGTCTCGAAACTCATTCGGTAGTTGATCTGTTATCCAGTCGATTAAGTCAAAGCCTTGGAAAGACAGTTTGCAAGGCAACCATGATGTTGCTAAGTATATTTTCTCGCCTCTAAATAGCCGAAAGAGTAACATACTACATAAGCTGTATATAGACAAGGGTTTATTTGGACCTGTTCTCTAATCAGCACAACCATTCTTCGTAATACAACTGATTTAGTCAAAAGATTCAATTTCCTATTAAACACTAGCAGTCTATCAACGGACTTCACGAACTTATCTGTAATGTCAATCAAGACCAATTAACGTCATCATCCTCCACTGCAGCTACTCTCAGTTGGTTTGGTTACTAGGAGGTTGTTTAGCCCGGGTCGACCGCTTCTTGTATCCTCGGCTGTGGAGGGCATTCTTGATCGCGTCGGCGCTAGCATTCCAGTGAGCAAAGGGCCCCGTAGAAAGTTTCTGATAAGATAATATGCTGTTAGCTCGAGAGGAACAGACAAACTGCTCGAGTTCGTCTATTTGATCATCCGTCAAAGTCCGCGGCCGGCCTTTTCGCTTCGTAGGAGTCGGGTGGCCTGCTGTGCAGGCATTCTGAACCTGCCGCATGGTGATGCCCAGATGGCGGGAAATCTGCTCGTAGGACATGCTGGCGGAGCGAAGCGTGAGAACCTGTAGGCGTTGATCTCGGCTCAAATCAGGCCTTTTGGTTCGCCTCGCAGGCGGCGTTGATGGTGCGGGCACTGGCATAGATGCAGACTCAGGCGCAGGCCCAGGCACTGGCGTAACTGGCGCTGAGGATTTCGCGGGCTCTGGGAACACAGATGGCGCGAGGTTTGCAGGCACTGAGGCTGCATAAGGTGCTGAGTATGCGGGCAGCACTGAAGACGTAGACGGTGCTGAGGAAACAGATGGTACTAAGTAGGTAGGTGGTGCTAAAGATGCGGGTATTGCCGAGGTTGGAGGTGTCGCGGGCGTTGCGGACATTGCGGACGTCGTGGACGTTGGCGGTGTTGTGGGTCTTGTAAAGCTTGCGTATGTGGCAGGAATTACGACCGCAGACGGTGCTGAGGGAGCCATGATGATCATTGCAGATGGCGACGGAAGACAGGTGGTGACAAGAGACAGATGACAGGAGGCAGAGAATCGTGTAATTTTCCATACATATTTGGCGTAGTTCTCCTGGGTCCGCATGGACCACTTGATGCGACGCTAACAATACTTCCGCCATTATCACAAAGGTTCTGTCCAATATCGATAGTCTTGCACGTCGAGTATTAACGCTCTCCAGGTGAGGACACGGTGTTTTCCCTACCGAGCATATGTTCTCTCTTTGGGCGCTTTTCATACAGGTAGCCGAGGGTGCTGTGCTTTGATCTACGATACCGGAAAAATTTGAAAGAGCACTCATAGTGCTGTGCGGGATGCTGGCGATGTGAAGGTATACTTAAACGTGTATGAACGAGACGCGACTCGACAGGGCAGCGGAGGGACAGTTTCCTAGCCGACAAGGCGGCTTATCAGCAGTATCCTTTGAACTTTTCGTGAGGTAAATAGAAAACAACGTACCTGGGAAAAAGATGAAGGGTCGCTCTCGCCAGAGTAATCGGAATCGAATGATACTATGAGTATAGTACGCCGCGTATTGCACTGAAGTGTCGCACGCTTTCGCGCGCACACAATCTTCGCATAGGCTCCCATAGGGGTACAGTACGAGCGACAAACCCCGAAGAGTCTGTGCCGGCTGGCCCTGAGATTTCTGATGCCCGATGCAGACGTGATTTCACGCCAGACCCTCACGGGTAGCTGCCAGAGCGCCCTAAGACGGATAGCGGGTGAAGGTGAAGATTACTCCGAATTTCTCATTTGCATATAGCGACGAGCTGAGCGCGAGGCTCAGTGTCTGTTTGTGAGCAAAGAAACGCAGCGTTGGCGAGAGCGACCCTTGGGGAGAAAAAGAAAAAAAAAGGAAATCTGAGTCGAAGGTCGGACGTTGACGTAGAGGCCCGCTGACATAAGCGAGGTGGCTGCTTGAACGGCAAGCGCTACCGATGCCTCAGGACGTTCGAGCAAGTTCACGTCACATCTACCATTTTCTAGACCATTGCCTTCTTCAAGCATAAATTCGCCCCAGAGCTCCCCCATACCAGACCCAGATGCCTCGAGCACCAGGAAGTGTCGCAAGTTGCGCCACACAACGAGACCGCAGCCGCAGGGAAGCCGATATTATGGACGTCCACGGGAGACTGCATGAATTCAACCAAGAGCTTGGAAACACATTATACCGCAAGAAGGCTGCAGTCGTCCATCAAGTAACGCGGGGCTTGCGTGGAAAAAGAGGGTCGTTGCGACCCGTAAGGCCATCAGTCGGGGACGAGCGCCGCTATGTCCAGAGGCGCCAAGGGTCGACAATCCGTCGTAGTGCCTCACGAGGCTTGCCAAGGTTGGGCTAGATAACCGCTGCCAGTGTCAGGCGTACCCCAAGCTCTCGGCTTTAAAAAGCCGCTCTGCATACATTCTGGGCCCACATGCCTCAACAGGAGGTCATGATGAGAATCTGGCAGGCTAGACTTGCACTGGAAAAGAAAAGACAGAGTCGCATTCTACCGTCCGCCTATCAGGTAAGGACGCGGCACAGGTGGCGGTGTCTGCCGTTGCACGCTGCACAAACGTGCTGTGCTCTGTGACCGTTGCTCTAAGCCTATGAACGGAATAGTCGTGGGCCGTCAACCCGTGGTGGGTCGATGCCTCTGGCAAGGACCGCCACGGTGTACTCCCGCGGCACTTATCGCTCCCATCTTCCTGCTGACGAGACTTCTGCTTTGTAGAGGTAACCAGCACCAGTAAGTTTATCGACCGAGGTACGACTTCCAAGCCTGTTTTGCAAGCATGCAGCCTCTGTGTGAGACGCAGCTTCAAGAGAGACTTGCCGTTCGTCGCTGCCGGTCAACCCCACAGCGCTCATCCAAAGGATTCCACGCACCCGCAGATGCAAAGGAATCTTGCAACCGGGTGGCCATCGACGTCGTTTAGAGGCAATCGACGATGGCCACCAGAAATCGTACGAGAAGTGCAGGCAAAGGCGATGAAGCAACACGAACCCGGGCTTTCAATGGGCAGTTTCAGCCAATTAAGGAGACGATCACCGAGAGAAAGACGAGTTTTTACTCAGGGGCGCTGCTGACCGCCGCTCACTCACACGGAGTCCGCTAACCTATTCCACTCTTATCCTAACCCGACCGTTTTGTAACAGTGTGTCTTGAATTCCCATGAACAATTGCACGGTGCGTTGTCAAACTTGCACCTGGGTAATACCAAGAGAGAACGCGCTCCATGCCAGTCGCAGCTACTGACCAGACTTGAGCTTTCTGTCGGAGCTTGACCTCTTGCTGCAGATGAAGCAAGCAGACCTGAGCTGAGCTCAAACGCTCGGAGGTCTTATCATTGCCACGGAACTGTGCAGTCAGTGTGCAGCGAAAATTTTCCTCGTCTCCCCACCCATTTAAGGTCTTAGGTACTTGAAATACTGTACCATTTCCTCATCCTTCAACTTTCGACACACTGCGCCACCTTCGGTAAAGTACCAGAGCCGATGTCATTTTGATTTAAGGGGCGGGTGCCCATTACAACGGACGGAGTGACCAGGCACTAAGGAGCAGAATCCTTGAAGAGGTATCCCACGTCAATCAACGTCGTAATGACGCTCAATCATCAATGCACTCAAGGGTGGTAGGTGCCTAGTCCCTTTTTGGCCGCCGAAAAAGGTTCAATGCACAAATATTCATAGCTCTTCTCGGAGCATGCCTCTACACGGGTGAACCCACCTACTCATTTTTCGCTGAGTTAATCAACCACAGAGAATAGTGTTCGTGCAACGAAAGCACTTCGAAGGCTCAATAACCTCTGCAAGTAAGACTTGGGCCTGAAGATAGGGCTGGCGGAGAAGATGACGAGAGCATCGTTCTGTCGTACCTCCAAAGCCGTTACGGTCCGTGCAGACATCGGGAGATCTTCAGGCTGGGCGCAATCGAGGCTGCTGCGAGAGATCTCAATTTTTGTTCACAAATCCCATCCACGTCAGTCCAAAATGCCATATCGGCGATTATTCCGTCAAGATCGCTTTCTGGTTCGAACAATGGGAAAGTTGAAGTCGATCAGGCGACCACCGGGCCTGGAGCCCTCCATCTATATAAATCCTGAGAATTCCCATGCTTTTCGAAAATGGTAAGTCTCGACAACACCACACGCATTACCACCTCTCTTTTGATCATCGCAGCGGCTGTTCCCAAATCATAATTACTTGTTCCGCCGTAATGTATCATCAGCAAGCGTCGAACGATGCTTATGGCACGCCTTACCAACCTACCTACGCGGGGCAGCACACAGCATGGACACAGCAGATGTCGCAAAACGTGCCACTGCCCAACGTCTTCAACGATTCGTTTCATAGCATGCAAAACCCTCCGTTTCCCCCATTCACTCAGCCTCCGCAGCCCCAGTACCCGCAGTCTCCGCAGCCCGAATACCCACAGCCTCAATATACGCAGCCTCAGTATAAGCAACCCCCACCGCCACTGAGACGAACGTCGGTCCAGCTGCGCTGGGAGGATTATCTCCAAAGCGACGAGAGCTCAGAGACTCTAACAGGTGACGAGATCCGCACCCGCTCACAAAGCAATGCACATTGCTGACAAACAGAAAAGGAAACGACACTTACATCAAGCAGGTGACATCGGAGTTAGAGCAGCGCGCCATATCTGACCAGCGTCTTGAGCAGCTGCAGAACCAGGTCGACCATGCTCACGCGCAGGCGGTCGAGAAAGAACGGCGCCTGAAATGGGCACAGGAAATGATCATATCGAACCCGGCGGTCAGTGCCGAGATATACTGTGCCATGTCGAGGCGCGCGGCCTCGCCGTCGTCGGCCGCCACGACACCATCGGCCGACGGCAGGGCCGGCGGCTTCTTCAGCCGGCAGCCATCCAGCCACGGCAGCCCCACGTGACCTGCACCGTGACTGTGGATAGGCTCCCGCGCATGCAGCGGGGTGGGATCAGACGACGGAGCTCGGGGGAAAGGCATGAGGGTGGGCATTGGTGGGCGAGGTGAAACTCGGCGCAACGGCAGCGAAGGAGAGGGGGATACGTAGCGGCAGAGGTAATATACGGTTGTTTTTGCTTTTGACCTCGAGCAGCCGCCATGGCCGAAGCGGGCGCAGCATGCATTCTTGTGCACCGCGGCCCCTGTGTCACGCTCGTGCTGGGCGGAGGCGCGGGTGCAACGGCCGACCGTCGCGTCGGACACTCAGTCAGTCCCTACTGACGACGACGACGACGACGCCGACATATATGTACAATGCGCATAAATGCCGCCTGCCGTGTCACGGACACCTGCCTGACGCGCAGAAAATCAATAGTGCAGCCAACGGCGGCGAGCGGGCATGCGGACGACCGGCTCGCAAGCTCGCAAGGGGCGCTGGCGGGCAAGCAAGTAGAGGAAGCGCGTGTGTATGTGTTGTAGGGTCGAGTCCACTTTCTGCGCCCCTTGGAAGAGGCCAGGTGTGTATGCGGTGAAGGTCGGCACCGGATGCATCGATTGCGCGGCAGCGTACCGAGGGCTGGAGAGTGGGGGGCGCGAGCGCGCGGGGAAAGGAAGGGAAGGGAGACCGAGAGGGGGGAGGGAGGGCTTCTGATAATGATAGTCGAGTGTGAAAAAGGCACGGCCCTACAAGTGCGCTCGATTTAGCAGCGGTTTATGTAAGGGCGCGAATTGTGGAAATGGAGGAGTCGGGGACCGTGGAGACTGGAGAGGATGCGACAAATTTCTCACCCTCTCTATCTTGATCTGCGAATCTCTAAAGTCTCGACGCGACAACACGAAGCGGCGCGCATCCCCGATCCATGTCGACTGGTCACCCGCGCTCCTCGACAGGCATGCACCCGAGGTTCTAGAAGGCCCCAGCTCCACCGCCGTGAAAATTCTCGAGCCATCATGAAGGCTTTGGTGTTGAGGCGGAGCCGCAGAGACCCCTCTTGTCCCCTCTGTGCCGCGCTCTGCGAGCCGCAACCCGGAGCCGCGTTGCTTGTTTGTGGTAAGCCGTAGGTCTGGTGGTGCCATGGAGGTTTGGCTGGCCCCCTCGAGAGACCGTCAGGTGAGCTTCCCAATGGGAACTTCCTCACGATCGAGGCTCAGCAACATGGCGTGTACAAAAGATGTAGGCTGCTGCGTGCTGCCGGGCAAAGTCACCCAGCAGTCCTCCTCTCAGTGTCGCGTTCGTCTTTGTACCTGAAAACTTTATCCCCGCCTTATCTCCCGCTTCCCCACACCAATTCTCCGCAATGCCCGACTCCAACAAGTCGTCGACTCCCGTCGTCGCCATTGTTCTTCCCACCTTGTTTGCCATTGTTCTGGTCATCATCATCGCAACGTGCGTACTACATGCATTCCTTCGACCACTTTCCTTGCTCCTGCTTACTGGCTTGCAGCACCGCAATATTCCTACCGCGCCTCCTCGGCAAAGAACGCTCGGACAAGGAGGAGTGTCAGAAGAAGCGCATGCACAATCTCGAAAAAGCATGCAAGTCTCAAATTTTTGAAAAGTGGTGCTCCGAGCACGAGTCCCAGCACCCCGAATACAAATCACAGCACCCGATTTGGTAAGTGTTGCGCTCTGACGCCCAGACGGCTGGCTGACCGCGTGGCTTATCAGTACTATTTGCCTCGAAACCATCGAAGATATGGCCCACATCCGCAACCTCGGCTGCCAGCACGTCTTCCACCAGGACTGCCTCGACAACTGGTTCTCGCGCTTCAACGAGTTCTGTCCGCTCTGTCACCGGCCCATTCTGCCCCGCCTGAATAGCAAGGACTCGAAGACGTCCGTGGAGACTGGGCACGATTCCGCAATCGCGGGCATGGTATGAAAGGATCGAGCTCGGTGCTTATTCTGCGCCCAGGATCCGTCCGCTCTTCAGCCCGGCGAGCGATGGCGGCATCAGGGTCCTGGGGGCGCGTACCTGCCTGGGCTTCAGGTCCTGGACGCCATGATCTCCACCTCGGGCTCACCAGTGTCGCCAGCACACGAGGGCGCCATCCTTCGCCCAATCGCCCAGGCTCTCCATTTCCAGGCCTGGGGCCGTGGAAGCGCCCTAGAATCCTGGAAGGCGAGCTTTGGTCGAGGCTAGTCACTGGTGGGCTTGTCGGGCCGTGGTCAATGCGCAGCAGGAGTAGATCAAAGAGGAAGGCAAACGCCTGCCCGTGGCATCAAAGCCGCGAAGGAGCACGCAGAGACGAGCAGCGATCTGCGTTGGTCTCCCGCCACTGACCCACAACCCATCTCTCCGGCCTGGAGAAACCCCACCGTGCGTCGCTTAACTGCAGAAAGGATGTGGCAAACCACGGTTGCTGGACCGAGATCGACGCAAAATAGGCAATAGCAAATAGGGTTTGTGAGGATGGCGGGGGGCGGTGGACGCCTTGCGGCGACGATGCCCGCGCGCCGTCAATGGTCCAACGCACGTCGGGCTGGGCTGCTTGGGTGGAGGGGCATGCCGAGGCGCAGAGGCTCACGGTGAGGTGCGAGCCTGCGAGGTGACGCGCGGAGGTTGTGAACCGGGGCTGCTGCCACCGCTAGTTGGGGACAGGGGAGCCGGGGAGGCATACGAGTAATGATTACTACGGTGGTAGAGCAGCAGCGACAAAAGTACGAAGTAATACTGTATGATTGATGAGGGGTGTGGCTTGGCGCGACGGTACACGATAAGGCGCCGGTGCTGCAGTGGCACAAGGTGACGACGATGGCAGGTGGTAGTTAAAAAAGTAGTGGTTGAAAAAGCACCCAGCCAAGGCTCCGGCGGCTCACGGCAAGGCGGCAAAACCGGTTTGAGGGATAGAGACTACGTAGGGATGGCCCACTCGAAGCAATCTGAGGGGATCCAGTTTATAGATTCCTCGCAGTGGGAGGGATGCGATACGACGGGGCAGCGGGGCAGGAGCCGGCATGGGGGTAAAGAGAGACAGAACAGAATAGTGTTGCAGGTGACAGCGACGTGCGTCTTGTTAAAAGTACCTAGTATTCGTACCTTAGCTATTTTTTTCATGCTTCTTGCTTCGGAGATGGGGGGTGGATGGGCACCGACGGGGGGCGCCCCCCCGGCAAAAAGTGGTCTGATGTAAAAAAAGGCCCATGGATCTACAGCTCGCGCCCTGCCGTGCCCTTGCGCCCTTCCCCGATGCGACGTGCCCTCGCCAAACCCGAGGCATTCCGCTCCTGGACGCGAAACACTCTGTCGTCTCCAGTCATAAGGAGGGGCTCACTGTTAGACAAAGCACTCCCGCGACAGCAGCAAAAATTCCGCCCATCTCGTCATCTGCCCGTCCAGCCTCGCCGCTCCCGCCCCTCGGATGCACTTTACCGTCGACCCCCAACACCACACCGCTCCCCCCAAGTTCTACAACTGAAAGCCTGCTCGCCACCCTTGATTCATCAGCACCCCGCTGATCTTACTTAACCGTCGCAGTATGCCGACCACTCCCCTTCCACCTTTCGCTGCCTAACCCAACCTTCCAGCCCTACCCTTGTGTCAAAACCTCTGTCGCCAGGGATGGCGCTCAACTGGAGTTCATTCCTGACGGACGAGGGCCTCAATGCGCAGAACGAGCGCTGGGACTCGCCTCGAGCCGCCTCCGACCGTCAGCACCAGTCGCACCAATCGCACCAGCAACAACTCCAGCACCACCAGCAACAACGTCAGCAATTTCAACAGCAACAGCAACAGCAACAACAGCGCCAGCACCAGCACCAGCAGCAGCATCACCAGCAGCTCCCGCACCATCACCAACGCCCGCAGCATGTCGCCCCCACCACTACCGCCCCATCCGGTCAGGGTTCGATAACCGCCCACGGCCTGCCCCAGGGCCCTCCCGACTTCAGTCCTTTCATCGAAAACCCGGGCCAGGATTCCTACTTCTCCGACGCCTTTTACAATGGTCCGGGCGACTATTTCTTGAGCGACTTGGAGGTGCTGGAACCGCTAGGCGCCGTCACTCTGGCTGGTGGTTCCACGTCGGACTCTTCCCCGGAACAGTACAACGACATCGTCGATCTCACCGATCCTACTGTCCCAAAGTTCGCAAGCCGGTCCTCCGTCTCCGCATCCGGCACTCCGCAGTCGACGTCCAGGGCCTCTCCCGCTAACTCCGGCAGACAACAACAACAACAGCAACAGCAACAGCAGCCCCAAAGGCAAAACCTCCCTTATGACCCGAGCGCTTCGCTGGCCCAGATGCAGCAGCAGTATGCGACGGCCTTTCCGTCTGATCCGCGCTCGGCAGCCTTTGTCGAGGATCTGACCTTCCCCCAAGGACCGCCGGCCTCAGGCTCTCGCAACACTTTGGAAACCGTCCCGGAGTTTCAGGAAACAGATCTCACCACCAAGCGTACAAAGAACGACAGCGGCCGGACCGATGCCGTTTCCGCTTGCTGGACGTCGCCGCTGTGCCCCAACCACAGCAAGGAGGGCACGCCACCGAACCCCTCGACCTGCGGTGGCGGCTGTGCTCCCTTCCTTTTCAGCAACGACGACCCTCTTATGAACTCGGCCCTCGACTCGAGCCTCATGAGCAATAATGCCTCCAAGGAGCCTACGCCCGATGGTGTCGTCGAGATCCGGTCACGCCTGAAGCGCAGCGAATCCGAGTCCAACTCCGAAGCCCCCTCCGGTCGCGTTTTCCGCAAGAGCATATCCGTGGCCGAAAGCTCGAACCTCAAGCACGAGAGCAGCCCCGAATCTATTGATGACGCCCCGATACAAACCATCGAGGACACCAAGGGCAAGCCGCGCCGCCGCCTTCCGCACAACCAGGTCGAGCGCAAGTACCGTGAATCGCTCAACACGCAACTCGACTCGCTACGCCGTGTGGTGCCAGCATTGCAGCAGGGCGGCCGCGGATGCGACAGTGCCGATATTGAGGATCTGCCCACGCCGAGCAAGCCCAGCAAGGCGGTCATCCTCGCCAGCGCCACTGCTTACATCAAGCAGATGGAGAAGGACAAGAAGCAACTGGCCGACGAAAACCAGCTGCTCCGAACACGTATCAAGGCGCTGCAGGCGCTGGTCAAATGCGAGGACTGCAGCCTCATGCAATACGTGATGGACCTCAAGATCCACAACCCCACTTAAGGAGGCGACGGCCTCCAAAAGGAGGATGCGCAACGGCCGTTGTTTGTCATGATAGGCACACCACTTTATTACTTGTTCGCCACCGGTCACGTCCCCACTCCTCAAATAAGCCACGAATGTGGCATTTCTGCGTACCTGAGCATTTACACCATCGTCACATAGTTGTCTTTTGGGCGAACTCGAATCGGCGTTAATCGGATCAAACCAGGAAAGACAGGCGCTAGTAAGCTTTTCCTATAGCTGAAGTCGCCAGGGCGGGAAATTGGCGTTGTTATTTTTGTGTTTTACTTTCCCATTTATATCGCGTCGCTTAGGCAGTCCGGTTTCCTTTCGCCTATTCGCGTGTTCTCTCGATTGTTCCAATATGTCTTTTTTTTTATCGGCTGATGAAGCTCGCTCGGTTGATGAATGGGAAAAAGAAAAAACGGCGGCTCACACAAAGGACGGAAAGGGTTTAGGGGAGAAGACGAAGAAAGAAGAAAAGAAAGGACATGGGCGAGATTATGCCGGCTTTTCTGCGCGGTTGTGACGGGCTCTCCTCTGTCTCTATCTCTGTCTCTACCTCTCCACCTTTCTCCACCTTTCTCTCTCACATCTAATGGGCACACAAGTCGTCCATAAACCCCTTTTTGCGCACGACAGTGCCTTCGCCTTTCTTCTTTCTTCTTCTCTCTTCTTCGTCGTATCTCTACACAGTTCATCCTGGTGGCGGCTGCGATTTGTTTTGGCGGCCGGGGCTGGGCTGGCCGCGCGAGCGAGAGCACACAGCAGCGCGCGCGCGAGAGGACCCGGGCTGGGCTTTGCTTGCTTTGCTTGCTTTGCTTGCTTTGCTTGCTTTGCTTGCTTTGCTTGCTTTGCTTGCTTTGCTTCGTATACCCCACCGAGCCCTGCGCCCCCTCCCCCTCCTCGCGGGCTGGTGTGTTGGTTCTCGCTATATCGATCGCCAAAGAAGAAAAATCAAGCGCTGCTTTTTCGGCTCGACGATGATGATGATGCTGTTGTCTGTCTGTCTGTCTGTGTCTGTGGCTGTGCGTGTCGTGCTCGATGTCGTGCTTTGTGGTGTTCTGTGTGCGTGCATTTGTTGGGCGTTGAGGCTGGCCTGGCGTGTCGTGTCGTGCCGTGTTGTGCCAGAGGGTTGGTTGGTTGGTCGGTTCCATGGTTGGTTGCGTGGTGTGTGTGGCTGGCTAAGTAGGTATATTCGTAGGTTGCCTCGTGGTGTTGAAGCCATAGTCGTTGCCTGCTCTTGCTCTTTCTTCTCCTCTGCCTTCTCCATCTCTCATCCCTCTCCCTCCCTCCCTTCCTCTCCATCTTCACCGTCACCCCCCAAGCCCCAGACAGACAGCCAGATCTCGCTCCGCCTTGTCCGCCCCGCCCTCGCCCCGCCCTCGTCCTATCTCGTCTCATATCTGAGCAGTGGGCGCATGGGGCGCGCGCATGACGCCACGCCATCCACGGCTCGGCAGGACAAGGCACGGTACGGCATGGTACGGCAAGGCAAGACATGGCATGGCACGCCATCACCCCACCTCACCCCGCGTCGGCCCACTGCGCGCGCGCGTGCGTATTGCGTGTTGCGTGTTGCGGACATGGATGGTAGCTGGGTAGCTGGGCTTTGTTTTGCTTTGGTCTGGACGGATGACTGATGGCTGATGACTGATGCATGGATAGATGGATAGACGGACGCGCACGCAGTGTGGGTGAAACGTGGGTACGGGACAGGACAGGGCTGCCTGCCCTTGTAGCCGCGAGGCTGGGCATTGGGACAGGCAGTGTGTGGGAGTGTGGGAGTGGGCGCACGTCAGTCAGTCAGTCAGTCCACTTGCGCTCCACCTCACTCGCTGTGTGTGCGTGTGTGTCCGCGGAGCCGAAGAGGGGGAATGTCTGAGGGCGTTTGAGGGCGTTTGTGCGCAGGTGAGGGCGTTGTGTTGTACCTATTGTATGAGTGTATGAGGGTGTATGGGTGGTGAGGCTTCCCCACGCACGCACGCATCTATGGCATGCATGTATGCATGCGCGTTGCGGCTCGCGTGGCTCTGCTCTCCACTGTCCTGTCCAGTGTCCACACGCACCCTCATGGGGAAGGGAAGTCGTTGGTCGTTACCTGCTCTGGTATGTACCTACCTACATCGTCGTCGTTCACTTGCTCAATCAGTCAGTCACTAAACCCTCTATCAAACCTATATACTCCCCCCATCCCCCATCCCATCACACACCAACCCACTCCCCTCGCAACCCTCAGATTAGGACTCGCATGCCTCCTCACCCTCATCCTCGTCGAATGCCGCACCGCAGTCACAGGCCTCGCGTCATCAGCGTCTATATCGCCCAGCGCTGCTGCGAACGTCACGGCGGGGCGGCGGCATGACGTCCCCTGCTCCTCTGCCTCTGCCGTAGACATGCCCGCACTCGTAGCCGTCGACGTCGAAGCTGGCACCAACCCTGGCCCCGGCAGCAACGACCATGACGACCATGACGACGCCGCCGCCGCCGCCGCCGCCGATGCCAATGCCGATGCCAATGCTGATCGGGGCTGCTGCGCGTGCTGCTGCGGCGCAGGTGCCGCTTGTAGATGTGGTTGCGGTAGTGAAGGTGGGGTGGTGGGGCCGGTTATGCTAGTTTGCTTGCTTGTGCTTGGTTTTGGGGGGGGTTTTTTTTTTTTCCCTTGCTGGTGGTGGTGGTGGGCGCTGATGATGATGCCGTGGAGACGGGGGTGGGGGCGGGGACGTCGTCACTGTCTTTGTCGTCGTCGTCATGCTGGGGCGTTGGTAATGGTGGTGGTGGTAGTGGAGGAAGGCTAGGAGGACGAGGCAGGGCCTGCCGCCGCTCGTGCACTTGTTCCTGCTCGTGCTCCTGCGCGTGCTCCTGCAGTCCTTGGAGGCGGAACCAGAGCCGCTGGGCCGGGGATGTGGCCGCGGTGGGCGCGGGCGCGGGCGCGTGTGGCTGGGTGTGGGAGTGGTGGGATTGGGGTGGTAGTGGGGACGGCGGCTTAGTGGTAGTCCTAGACTTAGCCCGTGACACTGACTGGGAGGGAGGGCGCGAGAGATGTGAGCGGGGGTGGTGAGGGTTAGCGGAGGGGGCCGACGGAGGGCAGCGTGTGCGATGGACCATTGGGTGCTTGATTGGCGGGCATGCTAGGCAGGCAGGTGGAGTGGGCAAAGGGGCAGTGGAGTGCAGTGGAGTGCAGTGGAGTAGCCAAGTGGGCTGGCGGTGGGCTCTGGCGGCAGGTTCTAAGGAAGCGCGCGAGCTACCTTGTTCCTCCGGCGTGGGCGGGCGGGCGGACGAGTGAGTGGGCACGCAGGGCGCACGCACTGGTGGCCGTGGTACTCCTACGGGGGACAGTAAGGAAGGAATTGGCGGGTCCATATCACCCTAGTCCTACCCATGGGCAAGGACGGGCTCGGCGCAGGCTCGGGCAGGAGGGAGGGAGGCGGTAGGTAGGAAGGGTGGTTGGTGGTGGTGCTATGGACGCGGTACCCAGTACGCGGCGCGCAGCTGACAGGCAGGGCCGGGAAGCCGGTCGGCCGAAGAAGAGACAGCGAGAGAGAGGACCGGGATGCGGGCGCATGATTTGTGGGGGCAGGTGGTTGGGTTGCGTGCTGAGACTGATACTGAAAGAGAGCGCGAGACCGAGTGGTCGGCGACCGGGGGAGGGGAGCAGGAGAGAGAGAAAAAAGCCACACGCACACCGCGGGGCTTGGGACCGGGAAGGGAAAAGAGAGAGAGAGAGTAAGAAAAAAGAGCGGAGAGTGGACTTATTTTTCTTTTTTCTCGCGAGACGTGGTGCTGCGTGGGCTGAGGTGGTGTGATGATGATGATGATGGAAGGGAGAGGGAGAGAGAGAGAGAGAGGGCGCGACGGGTAGCTGTTGGGCGGGGGAACTTTCGAACAGCGTCGTACGCAGCGAGGGATGGTGGTGCTGGGGTGGCTCGCCATGCAACTGGCAAAAGTATATATATGTTTCAAAGGGCTGAAGACAGAGTGGAGTACATACAGAGAAAAGGAGCAAGGGCGAATGTATAAATAATCCCCAACCCCCATCATGCATCACTGCAACGATCGTCACCCCAGACTGCAGCCACAGCCGACACCCGGGCAGTGGGCCCACCAGCGGGAGCGGGAGCGGAGAGGCGAACGGCGTGACGCTCAGCCTGATGAACGCGGGCTTTGGGGGCTGCTTGCATCGCCAGTGCGTGGTGTGACACGCACGTCCAACCAACGTCATTCCAACCGCCTGGCACCATTGGTGCCGTGATCCCCGCCCACCTTGCGTCGTGAGGACATGAGCCTTCACGCCATAATGCGGAGCGCGAGTCTCCTCCTCTCGTCGAATTCTCTTTCCGGGCGTCAGGTCATTTATAAGGAGCGCGCGGGGGAGCGCCGTCGAGGAGCTTGGAGAGAGAAAGAACCTTAGCATCCACACTCGATCATCAATCACACTCTACAATCAACTTCTACACCGTCTACTCTATTTCTCCTTCGCCTCGAGTGAGAACTGAGAGCGCCAACACCACCAACAACAACACACGCACGACTCCCCACCCGAACCTCGCCCAACAACCCTGCCCGCCATACCCATACCCATCATGACGCGCATCCCCGGCAGCGCGCACCACACGCCTCCGCGCTTCAGCACCCACTCACACTCACACTCACACTCGCCGCCCAACAAATCGCCGCCCTACCTCAGCAGCGTCCTCGCAACCGCCTCGGCGCAACCACAAGCACAGCAGCACCCGCTGCGCCTCCGCCTCCCGACCCCCATCCCCACACCACGCACCCCCCAACAGCAACAACAACGCCAACCCCCCAAACTCCAATCTCTCCAACCTCTCCAACCTCTTCAACGTCTCCAACCTCTCCAACCTCGCCAACCACACCAACCACACCACCGCCTCCGCTCCCGCCGCCACCACCACCACCCCCCCACAACCCTAGCCCCTGACTTCGACGTCCGCGAAACGAGCACAGCCTTCTTCCTCGAGGGCGAGCTGCCCGGCGTGCGCGACGCCGATGCCGTGCGGCTGGACTGGATCGATCGGCGGACGCTGGCTGTAGAGGCGCGGATCGAGAAGGTGGATTTGCGGGGGGAGTGGGGGGAGGGGGTCGCTGTTGGTGGGGTGGGGATGGGGTGTGCGAGGAGGGGGAGTGCGGGGAGTGGGGGCAGTTGTGGTGGGGGCAGTTGTGGTGAGGGCAGTTGTGGTAGTGAAGGCGGAAGTCAAGAGGACGAGATGGTCGTCGACGAAGCGGCCACGGAGCGGAAAGGCGGCGCGGGGAACGGGGGCGTCGAACTGCGGCGGCGTGACAAAACCACCACCATCACCACCAACACCAACACCAACACCAACCATGCGGGGCTGCTAGTCCGGGAGTGGCTGAGCGAGCGCCGCCTCGGACACTACCAGCGCACATTCACGTTTCCGACCGACGTGGACGCGGCGGCTATTCGTGCCCGCTTGGGCCAGGGCCTGCTGCGCGTTGTGGTGCCGAAGATAGCGAGGAGGGGCGTCGAGGGGAGGCAGGTTGCTGTTGAGGCCTGTGAGTAGTGGTGTTGCGAGGGGTGCTGCGGCGTTTACTTACTTTACCTTTTGGGAGGGAGAGGTTGGGCGTTGAGGCTTGTGTACGGATATGTATATATATACCTAGGGATTACTTATGGCGGAGGGTTTGGGTGGGATAGGTTAAGGGTTGTTGGACTTGTTGGATTTGTACTGGGGGTTTGTTCAGAGTTGCGAGTAGCTAGCCATGTTATATCCATCAACTTTCTTAAAGCGAAGGCAGCGGTAAATATATACTAAAGACTTACACTAGATACCAAGGCAGGACACGCTTTACGAACCTAGAAAACAGCACTTTATACTCTAGCATTAAGGACTGTCTCGAGCCTCTAACTTCTAACCCCTTAGGTCTTTTTAGGATTAAAGCGTAATCTAGGAGTAATAGCGAATAGTAATTTATATAGTATAGAGAGTTGACTAAGCCTCTACTCTATCAGCCCATTGAGACGCCATCAATCATTCAGTGAAGGCTTCAAAGTAGCACGTCAGTGTAGTGATATTCAATAAAGGCATAAATAGTACGGCTATAAACGCCCTCCCTTAAAACCACGATTCGCTTGGGTCGCTTGAGCTGCTCGACAACAGCATAATAATTGGAGATGGCAATCCAACACTAAACTACCATACAGAGACGGTCGTTCCTCCAAGCAAACACAATTCGCCTATAGCTTACCTATCACCGTACTACACAGAGGCTTTAACACATTTCAACCCTACAAATCACCCCCACGCAAAGCTCTCGACCATCACAAGGGCCGCGTCACGATATCCAGCATCATTGCGCAGCGCTACTACGTCCGAACCTGGCGTTCAGATCACTCTGCGTCGTAAATCGTAATCGACGCTCTCGGACGCGCCAGATCGCACGCACGCTAATTGGGAATGAGGTGGGAATGCCACAGTGAGTGGTCGAGTACGACGTATCGGACTGTAAGCCGCACGTTCACGTTCTTGGTGGTCTGGAGTTGGCGGAGGGCGGCGGAGGGGGAGGAGGGTTTATATAGGCTGCGGACGAGTCGATTGCGTTAGTAGAGGATAGCTGTGGCAGCGAAGTGGAACTGGAAAGGCTTGGAGCCTGCACTGGCAGTGTAGCTGAACGGCACCTTTATCATTTCTCGTAATTGCTAGTGCTTTCGTATTACCGGAGCAGGAATGGTCGATCACTGACCTTCCATGTAACTAGGTTCACCGTATAGGCACCTCGGCTTCTATACCTGGTATGTAGCAGCATGTCGGCTTGCAGATAGAAATTTAACCATCTCTTATAGGCACGAGTTTCTTCTCTCCAAATTATTTATTCACTCACTGTCCTTGACGTTCTGTCCTGCTGAAAGACAAATCCGGGACACCGTCGTCATCATGCTGCTCTCACACCCACCTAGGTAGGTAGTCTCAGAGTCTTTGACAACCGCAACCCCAGCGTCATCATGTCGCGCTCACTGTCTCATTTCATTCATGGCCTAAAAAGCACCCCAGCCAGGTAAAAAGACAAAAGCCTCTGACTGAGAAATCTAAAACCACACTTCCGCCGCTTTGCAGACACCACCAGCACAGCCCAAACATAACAAAACAGCCCACCAACGCCAGTGAGCCGCGAGCACCATGGCACCGCTTCCGCGACCCAGCACGCCCAAAACCCACATACCGCGTACTAACGGACGGAGCCCTCACTGCCGCGGGTCCAGCCACTAACGTGTCCACCCAACCCAACCTCTCCCCAAACCACCACTTCCCACCACCACCACTCACACACCAGCCACAGACGAAGCAAGGCCAGAAAACGCGTGAACTCAAGCATAGCTAGGTAAGGTAGGTAGTGTCGATTCCATCTCTACCTTATTACACGTCCGTCCCTCTGCATCCATGCACCATGATGCCATGCCATGCCCACGCACACCACACACCCAAGGAGCATGTCCGGACGCATGTATGTACGTCTTGCGTAAAAAGTAAAAGTAAAAGAAGCAAAAGAAGGGCAAACAAGAAAAGAAAAGAAAAGAAAAGACAAAGACAATTCGACTCCCACAGCTAGAGAGAGAAGCAGCACCAGCACCAGCACCAGCAAATGCGCTTGCACGCACTCCGTCAACGCCTTACGCCCACGACAAACAAGCAAGCAAGCACAACACAGCACAGAAAGAACCAACCGAACCCAACTCCCCAAGGCAGAGATAAAAAAATAAGAATAAGCAACATCGCATAGCTAATACAAAACACTAGGCAAACAAACGCACAATCACGGCTCCGCCATATCGCCCAACGGCACAGGCGCATAGCCCGCCTCCTCTCTTTCCCGCCTGCGCTCCCTCCACAGCCCCCTCAGCGCACGCACCACCCTCCTCACAACACCCACACTTGCACCCTGGCCGGCTCTCCTCGTCTTCGCGTCCTTCGCACCCGCGCCCGCACTCTCCACAGCCGCGGCCGCCGGATCCAGCTTCTCAAGGCTCATCCATCCCGGCCGGCGCCACCAGCGCAGCGCCAACGAGCTCGCCACCACGCTGACACTGCTGCACGCCATGGCGGCGCCGGCGGCCATAGGCGGCAGCGTCAGGCCCCACGGCAGGAAAAAGCCCATCGCGAACGGCAGGCCGATGATGTTGTAGCCGCACGCCCAGAGCAGGTTGAGCTTGATGCGGGCGAAGATGGTGCGGCTGAGGTGCAGCGACGCGGGGATGGCCAGCAGGTCGTTGGGCGTCATGAGCACCACCGTTGCGGCTTCCATGGCAATGTCGGTCCCTGACGCCAGCGAGATGCCCACGGCTGCTGTCGCCAGCGCCGGCGAGTCGTTGATGCCATCGCCTACCATCGCCACCACGTGCCCGGCGCCGCCTTGGGCTGCCGGCCGCTGCAGCTCCTCGATGATGCTCTGCTTGGTCGAGGGCGTGGCGCCCGCGTGCACGTTGGCGGCCGCCACGCCCACGGCCTTGGCCACGGCCAGCGCCGGCGCGAGCTGGTCGCCCGTCACGATCGACGTCGAGATGCCCATGCGCGCCAGGGCGCGGATCGTCGCCCGCGCCGACGGCTTGAGCGTGTCCGCCAGCGACAGCGTCCCCGTGTACGTGCCGTCGACGGCCGTGTGGATCTGCGTCGTGCCCGTCGAGCCCAGGCCGAAGTCGTCCGTGTCGGGCTCCGCCGCATTGGCCACCTCCTCCGCCGACACGGGCACCTCGATGCCGCGCGAGCGGAGGAAGTCGGCGTTGCCAATGGCGACGGCGTAGCGCTTCTGCTCGGGTGAGATGGCCGCTTCGACGTTGGCCGAGATGCCCTTGCCGACTATGGCCTCGAAATCTCCGACGCTGCCGTCAAGCGCACCTTCGGCGCCGAGTCCGATATTATCCTTTGCGGCCGAGACGATGGCGCGCGCAATAGGGTGCTCGCTGTTCATCTCGGCGAGACCAATCAGCGTCCACCACAGACGTTCCTTCGGTTGCGAGTTGGTCCAGCCTCCGCGGATATCCGCATCGGACACGCTCATCTTGCCCACGGTCAGGGTTCCAGTCTTGTCCAGCACGACGTGCGTAACTTTTGTTGCTGTCTCGAGCGCGGCTCCGCCCTTGACCAGGATGCCTTGCTCAGCGCCAACGCCGGTTCCGACCATGACGGCCGTGGGCGTGCTGAGGCCGAGCGCGCAGGGACAAGCGAAAACGATGACGGAAATGCACAGCTTCACACAGACCATCAGAGTGCCACCACTCGCGTGGTTGAGGAAGATTCCAGGCGGGTGAGGGAGAATGTGACTGAGGACCATCCAGGCGACGAATGTGGACAGACCGAGGGTGATGATGACCGGGACAAAGTAACCAGCAACGAGATCAGCGAGCCGCTGAATAGGCGCGCGAGACGTCTGCGCTTCCTGGACAAGCTTGACAATCTGTGACAGCTGGGTATCGCGGCCCGCACGCGTGACGATAAAGTCGAGCCGGCCCGCGCCGTTGACGGTACCCGCCATGAGCACATGGTCCTTCTTCTTGAGAATGGGCATGGCCTCACCGGTGACCATGCTCTCGTCAATGTAGCTTTCTCCGCGAATAACGGTGCCGTCTGCGGGAATCTTGTCGCCGGGCTTGAGGATGACGATATCACCAACCTCGATGAGCTCCGTTGGAATGATTCTTTCCTCCGCCGCATTGCCAGCCGGGCTGCCCTCGCCCTTCTTCTCCTCGCCGCTATCCCAGTCCTCGGCCGCCTTGGCCGCAGCGAGCGGGTCGACGTAGATTGTCGCCATTGACGGAGCGAGGGACATGAGTCGCGAGAGGGCCTTGGAGGTCTGTCCCTTGGCGCTGTTTTCCAGGTACCGGCCGAGGGTGATAAACGTGATCAGCATGGTGCTGGTGTCAAAGACGGTGCTGGGCTTCGAATGCGGCGGGACGAGTATCGAGACGATCATGGATGCAACGCTAAAGAAGAAAGCTGCCGAAGTACCAAGAACAACCAAAACGTCCATGGTTGGCGAGCCATGCTTGAGGGATTTCCAGGCAGACTTGTAAAACCGGCGGCCGATGCCGAATTGCACGGGAATGGTCAGAGCCAGGCAGACAACATCGCCCAGCCACAAGCCCATGCCCAAATGTATGCCTCCGTAGTTCAAGGCAGGAATAAACATGGGGAAAAACATGCTAGTCATAAAAACGGGGACTGCAAAACTCAAAGAAACGCGGAAGGCTCTGCGCCATTCTTGAATCTCCTTTGTCTTGGAGAGTGACTCAAGCTGCGCATTATTGTCGTCTGCGTCCGCCACGAGCGCATTGTAGCCAGTGGCTTCGATAATCTCAACAATGGAGCGCAAGCCGGTGCTCGAGGGCTTGTGGGTGACGACGGCGCGAGTGGTGGCATAGTTGACGTGAACGGAAGACACGCCCGGAAGAGTCCTAAGGGTGGATTCCAGCTCCACGGCCGCCTCGACATCGGGAATGCCATAAATTTTAAGGTGCACCGTACAGTTGGAAGAAGTCGACTGCACCGCGTCTACGGTAGACAGGATCTTGACATCAAATCCGCGCTCTTCAATCGTTTCCAACACCTGCTCGGGAGAAAGTTTCTTGGGGTCGTGAGTGATGACGGCGCGTTCGGCGAGGAGACTAATGTTGAACTGCAGCACGCCGTCGAGGCCCTTAAAGCCGTTTTCTATGGCAGACGTGCAGGCGCCGCAGGTCATGCCATCAATGGCGACGGTGGTGGTGAGGACGGACTTGCGCTTGGCTTGCGCCTGGGAACCCTTGGCCGAGGAATGCGCTAGAGCCTTGGTTGAATCGACAACCTTTGCGTCAAAGCCAGTGTCCTCGATCATTTCGGCGATCTTCTCGGGGCCCAGCATGCTGGGGTCGTGCTCAATTACCGCGCGTTCCGAGAGGAGCGAGATGCTGAACGACTTAACGCCGGCTACGCCCTTGAAGGCGCCCTCGACGGCGGATGTACACGCGCCACACGTCATGCCTCCCACGGCCACGGTTGTGGTAAGAAGGCCGTCGCGCGCGCCCTCGTCTTCGGCGTCGTCCAGCAACGCCTCATTGGTCGTCTGCGGCAGGTCCGACGACAGGACTTCGGCGTCGAAGCCGCGGTCCTCGATGATTTCGCGGACCTTGTCGGCCGAGAGCTTCGTGGGGTCGTGCTGCACGACGGCGCGCTCCATGACCAGGCTGACGGAAACGCTGCCCACGCCGTCGACGTCGCTGAAGCCGCCCTCGACGGCCGAGGTGCAGGCGCCGCAGGTCATTCCTTCGACTTTGAGGGTTGTCGTCGCCATGTGCGCGGTGCCGGTGGGAGCATCGGCGTCGCGCGTCGCGACGGGCATGTATGGTTGGGTCATGACGGGGGGGTTCGGCGGTAAAGATCGGAAGAGCCCTGGGGCGGGCGGGAATTGGAACAGAGGGCCAGCTGTTGGTAGTTTTGTAGGGTGAGACAGGCTGAGCTAAGAATAGGGAGGAAGTGAATCAAAGAGGAAGGGCGTCAGCTGGCAATATGCCTGCATATGTCAGCTCCGCGGGAGACGCCTTGTCAAGTCCGAATCAAGATCGGCTCCGCAAAAGACCGGAGGGCAGAACAAAGGAAGCAAGAAAAGAAGGGCGGCGGCACGGACGAGGCGTCACAGGAAGCGGCAGCTATTATACTAAGTAGAGAGTACACGGGTACGTTCGCTAAATGAAATAGACAATTGTGCTCAAGGGCGAGAGTCTGAAACGCGTGGAGCGGGCGATCTGCCAGAGAGCCGCCCGAGCGGCAAAAGAGCCAAAGTGGATGCAACAGCAACTGACAAGCCGAGGCACGTGAGGCGAGTCCGGCGGTCCAGATTGATTACATTCTGCCACAAGACACCGCCTTTAAGGTGGGAGCTAGGGTGCTACCTACGACACCATCTAGGTATCCATTCCCGCTACACCATCTACCTCTCATACTACCCACCCAAACCATGGAGCAGACGCGCGCCCTCAACGCCCTCGAGCCCTTCCTGGCCCTCTCCAAGGCCGCCACCTCTCCCCGCGCCGCCGCCGACCTCGTCACCCAAGCCACCTCGGCCGCCAACACCTACGTCTTCGCCGAGCTGCTCCAAGCCCCAACCATCCAAGGCCTGCGCGCCTCACCCGAGTACGCCGGACACCTGCGCCTCCTCGAGGTCTTTTCCTGGGGCACATGGCAAGACTACACCAGTACGTCACAGCACAACAAACCCATTCAATCTTAACTAACACGCACTTCCGCACTCACAGCAGCACAGCCCAGCCTCCCAGCCCTCAGCCCCGCGCAAGCGCACAAGCTGAAGCTCCTCTCGCTGCTCCCGCTCGCCGCCGACCCCGCAAACCTCACCTACGCATCGCTGAGCACGAAGCTAGAGATCGGCACGACGCGGGCGCTCGAAGACCTTCTCATCACGGCCATCCACTCGGGCCTGATAGCCGGGACGCTGAACCCGGCCGCGGCGCGCGTGGCCATCACGTCGGCGGCCCCGCTGCGCGACCTGCGCCCCGGAGCCGCGCCGGGCATGACGGCGGCGCTGGGCGCGTGGCGCGCCCGCTGCGACGACTCGCTTGCGGAGCTGGAGGCGCAGATAGCGGGGGTCAAGGCGGCGGCGAGTGAGCGCGCCGCGCTGAAGGCGAGGGAGGACCGTCTGCGCGCTAAGGTCGAGGAGAAGCTGGATGAGCAGAGCAAGGCGGGCGGGAAGAGGGGCGAGCGCGGCCAGCCGGCTGTGCAGGCGCAGAGGGAGGACGAGGACGATGCGATGGAGGTGGATGAGGGCGAGGGCGTCGAGGCCGGCCAGGGCCGCAGCACTCGCAGCTCTAAGCGCGGCGCTTTTGGCGGGAGGGCGCGGTAGAGGAATGGGGCAGCGGGATGGCAGACGAGTGCGCGAACGACAGAAGCAAACAGCCAGCCACGCGCTTCTTCTCAAGTCGCCAAAACAGCAAGGAACGGAACGGAAAGGAAAGGAAAGGAAACAGCGAAAGGCACGACTCTACGACCCAACGAAATGCACACAAAGCAAGCAAGCATTACCCACCAACCCACAACACATCAACATCAACATCAACATACCCCAGCACGCACACTCCAAGACCAGCAACCAGCAGCACCACAAACGGCATCGCACCAGTCCTCCCCACTGCTGTTTCTTGCATCACACTGCACGCCCTCCGCACTCGGCACCACACGCTGCGACAAAGGCGAAGCATAGCACTCGCCTGCACTGTACACACAACAAGCCGGCCGAGTACTCGGCCAGCGACCCCACCCATCCCTCTCACATCACCCACCCACCATACTACAACTCACCCCAACGTAGCGGCAACCTATCTAGCCTTCGAGCGGCAAGCAACCGCGCTGGCATGGCAGTCTAGACACCTACCCAGACCTGGATCGTGCTCGGTAGTGATGTGGCTGGCAATGGGGGTGGGATGGGATGCGGTGCTTCTTCTATGGACGGACACATGGACAGACAGAGGGACGGGCGTGCGTGCTTGCTTGTTTGCTTGCTTGAATGCTTGAAAGCCTAAGATAGGTAGCTAGGTAGCTAGTTCCCAATGCAATGAATCAACTACTTTGACACACACCCGTTACGCACGTCACGTCACTGATTGCAGTCAAATACCTATCTCTTTTCCTTCCTTTCTTTCATTCGTTCTCTCATTCTTTCATTCATCCATTCATCCATTATCTATCTTATCTTAATTTGTATGTGTGTATACGGATCCGTACTTCAACTCAAAGGGAACGGGGTCATTCCTTCCTTCCTTCCTTCTTTCCTTCCTTCCTTTCTTTATGCTTTCTCTCCTTTCCTTTCCGTTTTTGCTTTTGCTTCCCTTCGCTTCGGTCTGTACTCCTACTCCTACACCCAGCCACCCACGCAACCACTGCAACTGCGCCCAATCTTGATCTTGGTCTTGGTCTCAAGCGCGCCTGCGCCTGCGCTTGCACTGCCGCTTGCCTTGGTTGCTTGCTTGCCAGTCTCTCGCTTCCGCTACCGCGCTCTCCATCAGCGGCTCGTCCATGCATCCATTTCTCCATAGGTTCATCCGAGTAATGAAGTTGCCGTCGGACATGCAGCCAAGCCAAGCCACGACGCTCTCTTTCTCCTCAGACGATTCGATCCTACCACCCCGCCCCACCACCGCCATACGGCTGGGCACCAAACGGCGTAGCCGCGCCGCCCCAGACACTCCCGCCGCCAGCGCCCGGCGCGCCATACGGCGTGGTGAAGCCCTGGTCGAGGCCGGCGCCGCCGTACGCAGTGCCCGCACCGCCCATGTCCGGGCTGCGCGCGCCGCCAAAGCCCGCCCCGTCCATCTCGCCCGGCATGCCGCCGCCGCCGCTGCCCGACCCCGTGAGCTCTTGGATCACGGCCGCCAGCTTCTGCTGCAGCACCCGGATGCCCTGCTGCATGATGACGTCGGGCTCGAGGCCGCCGACTGTTTCGAGGTTGAAGTAGAATTGGCTCGGCGCCGCGTCGTAGTCGAAACTGTCGCCTTTTTGGGGGGGGTCGCCTTCGAATTGCGCGTTGTCGGAGATGGGCCTGTGGGAAGGGGGGGTTAGCTTGGTGGCTTGTTTATGTTTATGTGTGTGCATGTATGGGTGTGGGTGTGGATGTGGGTGAGGTGCTGGGACTACTTACCACTCGGCAACGGGGTCCTCTTCGAACCAGTAGTCCAGGTGGCGGAGCTTGTTGTACGGATCGTACTCGAAGCCGATGGCGGCCGTGGGCGCCCACTTGGAGTGCTCCTTGGCGATACCCTTCTTCGCAATGCACTTCATCTTGAGTTCCTGGCCCTTGCGCAGCTTGCAGATGATGGCGCCATGGCCGTCCGGGTCAGTGATGACGGGCGAGCCCACCCACTCGTTAGCGCGGGACTCGGAGACGACGAGGTCGCGCGCATAGACGGTCATGACCTCGTCGCCGGTGCAGCGCGCGTTGAGGCTGAGCACGACGCTGCACTGCTCGCAGTACTGCTCGCAGTCGCAGTCGCGCGTGTACAGCACGTCGTCGACGTTCTTCGAGTTCAGTGGTATCAGGCCCAGCCGGTGGCACAGGAACTCGTCGGCCAGCACCGACGTGTTCTTCTCCACCTCGACCAGGTCGATGGCCATGGTCGGGATCTCGGCCAGCATCACCCGCCGCAGCGAGTTCGCAAACGCCAGGTCCACGTTCTTCAGCACAAAGTCCACCGCCACGTTGTCCGCCTGTGTATGAGCTTTTTGTGAGCGCCTGTTCTGCTTGATTGCTTTGCTTGCTTGCTTTGTTCGCTGCTATGCGCGGGCCACACTAACCTCGCGGATCTTCACTTGCACGCCGTCGACGGCGTCCATCCCCAGCATGTCGTAGTCCATGGTTGCGGCTGCGAGACGGTCGCGAGGAGTCGGGTGTGCTGTTGGGCGTGGTCGGGTGGTTGGACGGAGGGCACAGCTGGCGATGTGGTTGAGGATAGGGGGAGGTGCAGATTGGGTGGAGATGGAGCTGGTGACGGTGATGCGCTCAAAGAAAGTCGTTGTTGCGGAGCGGCGGCCACCGCGGTCGCCTTCCGCCTGCATCGAGGGTCCGAGCGCGGCCTTCCTCCGACTGGCCCATGGTTCAGGCGCAATTGTCCATTCACTCTACTTTACCAAATATATCTACTATACCTATAAAGTACTTCTTCGGTGTTAATAGTAAACCATTACGCTACGGCTAGTATGCACTAAGTACCTATACAAAGGTAAAAATATACTATACATAATCCGATTCAACAACACACGGAAGCACGAACATTCATAAGCACCAGATCACTCTATCAAGGCATACAACCCCAAAAAACCAAAGGGTACAAACGCACTTCCAAAGGTATGCAGACACGAAACATCCGCGAGCACAAAGCATCCTCTATATTCCTACAGTTACACTATCACGAGGGGTGAGCAACGCGTCAAGAGCGTATGAACAAACTAACTCCTTCCTCCGCACCAAACGCCCTGAAACCCCTCATCCATCCAGCCCTACCTACAACTCGACCTCGCTCTCCGGGTCTGCACGCGCAGAAAGCAGCCCTCCAAACTCGGCCCACCCCATCCTAGCTTCGCCGCACTCGTCATCTTCATCATCATCATCATCAAACAGAAGACGGCGAAGAATGTCTGTATGTGCTGCGCTGTGGGCCCAGTGGCTGATGCGCCGTCTCGGGCTCTGTTTCGGGCTCTGACGCGCGGAGTGTGTGGTCATGGCTGAAGTGACGGTTGCAGATGGAGTAGGCGAGGCGGTGCTGTGTCTGGCGCGTTTGGCGGGACGGGTTGGGGTATAGGCGAGGGTTTTGTTTTCGTCGTTTCTGTCGTTAGCTTCGTCGTGGGCTGTGGTTTTGGCTGCTGTCAGGATTGTGGGTTTTTCGTGGTGTTTGTGTCTGCCTGCATCTTCTGGGCTCTTGCTGTTGTTGTTAATGCCTTCCTCGTCCTCGTTTCCTGTATCGCTCGTGTCGTCATCGTCGCCTAGATCAATCACGCAAGTTTCTCTCCGTCTTTTTTTGGCACTCTCCTCCATCATCATCACCGTCCTTTTCTATTCTCTCCCCACCCTGTTCCTCTCTCCTCGTCCCTTCATCTGCCATCTCTCGCTTCCTCATCATCATCTCATCATGCGCAAAAACGTCACCGGAGCAAAACCGCCCAAACAGCGCACGCATCCCGCTCTCCGGTGTCCACGCATCCTCATCTACCGTGCAGGGATACACATCCCGCGGCGCGAGGGCGCGCGCCAAGCCGCATAGCTCACGGTGAGAGGCGTGGCGCGAATATGGGAACGTGATGGTGCGTGGGAGCGGAGTGTCCGGGACGGCAGAGTCGGCGGTTGCGGGCTGGGCGGTTCGTGCGAGCAGGGCGACAAGGTCGTTGAGAGTATGGGCGGGTGCGTCGGCGTCAACGTCCAGGTCCCAGGCGTCATCGGTGTCGAGACGGATGCGGAGGCCCTGTTCAGTCAGTGTTCCAGAGGTCAGCATAGTCTCGACTTCGGCGAGCAGTGTCCGGTCTTGCAGATGCTGGGCGCAGAGGGCGTGGATACGGGGCAACACCGCGGCAGGAGCCTCCAGCTCGGCGATGCGGTCAAGGTTGCCTTTCCCGCCGCCACGGCCCGCCTCGGGAACGTGGGTACCATCGTACCGGCGCGTCACAACCGGCACGATTTGCACGACAGCGGCATTGCCGTCGACGACGGGGCACGGCGTCCCACGCTCGCAGCTGTGCAAACGCACGTGTGGGTCCGTCGTCAAGCAGCCTCGCTGCCGATGATTGCCGAGGTCAAACCCGCACAGTGGCGGTGCCTCGGGCGCGCCGGCTACCTCGAGTGACTTGTACAGCCGCCAGCGGTACTGATCCAGGTGGATGGGACTGTCCAGGAAGGCGGCGAGTGCCACCCACACGTCCTCGTACCCGAACGTCCACGCCTCAAAGTGAAAGATTGTGTCCGGCGGGTACCGTGCGACCTTGTCCAGCAGCTCGCGTACGCCGTCAGCCTTGGACGGGAAATCTTGGTCGGCAGCGGAGGCGCTGGCGAAGGTAGTATCGAGATATATCTTGTCGAGGCGGCGGGCGGGTAGTGTGTAGGGCAGCAGGACGGGGTTGCGCAGCAGCGAGTCGAGCCATCACAGCTCGGCTCTGACGTCGCCGGTGTACAGGACAGCCTTGGCGCGAGACTGGATTAGGAACATGACGGCGCCGACGCAGTGGTTGGCGTCGAGGAGGGTGACGCGGACGGCATTTCCGGGGGAGAGCTCGATGGTGGTGGGCGTGTCGAGTGGGATGGGCTTCAGCAAGGTCTTAAGGTGGGCGTAAGACTGCTTGCGGGCCTCGAGGATGCCATTGGCGAAGTTGATGCGGTGGGGGTAGCGTTCAAGGCGCAGAAGAATCTGGCAGCAGGGTCATGAGGTTGCATGCAGCTGGGGGCGCGTGTTCGGACGACGCAGGCTTACCTGGCGCGTGGCGCGGGAGCAGTAGACGAAAGGGGCACGCAGCGACTCGAGACCGCGGAGGTGGTCAGAGTGGACATGGGAGAGGAAGCAGGCTAGCGGTGGGGGGCGTCCGGGGAGGGGACGGAAGCAATCGATGCGGATGGCTTCGAATTCGGGGAAAAAGCCGTCAAAGGTCGACATGGCTCCGATCACGTGTGGGCGGGAGAGCGGCGAAGATTGCGGATGATTGCAGACTAAGCAGGCTATTTTCGGGGCTGAGGCGGGCAGAGGCGGGCAGACCGGCGACAGGGCTACACACAACTTGGCCACGTCAGGCGTAGGGCCGAGGCCGAGCGGACCGACTCGAGAGCAGTAGGGTGCCAGACATGGATGGAGCGGTTGGTGAATGATGGCCCGCCAAACCAGTGAGGCTGGGAAGAAGTGAACTGGGGACAGTCCGTGTCAAGTGCAATCAAGTGCTTGACATTGACTGGGCGATTCACCGCAGTCGCATATCCACTGATGACCCTTGCGTGTGCAGCAGCTGCCGTGAGCTGGCTGGCCGGCAATGCGGTGAAGGGCGCCGCCTAAACCCAGCCTCTGCCAGCAGTCCGCTGAAGCTACTTACTGCCAGCCGAGACCCTGGCGGCTGCATAACAAGGGAACCGCACCCTTGTAATTTCCCTCCTTAATAGTATATCCCACGCCGACGCCCCAAGCCTCACCAAATCCAAACTCTCCTTAACTTTCTCGCTTTTCGCGATCGCTCCCTCCCTCTCTCTCTCTCCCCTTCTCTCTTTCTCTCTCTCTCCTCATCCTTCTCCCTTCCTCTCTCCCCTCGCTCAACACCACAACCACAACCACAACTACAGCCACCACCACCATCATGCACCGGAAACTGCCAGTCTCCGTCGTCGTCTACAACCACCTCTTTCCTAACCCGCGGCCCGAGGACCCGTCATCCTTCTCGGCACACCTGAGCAAGAACCTGGTGGGCGAGGTACGCATCGAGACGGCAACCTTCTACGGCTCACTCGACAGCATCGAGGCACGCTACCCGGGGCTGAACTACTCGCATCCGCCTCACCGCAAGCGCCTGGGACGCTTCCCGCACCACGCCCGCCTGTTCCGCGCCTTCGACGAGCTGCGTCTGACCGAGGCTGAGATTGCGTCGCTGTGCCGCTGGGAGGGCACGCTGTGGGCTCGTGAGCGGTACGAGCGCGACGAGGGCATCCGCGTCCAGGACACGACTGCCAACGAGATCGGGCCTTGGGTCGACACGAGGCGGCACCGCGTCGCGCGCGGCCGCAACGGCGACAGCATCAACGTGAAAACGGACATTGAGGTGGCCATCGAGGACTGCGGCAGCGGCGGTGCTGCCCGTCGTCGCCACCAGCAGCAGCAACAGCACCACCACCTCCAACAACACCAACAGCAGCAGCAACAAACCTCCGCCGATGCCGACATGATGGACGATGACGAGGACAACCACCACAGCGAAGACGAGGCCGACGACACCGACGCCCGCCTCCAGAGCATCGGCATCCCCCTCAACCAGCGCCTTATGGCCGCCGCCGCCCGCCGCGAGCACCAGCACCAACAACCGCACCCTATGGACGCCGACTGGGAGAAGTACCTCGAGCGGGCACAGGAACGCGGCGAGATCGGCCATCAGATCCAGTACTCGATACCAGCGGCGACGGCGGGCAGCCTCGTGCCCACGAATCCCCACGACCGCTCCATGCCGCCCGCACCGCCCTCCGCCCCCGCATAAACGACAATAACAACAACAACAATAAAAAAAAAAAAGTCCTTTTGATCTTTCTGTTTCTGTGTTTCGCGGCGGGCGGGGCAGTCGCGCTTTGAATCTTCCACTCAAGCAAGCTTGCATGCACACTCACGGGGTTCGGCGTTAACAACTGCTTGCTCATCATCGTCATCAACAACCACCTACCTACTCTACTCTCCGCATCAACAACCACCTCCTCCATCTCTCTGGCGCAATACCCTATATTTTTCTCGCACACACACATAACTGGGCTCGGCTAAACTAGGATTCTTTTTTTTTTACTGGGAGGCGGGCAACTGGCTGGGATACAGGCTCATCATTTTTTATTATTTCCATCGTCATCATCATTTCTTCGCCGTTAACCGTTACCGTTCGCAAACGCCCCCTCAAGACCGAGGCCGAGGCTAGTTCTTCCCGAATCTCCCGCCTTCTTGTCCGTTTTTCTCTTGGTATTTTTCTGTTCGATTCTGCTTCGCCTTTATTTGTCGCCGTTGCGGGCCTTGATTTTGCTGTTTGTTTGCTTTGTTGCTGTGTTTTTTTTTTTTCCTCTTGGGCATCTTCTCCGGCATAGTTTGCACGGCGTGGCAAAGGCGGCGGCGGGCGTTTGTTTTCCTGTGTTTTTTCTGTGTCTCTGTGTCTGTCTCTCTGTTTTTTATCTTTTGCGGCATTGTTGTCCTCATCCATGGCGCGCGTCGTTCGCACGCGCTTTTTAGACGGCTCTCTCTCGGTCTGCTTGTTTGCGTGTTTGCGTGCTCTGAGCGTTCCCTTCTTTAGTGGATGGACGGGCATCACAGCACGGCATAGCAATAGCAACAGCGACTAGGAGAGCAGGCCAGCACAAGACCAGCACCACCAAGGCTGATCTGAATCGAAACCCGAATTCAATCAATCATCATCAATCTTCAACGCGACCAAGCATTGCAGAGCAAGAAACAACAAATCCGTGCCCGCACGAACGCATCAATGATGAAAAGAACGAAAGAAGAACGTTGCTAAAAGCAGGCACACACCTAGGTAGCCCGTGCATTAACCCGTCGTGCACTACTGCTGCATGACACTGAAACTCCTACGCAAAAGCCACTGCCATATTGTCGTATAGGCAGATCCCCAGTATTTGCGTCCCCCAAAAGAAAGCACAGCCAAAAAACAACGCCTAGGTACGCACGCCCCCCCCCCCCGCTGCGCCCTCGTACGCGACCGGAACGAGAAACCGCCAATAGGCAGATCGCAATGTCCAAAGCGGCAATCCGGGCTATCCCCATGTCCGGCGGGCGTGGCTTACGCATGCATGCGCGCGGGACGTCGTAATGGGGTTGCCGTGTGTATGTGCTGCCTGCATGGAACTGCTGTGGCCTGGAAGAATGGACCGGCAGAACAGGAAACATGAACATGAACGGAAAAGGAAGGCGGCGACTCTGCCAGCAGCAGTACCTAGGTAGGTAGCAAGCAAGCACCTACTTCATCGCCTCGACAAACAGCTCGCGCATGCCCTTCAAGAAAGCACTCAGTTCCCTCGTCTCATTCAACCTCTCCAGCACGCGCTCGACCTCCTCCTGCTCAAGCTTAGGTCTGCAAACCGGGACGGCGTATTCGCGGCAGCTCATATCGAGGACGAAGGCAGCCTCGCGGTCCCAATCGCGGTCATCGACATGCGAGTAGACGAACTTGAGGCGGTCGTCCTCGCCCGCGCCCTCGATGCGCAGGCACAGGTAGTCGGTCCAGAAGGCGAGTTCGGGGCCGTTGGCGCGGGCCATGGCGTCGCGGTAGCGGGCGTGCTTGGCCTGCAGCTCGCGCTTGGCGGCCAGCTGGGCCTGGGCGGCGCTGATTTGGGCTTGGAGGGCGCTGCGGCGCGTTTCTTGCTCGGAGCGGCGATTGCTGAGCTGCGTGATGGCCTGGTGCATCTCGTGCGTCTCTTGCGCTTCTTTGGCCACTGTCTGCGTGTGCGTCGTCGCTTTCAGCGAGAGTATCTCAATGTCGCGCTGTTTCTGGCGCTCGTCCTCTGCGTGCCGGGAAAAACACCGTGTTAGCCATCTGCTCTTGCCGTGCCGTTCATCTTCGACTTCTTCTTGCTCGGCCTCCACTCACCCTGCAGCTCGGCAAGATTGATCCGGAACTGGTTCCGCTCCTCGAGCACCCGCTTGCGCCCCTGCTCGATAAAGGCGTCGAACCGCGACGAGAAGCTCGCCATGCGCGCCCGCAGGTCCTCGAACCCAAAGTTCACGGTCGGCAGCGAGTCCGCCATCGAGGGCGCGTCAGCGGTCGAGAGCGGCGCGCGCATCGCGCTCGCTGAGGGGTCGAAGGCGACGGCTGTGGCCATGCTGGCTGCTGGTTTGGCTCGTTGCGGGCGGGGCGTGGCTTGGCGGCGCTGGCTGCGTGCTGTTGTTGTTGTTGTTGTTGTTGTTGTTGTTGTGGGTGGGTTGCTGGGTTGGTGCTCTGCTGTGTGTATGTATGTGTATACGTGGGACACCTTGCGTGAAGTTGTTGGGCGTCGGCGGTTTCGTGTGTGAGATAGCGTAGGTGGGATGTGGGATGGGGTGGGCAAGGCAGGTGTTGTTGCTGCGGGAAAGCCGGTTGTCATGCAAGCCGTGTGTTTACTTTGCCCGTTGCCCGGCGGCCGCATTGGCGCTAGCGCCGGGTGAAACTAGCGCCGACGGCCGCGCCGATCCCGCTGCCTCCCGTCATGCTCCATGTCTGAGTTCCATGCTGCACGCACTGAACTGTAGGTACCTAACTAGGTAGTCCATTCGTATCTTCTCTATGTATATATGCCTGCCTACTACACGACCTTGCCTACCTATCTTAGCTAACTGACTGACTGACTGCTGCGCTAACTAATGCCAACCCCATACCCAGTGCAGTTTTGCGTGGCGCGTGCATCGCTCATCCATGCATCCATCCATCCATGCATCATACCGCATACTACTTTTTGTTTTCTCCCCTTGTCTCTCACTCAATCTCGATGCCTCTTCCTAACATGCTCGCCCACGCATTAACCCCTCAAACCAGAAACAACAACGAACAAAAAGCAGCAAAGAGAAAAGAAAAGAAAAAAAAGCATCCAGTCCCATACCCTCAACTCCACCCAAACGCCCTCATGCCCTCCTACATATGCATTCCACCGCCTACCTACGACTTGTTCTCCTCGCAAACCGCCACAAACTTGACACAAACCTCATCCTCCTCAAACTTGACAAACTGAGTAGCCGGCTTCCCGTCCTCCCCAGCCAACGTTAGCATTGCGAACTTCGCCTTCGCGCGCTTGTACTGGAACCCCTTCTGGAGTCTGGCGTTCACCACCGCCCGCCCCAACGGCTCCGCCTTCAACAACAAACTCGCCTTGCCCGTCTCCTTGTGCTTCAACACCCTCAACGGCCCCTTCGACACAGTCTCCCACTTCTTCCCCACCTTGCCCTCCGCCGGGTCCCGGTCCACCAGCCGCATCAACGTCACACTCGGCCCCGGCGCCGTGTCGAACAGCACATCGTACGTCACCTTGTCCTGTTCGGTGAGGGCCGTGCGCGCGCTCATGGCCTCCTTGTCCTCCGCCGTCGGCGTCGGTCGCTCGTCGCCTGTATCATTCTCCGCACCGCTAGTCTCGTTCTCCGATGCGCCCGTCGAAAGACCCGGCGTCGTGGCGCGCGAACCCAGCGCGGACGCGAAGACGGACGAGCCACCGGCGCTCGGCGTCGCGGGCGCGGGGTTGAACTTGAAGGGCGAGGAGTCGCTGGCCGGAGGGGGCGTCGAAGTCGACGGCGCTGTGAACTTAAACGAGGGCGTTCCGCCGATCCCAGCGAGATTGGCAAACGGGTTCGACGAAGTCGCCGCCGGTGCATCTTTCTGGCTAGAACTGTCGCTGCTGGAAGGCGCGGGTTGTGACGAACCAAACTTGATAGGCGATGCCGAGTCGCCGTTCCACGTCTTGAGCACAGGGCCCGTCTTGGATCCGACCGGCGAGTCGTAGCTAGAAGACGGGAAGCCAAAGGGGTTGGCAGAGGCAGGCTTGCCCTGCTCCGGAGTACCGAAGACGGGAGCGCCCTTGTCATCCTTGGTGATGCGGCCAAACAAGCCATCCGAACGCCCCGAGGCCGTTGGTTCGGGAGTGGTGCTGGCCTCATTCTCCCTGTCTCCGCTTTCTTCATTCTGGCCAGAAGTTTCTGCGTCATCATCATCGTCCTCTCCATCATCGTCCTCCTTGTTACTGCTCTCATCCTGAGAAATGTGACCGAAAATGTTACGGGCATCCGGAGAAGCCTGGCGACTGTTGAGAACAGAACCACCGCTCGAGAGTCCGGGTGTCGATGCGCGCGAAAACAGCCCACCGTTGGTGGAGCCCTCGGTCTCCTTACGCTTTGACGCGTTGTCCTCATCGGCCGAGGCATCCTTGGATTCCTCCGCAGTCTTTTCATTGAACGAGCTCTTGGACGATTGGGTGGAAAAGTTGAACATCGGCTTCGCGGCGGGACTGCCTGTAGGAGTTGTAGACCCAGAGGTGGTACCGGTAGCTCCGAACTTCAACGGACTACCAGCAGAAGGTGCCGAAGCATTGGCACCGAATTTGATCGGGCTGGACGCAGACGCGCCGAAGACGTTAGCATTTGATGGGCCGGCTTCCAAGTTCGTCGATGCGGCGGGCTCATTACGCGGAGACTGGGTGGACTTGTTGACGATGCTGTTGAAAATGTTTGCAGTTTGCGATCCTCCAAACATGCCGCCGGATTTAGCCTTTTTGGATGATTCATCAGCTGCGCCGGCTTCCAATTCCTCGTCCACCTTGCGTTTGCCGTTGCTCTTAGAGGGCGACGAGACGGAACCCCCAAAGGCACCGTTGGTCGTCCCGGAACCACTGCTTCCATCCATTGCACTTGGTTGGCCGGCTGCGATAGAAGCCTTGATATCTTCGTGTTGAGTGATATAAAACTTGAACAGTTCCGTGTAATCGCCCTCGTCGGACTTTTGCGCCAACTTGTTCTTGACAAAAATGTTAAGCCTACGCTGGCGTGCCAAAGCGCGCATCTGGGGGTCCTTTGGCTTTGAAGGCTCGGCCTGGGTGGTGCTTGGTTTACTCGCGTTCACAGGAGCCTTAGTTGAGGCGGGTGATTGAACAGGAGGAGCAGCAGCCTTGGCCGGGCTGCTCTCTGGCGTAGTGGAAAACGAGTTTCCAGAAAACGAGGGCTTCGGGCTGGAAGGAGGAGCAATTGATTGAAACAGGTTCGGTTTGGGGGATGCTGCTTCACTTGTCTGTTTTTCCGTGACTTCTGTTGCAGGCTTGAATGGCGATTGGCTTGATTCAGTAGGTGGAGGAGTAGCACCAAACTGAGGCGTCTTCGATTGCGAGCTGAAGATGTTGGCAAACGGGTTTGCTGCCTTCTCCGTGGTTTGCTCGGCGGCTGCATCATTCGCCGGCGCGCTAGCTGTGGATTGAGAGAAAGCCGACGCGGACGGACCCTGCGCAGAGAATCCAAACGTATTGCTGGAGTTTGACGAAGAGAATATATTCTTTGCCGGAGCCGAGTCTGCTTTCGCTGGAGCGTCCTCTTTTTCCAACGGCGTGTCTCCACCAGCGCTCGGGGGCTGTCCGAACAAGTTTGTCGATGGCTTCGAAGGACTTTCACTCTGGAACCCGAACAAGTTGCTAGCAGGCTGAGGCTTGGTAGTGGATGCTGGCTGTGCAAAGATGTTCTTGGGCGCTTCGGCCTGCGTATCTTTGGGCGTTTCGGTGGATGTGCTCGTGGCCGGAGTTTCTGCGGGCTTTGGTGCCTCTTTCGGCGGAAAGCCGAAGATGTTCGTGGCCGGTTGCTGGCCGGTTCCAGACGTAGACTGACCGAACAAGTTCGACGCAAAAGGGTTGGATGCCGGAGTAGTAGAGGGACCAGCAGCAGAGACATCTTTCGTAGGGGTAGTAGGTGTAGCACTGAAAAGGTTTGTCGATGGCGCAGTGGTACCACCGAAGAGGTTAGTCGTCGGCGCAGAGCCACCAAACGCATTGCTAGATGGTTCGGAAGAGGTGTTGCCAAACAGAGTGGTCGAAGGTGCGGAGGTGGCATTGCCAAATGTATTGCCCGACGGAGCGGACGAGGTAGCACTGGCGAAGATGTTTGTTGAGGGGGCGGATGAAGTTATGTTGCCAAAGATATTGTTCGGCGGTGCAGTTGCCGTTGCAGCATTGTCCTTGGCCGGGGCAGATGAAGTCGTAAAGATGTTGCTGGCGGGAGCTGCATTTGAAATGCTGCTGAAAATATTGTTGCTTGGCGTCGCGGTCGAAGTGCCAAAGATGCTTCCACCTGCTGGAGGGTTTGAATTGCCCGCAAACAGGTTACTGCTCGATGGGGCAGCTGATGTGCTGAATCCATTGCTTGGGGCAGACGGAGGGTTGCCAAACATGTTCGTACTCTGTGTTGCCGTCGGGTTTCCAAACATGTTGGTGCTGGGTGCAGATGGCTGTGCACCAAAGCTAAAGGCAGGTGCGGCGCTCTGGTTGCCAGTTGTAGAACCGAACATATTGCCGCCTGTTTGCGGTTGGTTGTTTTGCGGCGGATTCGCGCCGAAAGTGAAAGACGTGGAGAACCCAGTGCCTGTGTTCGAACTTTGAGGGGGGTTTTGGGCATTGAAGGGATTAGCCCCAGTGCTTGCTCCGAAAGTGAAGTTACCGCTTGGAGGTGTGGGCGCGAAGTTGAAGTTGCTACCGCCGCCGCCACCGTTGCCAGCACCAAATCCACTAAATGGGCTACCCGATTGTTGCGCTGGGGGGAAGCTTTGAGCAGAGGGCGACTAGGCTTTTGTCAGTTGCTTGTTCTTATGTTCACTTCACTTCACTCATCACGAAGACTCACCGAAGCCGCACCTGCGGTCCTAGGGCGACCCTTCAAAGGCTTCAACCTGGGAAAGACTTAGTATGTGTCCAACAAAGCCAACAAGACCGCAAGGAGCAAAATCCAGAACAAGCACAATGCGAGCATGACGTGACATTGCAGCAGTACATGGACCGTACTTTTGCGCCACCCCTCACACTCTATGCAGTCGCCTCAAGAATATGGAACCTTGCGCCTTGTCGCCTTGCGCGCGACGCGCAAAGCGCAGCAAACCAAACTCACTTTCTTGCAGCCATCTGAGCGGCCGTGGCCTGCTTGGGCCTGTCATCTTCAGACATCTGGTTTGCGCCGTCACCAAGGAAGCTGCCTTCCTTGCTTAGTTGTTGCATTGCCCCGCGTTTCGACATGGTGGCGGAGTGGATGCGCGCGTGTCGCGTGCGGATTGAACAAGCGTTTCTTTATGACGTTTCACAAGAGAGACACGGCGTTGCGGGCGTTGGTCGCAAAGGAAGCGGCTTCCATGCGCAAAAAGTGGACCGGTAAGCCGTGGGCGACGGATTCGCGTCTCTGTTATTGTTGTTGTTTAGCCGGCGCACGCGCGAACGGGTCGGTCTGGAATCACCTGTGCGCGCGCGAGCGAGGGGTCGAGTGTTGCGCCAAAGGAGAAATAGATGTATATGGCGATCAAGAATCGAAGCGCGGTCGCGCAGGCGCTGGGCGTTCAGGACAGTCTGGCGGGTGAAGGTGCTCTAGAAACAAAATGACGAGGTGCTGACAGGCAGGGGTCGCTGCGGTCACCGAACTTGTCGGCAAAATAGTTTCTCCGGCCTAGCAAGCCTAGGTTTCGGCCTGAAGGTTGCCCACCGGCCTGCCAGCCTGACAGGCACGACAGGCTTCTCTGCATACTCCCACGTCTTGCCCTTCAGTGCCTCTCCCACGAACCCTCATGGCGAGCATCCCTTCGTTTCATGCCTACTCATGCCAAGCGCTGGAATGAAAAGGTCGAAACCCATGTTTGATGTGCTTCTTGATACCTTCAATCGCACATCTTATGGACTTCGTTTACAAACTTGTTGCAGCCCCCAATGCGAACGAAGCGACATGAGGCTGGTGATACTAGAGCCCCAAATACCGAGTCTTCAGTTGGGGCATCTCGCCATGCAAAGGAGGGATGGCTGCATTGCAGGCCGGTTGCCCCTGACGAGATCCAGGGACCAGGAGTATTTCCTCAATCCCCTCGACGTCGTTGAGTAATCTGGTAATCTGGTCGCTCGGCGATGAGATCTATTGCCTATTCCCAGCCTTTACCTTCATGCTGTAGAATATTGTAATCCCATCCCCAGGGGATTCTCATGTCCAAGGATAGAACATCCGGATTCGGAGCCGCAAATGCCTGATAATGAAGATCAAGCACGCGCACGGGCTAGCGTACGCAATTCCACCTTCCTCCTTTGCCGGTTGAAAACAGCTCACCGTGGAGTTACTCAGACACACCGTCAATTGCTGGAGTGGTCCAGAATCGAAGGGAGGCCGGGTAATGTGTGGCCATAGCGCAAATCTCACCGCTAATCGAAAGGATGCACTCCATGAGGATTGCAGAACGCCATGAAGCTGCCAGCTGTTTACCGGTCAAGAGGCGAATGATATGAAGCAGCGTTCGTTTCTGAGCGGGTCGGCTGTCGGGTCCCACCGCTTTCCTGCATCTCTGATGATCAGGAACCATCAGGAACCACGGCCTCAGGGAAAAAGTCGAGCTGCAGGGGTTTTCGTCTGTCCATCTTGGATCTAAAGTGCCTGTACAGAACGCAGTTTACCGTGATATCAAGCCATGCGGCCCGTCGTACTAAGCCAGCACAGAACGAATACGGTCCCTGAGCGTGAAGCGCAGACCATGCATTATTCGTCATCGACAGGCACAAAGCAAGCAGCATGAATTCGACTCATGTCGCGTGCCCGATGGGGAAGCCTTCTGGAAGAGCGGGAATATTCTCCTGTGTTTCATGTGGTGCTGGGCCGCGGGCGGTGTATGCAAGAAGGGCGAGGAGCGAATGAAGATTGGATGCGAACAGGTTCTCCTGCCATCGCCTAGACGCTACCCGTTCTCCCCGACGCTCGCACCGGGCCGCGCCTCCTGAGTCAAGTCATGAGATGGCTCAGGGCGGGCGACATTATTATTACCACCCGACGCTCAGGTACGCCTCTGCCCCGCCTTTGATGCCATCGACTGGCCCACGGGTGACGACGAGAAGCACCGCTGAAGCTTCTGGAGCCTCGGCATGCAGCGCGCTTTGGCCAGGGTGGGCCGTCGGCTGGCGAAGAGGCCTCCGCAGAACCAGAGATTTCAGCGGGTTTTGGTGGTTCTGCAGGGACAAAAGGCACGCAGGCACGCAGGACCAGCAGTGGGGAGCCGGGGGACGTGCGGGGTTGGGAAGAAGCAGAAGGGCGTGAAGGGTTGGCTGCGCACGCTGCGGCACGGCGAGGGCTTGGAGAGGACGAGCTTGCGAGGGCGGGCGCATGGCTGGCCGTGTCGATAAGCGACGGCATCAAAGGACGGACGGACAGTGTGGGCAGCAGGTGGCTGGAAAGCTGGAACCGGCGCGCTGGAATGCAGCGTGAAGAAACAACAAGAGGCGCGCCAAAGGGTTGGCTCGCGAGCTATTCCCCCGCTTGCGCGGCCTGGAGCGGCCGCGAGAGGCTTTGGGGAGATTAACAGTATTATGAGGATGTGCCGCGGGCCTGCGACGGCAGTGGTGATTGCTGTGCCGCATCGCACTAGATGCGGGTTAAGATCGAGGGATGGATCGAGCGCCTCCTCTTCATTCAAGAGCCGCGCGGGGCTGCCTCTGCCTACAAGAACCAGGGCGTCCCGCTGTCGTGCCTTTGTGTTGCATTTCTGCCTGCCTGCCTTGTCTGTTTGGATCGTCGACTCTTGACGTCTGCGCTCATCTCTCATCGCCGATTTGCTTCTACATTTAATCCTCATCTCCGACCCGACGACGACAAACGACGACAAACGACGCCAACCCACCCCTTTCGCTTCCTCTCTCTGGTCCGTCGCGCATGCGCATTATGCTCCGGTGATATTGGCTGCCTCTCCGCGCTTTCAACTCACGTCGCCATGTCTTCCTCGTATTCGAAACACCACATGCGACCCTCTTCCTTACATCAACGCCCGTCATACACGAGCTCGCCGCGGCCGGATCAGTATGCGACGGGCCACTCAAAGCCCTCCCACGCCAAGCTTCATAAACGCTCCTCCACCTCCGCAGTCCCCAGCGCCTCACCCGACCTCGCCGCCATCTCTCCACTCCCCATGGACCTCCCGCACGAAGAACCCCGCCGGAGTCTCGACCTCGCCACGCACTCCGCCCGGAAGTTCAAGCCTTATCTCCGGAGACTCTCCACCAAAGAGCGCAACTCTCTCGACCTCTCGTTACCCGCCGCCGACAACGAAAGCTTCTCTGCCCTCGGCATCCAGGAATATGCCGTCGTGCCGCGTTCTGTGCCCGATGCAAACTTCCCGCACGCGGGCCCCAGGCACCAGCACCACCGGTCCACCAGCAGCAACTCGCAAGACTCGGCGAGCTCCGGTCGTCTGCGACAGCCCACCGTCCCGTACGTAAATGCGATACGACAAGCGTCTCGCCAGTTCAAGCCGCCAAGCGAACGGTCTCACCCGGATTCCGTGTATGAGGAGGACTATATTGGTGAAGCAGGAGACATCATGTCCAGCGACGAATTCTTCTGTCGCCAACCAGCTCTGGAATCTCGTCGTCGCTCAGGCTCCATGTCTTCCACTCGGAACGCCCCCGCGCCGCTGCACTCGCTATCGACCGGTTCCGTCACTCGTCTCGGAAGCCAATCTCAAACCAGCCTTTCAAACCTCCGCTCGCGCCGCGAGATCTCGCGCTCAGAAACGGCGCCCTCGCCTGGCTCCCGGACTTCTTTGGACAAAGCCTTCGGTTTCGTCAGGGGTCGCGAATCGCCCGTCGATCCCCTATCACGTGCCGCCTCTATCCGTGCTGCGCGCATGGAATTCCAGGCAAAGGAGGAGGCCAAGGAACGCAAGGCGGAGAAGGAGGCTATGAAGAAGCGGGATCGTGAGGAGCGGAGAAGGGCCAAGCAAGAAGAGCGGCAACAGCACATCTCCGATCAGGAGGAGGACTACGAAAGGCACTCTCTGGATGAAAAGACCGACTCCGTCCCGTCAGCGGACGAGGAACACCCGAGTCCTTCCCCTACGGAGGACAGCAGCCCGACGCATACGGTGCCACCCAGCACAACAAGAACGGTGCGCACATGTACAGATCTGCGGACGCGCCGTCCGGTGAAGAGCCGCTGGGCAGCTTTTGTTGCTTGGTTCCGCACACGGCTGTTGAGGTTGAAGTGCTTATGAAAAGCACAAGCATACCGGGTTGGCTGCGGAACAGTTACTTCCCGAAGGCGTTTGGAAATTTTCTTTCGTCAATGCCCATGAGCTATAAAGCTCCGGCGTTTCACTGCGCACTGAGCGCTTCGGTTGGCGTTTGCTTGGGGGATCAAATCTATCTTGGGAAATTATAGCGCGGCGTTATGTTTTGGGCGTCGCTCCTTATCTGCCGCTGTCGCAGCAGGAGCTCCATGCATTTATTGAGCATTTGGTTGGCTATTTGTTTTGATGCCAGAGCACAGCTTCTTGGCTTTTTGGATATTTAGGTGGAACAGATACCACCAGGACTGAAATACATATGTAGCCAGGTAAAACTGGTTCGTTATCGAGACCTTCTCGTGCGCTTTCTGCCATTGACCAATCAATTTGCGAGTGACCCGTCCGCGTGCTCAGCGTCGGGATGGTGTGATGCAATCCATGAGAGTTTATCGTGGAGCTTCGGAAATGCGCCTGCTCGCCCGCGAAACCTCCGCCGGTGCCGCTCGCCAACGAAAGTACCGCCCGCCTTCCTGCTTTCACCATGGCCATTGAGACCGCCTGATCGTGAAGTCCTAGCACCCTTCGCAATGGCCTCTTCGCAAATGATCCGGCCGCAACTGGCCTTGCGCCGTGCCCTGCCTCGGCAATGCGCTCGCAGCCTGACCCCGCGCGCCTCCGCCTCTCTGCCGCTGAGCCACGCCCGCTGGGCAAGTGGGAGTCCGCAGGGCAAGAATTTCATGGGCCAGCTGTATGAGAGCACTCATCAGCGGTTACTGCGCGAACGCGCTGAGCAGGCCAGGTTTGCGGAACAAAGAGACCTGAGTGGGCGCGGCAGCAAAAGCATAGGATTGCTATTCCGTATGCACATCTGCATCGCAACATGGGCACGCATGCTAACCATCTTTCCCAGTCGTCGCCGTTTCTCTCGCAGGAGGCTACTTTGCCGGCTCGCTCAACCCGACTCCTCTTCCTACCGAATCGACCGTTCCTCTAACCGCGACGCGGCCGTTGCAGCACAACACCGCGACGGGAAACCTGCAGGCGGCATGGACTGATTTTAAGAACATTGTCGGCGCGGAGAACATCTCGACGTCCGAATCAGATCTAAAGGCCCATGCAGGCTCTGAATGGTCTACGTATTCTAGCTTGCCTGGCGATGTTCCCTTCGCCATTGTCAAGCCGGCCACGACGGAGGAAGTAAGCCAGATTATGAAGGTGTGCCACCAGAGGAAGATTCCGGTCACGCCGTACTCTGGCGGCACCAGTCTGGAAGGTCATTTTGCGGCCACTCAAGGCGGCATCTGCATCGACTTTAGCAGAATGGATAAAATATTGTCGCTGCACAAAGACGATCTCGATGTAGTGGTGCAGCCTGCAGTTGGTTGGGAGACTCTTAACGAGCAACTTGGCGAAGAGGGTCTCTTCTTCCCTCCGGACCCAGGCCCAGGTGCTCAGATTGGAGGCATGGTTGGAACAGGCTGTTCGGGCACAAACTCCTACCGCTACGGCACGATGCGCGATTGGGTGCTTTCTCTCACGGTCGTACTCGCTGACGGCACCATAATCAAGACCCGTCAGCGGCCGCGAAAGAGCAGTGCCGGATACGATCTCACTCGCATGTTCATCGGCAGTGAGGGCACGCTGGGCCTGGTCACCGAAGCCACATTAAAGGTCACCGTCAAGCCTATCAACACGTCGGTTGCCGTTTCGAGCTTCGGCAGTATCCGTGAGGCAGCCAACTGCGTCTTCAAAGTTGTCGGTGCCGGTGTGCCAATTGCTGCCATTGAGATCCTCGACGATGTGCAAATGAAGTGCATCAACGATGCCGGTTCAACCGCTAGGCAGTGGAAGGAGGCGCCTACGCTTTTCTTCAAGTTCTCCGGTACCCCCTCGGGCGTGAAGGAAAACATTTCCATCGTCCAGGGTCTGGCGAAGAAATCTGGTAGCAAGAGCTTCGAATTCGCTCGTAGCGGTGAAGAAGCTGATGAACTCTGGAGCGCTCGTAAGGAGGCTCTTTGGAGCGTCATGGGGAAGAAGAGGGAGGACGGTGACCATGTCTGGACAACTGATGTCGCGGTGCCGATCAGCAAGATGCCCGAACTCATTGAGGAAACCAAGGCGGACATTCAGAAAAGCGGACTTGTTGGCGCAATCGTTGGGCATGTTGGTGACGGAAACTTCCACGGTAAGCTTTCCACGTCTAAGACATTTCATTACCAGGTTCCTGACCGTCAGCAGCGATCATACTATACAATGACCGCGAACACGCTGTGGCCGACCGCGTTGTGCACCAGATGGTAAAGCGTGCCATTGAGTTGGAGGGAACTGCCACCGGTGAGCACGGCGTTGGCCTCGTGAAGAGGGATTATTTGAACCACGAGCTGGGCGAGTCCACCGTGGATGCCATGCGGAAGGTTAGTGCACACGTTTGTAACTGATTTAGGATGACGCAGCTAACACTTCTCTCTTCGCAGCTGAAACAAGCCTTCGACCCTCTTTGCCTGCTTAACTGCAACAAGGTCGTCCGCTCTCAAATGCCAAAGCCTGGAGAGGTCCAAGAATGGTAATGAGGCTCGATCTATTTAAAAACCATTTCCCGTCACTGTCCAATGAGACGTACCTTTCCAGTACATAGGAAGCATCGCAATTTAGATTCTCGACATTCAAACGTCTTCGAATGAATGTCTACCTGGACTTATCTTGAACCTCGACGTTCCATGCAGCCAAACTACCATTCTGAGTGATTCAAATACAACCTGCTCTCGCTGTCAAGAGAAAACCGTGGGCCCAGACTGTACCAAATATTCATGCCCAAGTGCTCCCGAAGGATCCATTCCAACTCCTACAAAGACACTCACCACCCGCAGTTGGTGTAGCGTTCATTTTGCTCGCTATCACTTTCCGCATGCGTACGTTTTTCCAAGAATCCAGCCACGCACATCAACCTCGTGTCCATCATGTCTTTATGATGCAACAACCAAGAATTTCGCGATGTCGGAATGGGCCAATGGCGTCACAGAGACAGTGGCGACACGTGAGCGACTCATTTCATGCGGCTGGATGTGCACTAAACGAGTCAATTTCTGCCAATCTGTGTTGCAGCGATGCTCCGCCTTGGATCATGGCGATCCACAGCCGTCTTGCGTCTCATGCCAATATCATGCCTTTGCGGTGGGACGCGTTGGTAAAGAGAAGAAGTAAAGTGTCTTATCTTCGAGACGCCCTCCGGCACCGGCGATGCTACTGAGCGGTGCCTCGTGCGTTCCCACGTCGCTCGTGCGTATCAGCCCTACGAGTCGACCCTCGGCGCCACGGCCCACGGCTTTTTAAAGCTACTTGTAACGCGCCTGTCACGTCGTCGGCGATTATGCCCAACCTCTGCACGGCCTGCCGGGTCTTCCCGTAGACATCAATCTGTACTTCGTATATGTAGGTAGGCCTGTTCTTCTTCATTCCGGACTTCCGCTGCATATATCAATATTCTGGAGGTCAGTAGCGCTGATGAGTCAGAAAGGCCATTTCGATCCGGACCCCAACGAAGGATTGGCGACCCCGGAGACTGAGCCACGAGTCTCGCAATGTCGGCCTCCTCCGCGACTGTACCTGACCTGACAGATCCAAGATCTGTGGCTTGACTGCCCCGGCCTGCGCAAACGGCCTTCTTCTGGGCGCGCTCGGACCACGGTCGAACCCCAGCTTCGGCCAAATTTTTGATATTTGTATGGTAATAGTGCGCAACCGGCCTGACGGGCTTCCAATGGTCGGGTGATGATTCACGTTGCCTCCGCAATGCCTTTCCGAATTCGCAGTCATGGTTTTCGCTTGACTATTTCATGCCCTGGGCTCCGTGAGGGAGATCTGGCATCCCCTCAGACCCTCATTGCAACCCGGACTCTCCAATTAAACCGTCTGGATTTCTCAGGACCTTCAAAGCTCGATCGTTGACCTACAGCACCGATAAGCGACAGCACCTGCTGCAATGGCTCCACCGGTCCAGTCCGCGACCGCGGACAGCGTGTCGTCACACGCCTCAGATTTGGAAAGGGCCAAGCACCCCGCTGGGCACTCGAAAGAGAAGCCAGCCGATGTCCCTCAACCGGAGATGGAGTCGGCGCCCACCTACACCAAGGGCGAAGTTGATTCCGCCATCATTAACAACCCGTTCGGCGAGGATGGCGAGGCCAGCAAATACAGGACCTTGAGCTGGTGGCAGGCCGGCTTCCTGATGATTGCCGAAACCATATCACTCGGTATCCTTTCGCTTCCTCAGGTCATGTCGAGCATGGGATTTGTGCCTACACTCATCCTCATTGTCGGCATTTGCATAATATCTTCCTACACTGGATACGTTATTGGCCAGGTCAAATTGAAGTACCCAGGCCTGCACAACTTTGGCGACGCTGGCTTTCTGTTCTTCGGCCGCATTGGAAAGGAATTCCTGGAGCTCTGCCAAATGATCATTTTGCTGTTTATTATGGCTGCTCACATCCTGACGTTTTCCATCATGATGAACGTCCTTACCGGCCATGGCACTTGCACCGTTGTCTTTACCGTTGTCGGCGCGATTGTGTCGCTGCTTGCGACTCTCCCGAGGACGTTGAAAAACGTGGCTCTTCTGTCCATCTTCTGTATGTCAACACTGGAAGCATATCGCAGTATATCCGCTAACACACTCTAGCTTGCATGTCCATTTTGTGCGCCATTACGATTACAATGGTGGCCGTCGGCGTCGACCACGTGGACCACCCTGTGATTTACGCTGTGACGCCGCTCAGCCTGACCTCTTACCAGACCGGGTTTGTGGGTGTCAGCAACATTCTTCTCTCCTTCACCGCACACATCGCCTTCTTCGGCTTCATCTCCGAGTTGAAGGACCCCCGCGACTTCAACAAGTCGCTGGCCATGCTGGAGAGCGTGGCTGTCGTTCTGTATATCATCGTCTCCTGCGTCATCTACCGGTACGCGGGTGCGGCCGTCAAGTCGCCAGCCATCGGGTCCGCCAGCCCACTTGTCGCCAAGATCGTCTACGGCATCGCTATTCCGACCATTGTTATCGCGGGCGTTATTAACGGCCACATCGCCGCTAAGAATGTCTTTGTGCGCATTTGGAGGCGCACGCCGGGCGTCTTGGGAGAGAAGAGCTTCCGTTCTTGGGGAACGTGGGTCGCGCTCTGCATCATTCTGTACGTCATCGCGTGGATTATCGCGAGTGCCATCCCGGTGTTCAGCCAGCTTCTCGGCCTGCTCGGCTCGCTCTTTTGCTCCTGGTTCACCGTCGGCCTACCCGGCCTCTTCTGGCTCAGCATGAACAAAGGCCAGTGGTTCAAGAATTGGAAAAAGGCGTGTCTTACGATCCTGAACATACTTCTCGTAGCCATTGGCACGGCTATCGTAAGTCCCCCAAACTGTTCTCTCTTGCTGGATCCAACACGTGCTAACCTTGCTCCTCACAGTGCGGCCTCGGCGTCTACGGCAGTGCCTACGAAATCGCCAACAACTCCGGCGGACAATCACCCTTCAGCTGCGCGGATAACAGCTAAGCGCGCATAGTGCGCCGGGGGAATGATTTAATTGTCTTTATTATATACACCAGCCAGCGGGCCACGAATGACGACCACCATATCTAGCCTCGTAGAACCACACGAATAGTAGTAATACCTCCCACCACGCATTGAACGAGACGACGACGACGACGACGACGAAGAAGAAGAAGAAGAAGAAGAAGAAGAAGAAAAAGAAGGAGAACAACAAGAGGGAGAGGGAGAGGACCTACAGAGCGCATTGGGACGGTCCGGCCCGCCACCGCTGCTGGATAGCCGAGCCGGCGTTTGCAGTTTGGGCGCCTCGGAGCCGTTGGATACGAGGCCGAGGGCGATCAGCCTGCTTGCATGCTTGCCGTGCTCTTGCGTGCTTTGCTAGCGCGAGAGCGGGTAGGCCCGCGCCGCTGCCGCCGCCCGCAAACCGCCGTCGTAGCCACCGTCACCGCTGCCGGTCCGCCGGCGCGCCCGCTAGGTACCGTACATGCTGTGCGCGGGTGCTCTAGACAGGGGTGGTTGAGGGCTTGCGGGGTGGGGGGCGCTAGGCGGAGGTGGTTGCGGAGGCCTTGATGGCCTGCCTGCTTGCTTGGGCAGGGATCTACTGAGCTGTGTATTGTAGATGTTGAGGACGCGCGGCTGGCACACACTGCCACTGTGGCTCCGGTTAGAGGTTAGATCAGTGTTGGGGATGGTGCAGATCTCTGCCCTAATTGGGTGGTCAGACTTGGTCACTGATGGAATGGTATCGACTGAGTGGTGTTGTCACACCTTGAGCTTCTGTGCTGAACTGGATGCAGACGTTCGTGAGATATTATTTGTATGGGTATGAGGAACTAAAAGTCCTCAACTACTGGTCAATCTGTCCTGCTATCCAAAGCCTCCAAGATGTTATTCCGTCCAAACGGCCTATTGGATTAGTCCCAGCACCTCGTATAGGAAAAGTGATAATCCGGTTGAGACTTTCCAGGAAGGATCGCATTCCTGCTCAAATCACTATTGATTGGGCACTGCTCGAACGCCGCCTCTAATAATATGCTTGATGTCAACAAGTTTTAGCAGGCAATGCTGTAATGAGAGAAAAGGTTAGCAAGTGCTATGAGTTAAAATCACAGTGATGTTCTTCGTCGGAAGCATTGCATGATGTTACTCGTTGGCAGCGATGTGTGATGTCCTCAACCTTCACCTCTCCATTACCCGGATCCCTTGCTCTGTCAAGGCATGAGCCACCTCGAGCTCATCTTTTTCCCCGTTGGTCGTATCATTGTGTCCTTGAGAAGGCCGGTGTACTTTCTCTAATCTTCGGCTCGATAACATCGAAGTGGTTCCGTGTGAGATCGTAGGTAGCTCCGTGGCGAGCATGTCTCTCTTTAAACGCAACTGTGGCCGGATCACCAGTATAACCCTAGCCTCTCGACACCATGGGCGGCCAGGGGATGCGACTTCTCAGTAACTAAGCGTACTAATTCTCTCTGGAGCCGGTTCTCGGTTCTAATATAGCACTCTAGTACAGACTTGCATGGATCTGTGAGTTTATGGATCGAAACAGTGCAAACTGTTGGCAAATGGGCTCAAGTGCCCAAGCTGTCAGGGTAATGTCCTCTATTATAAGGCTTTCTTTTCAAAATTAGAAGGATTGGAGCACGGAAACTATAGTTTATGCATGTGAGTCTGACAGCTGGTGAGGCCATGGCCTCCAGACTGGTATCTATCCGTTCGACTCGTCAGCGACAGTCCGCAGCCGGGTTTCGGTGAGGGTAAAGGCTAGTCTTGCTACGAGAGAGGATGCTATCCATATCGGCCACCTTATGCGGCATGAAATATTAAATAACTCGAAATCCTATTTCCCGAGAGCAGCAAAAAGTAAACGTATCATCATCAGTGACCTTGAACAGAGCACACTGGCAACGCTTCCCCCCAATCGGCCAATCCAGACATATTCAGTGATTTATCCCTCTCACAACCTGTCCAAAGACGCTGCCCCAGTCAATAAGCCTCTTCTTCTGCTTTGCCTTTCGTTTGGCGTGATATATATGAAGGTAATGCAGAGGTCCACTTTCGGGAATTTATTCGTAGCGGCAACACCAAGGCCATGGTGCGACCATTGCATTGGGGGCCTTGTGCCAGAAGGGTTTTGAGGGCGAAAGGTGGAAGAATCATACCCACGCCCCACCCACATGCCACTCACTGCTGTATCATCAAACCCGTTCAACCGCTGCTGTCTTCCACAAGTCACAAAGAAAACGTACAGCCTGCCCAAGACTATCCATCGTTCAGACCCATGATTTAGATTTCATAATCACTAGAGTGTCAACTAAGGGCTGATACACGCAGGACGAGCATGTTCGATGGGCTTAGTCACACTGAGGCTGGAGAGGGCCTCCTTGCCAAAATATCTAGACTCTAGACTATCGCTCACTCAGTACAACTGAACGAGCAACATCCCAGTTCTGATGGCCCCCATACGGCAGCACTCCTAGCCGTCACCCCTCAGCACCGGTTCTGCTCGACACCACCAACCACACAGCGACATACATAGCCACTTTCGTATCTCTTAATTCTTGAGTACATTCCCCCGTCGATAGCTCATTCCATATTCTGCGCCCCTAGGGCGTGATTTAGTTGAGTGCCAGTCATCTAGCCCATCCAGTCAATAGCACCGTCAAGGAACCCAATTCAAGCCGCTTCGCCTTTATACGTGCGCCCCCATTAAGCCAGAAACCCACCGATCAATTCCCGCCTCCTGCACTCCCACAAAAGCGGCAAACACAGCCTCCGAAACCGTGACTGCCATGCTATAAGTCGAGCGCCACTTGACCCACGAAACCAGGGACATTGCGTTTAAGCTTGCGGAACGAGTGCCCCTCCCCTCCCCCCAGCAACTACTGAGTGAGTGAATAGGTGAGTGAGCAAGCGTAAGTGCCCACAACCACCACAACCAGCCAGACAAAGCAAGCAAGCGCACAGCAGCAGCGAGCCATACCTAAATGCACGATTATCATATCTCATTTCCATTGCCATTGCCACCTAACTACCCAGCTATGCTTAACCCGTGTAGCCCATCCCATCCCAGCTCGCTGTCAGCGTAACAGAGAGAGAGAGAGCGATCGAACGAGACATGGAGAAAGATGCGCCGAGCACCGTGGCTGACTACTGCGTGGCCGACTGCAGCGGGCAGCAGCAGCGCTACGCTACCTACTAACCGACCCTCTTTTCTCTCCCCCTTTGCATTCTGTACCAAAAGTGTGTGTGCGCGCGATGGGATAGGATGGGATGGGATGGGAGCTGATGGGATAGGCAGGACAGGGCAGGGCAGGGCAAGGCAAGCCAAGAGCCAGAAGCACGCGGCGAGCATATCGCCACAGGTAGGTAGGTAGTTAGGTAGGTAGGTGTAGGTATTAACTCGTCGATGCTTTTCCCTCCACGATCCTCCCTCTACGTCACTGTCACTGCTGTTTGTAGCGTTGCCACAGACACAGACAGTCACTCATTCACTCGCTCGCTCACTCACTCGCCCTCATTCCCCTCAAGGGTTCCCGCTAAGCAGGTACTCGACTGCGCCCTGCACGCTGCCCCCGCTCCGCCGCAACGCCTGGATATTGCGCTCGAACTCAAAGAACCCCATGTCATTCAGCTGTCTCAGCTGCTCCGCGTAGCGCTCCTCCGGCGGCCTGTTATCCGCGGGCGCGGCCGCAGCCGGGGGAAACCCGCCGAAGAGGCCAGCAAACGGGTTTGCTGCGGCGCCTGCGCCAGCGCCGGCGTCAGCGCCCGCTCCTCCGCCGAGGCCGCCCTCGCCCCCGCCCATCCCCAGCATTTGCATCGCCGCCCGCATCGCCTCCGGGTTCTGCATCATGTTCTGCATCGCGTTCTGCATGAGCGGGTTACCCGCGCCCGGTGCCCCGCCAAACAGCCCTCCGAACGGATTCGCGTTCGCCTGGTTGTTCCGCCCCTCGCCGCCGGCCGTGTTGTCCTGGCCCGCGCCGGGCGGGTTGAACAGCGCCGCGAAGGGGTTCGCGCCTGCGTCTGCTCCGGCGGCGCCGCCCGGAGGAGCGCCGAACATGGCGAAGGGGTTTGGTGGCGGCGACGTCGGGCCCGTCGTGTTGGGCTGGATGGGCGTGCCTGTTGTGGCGCCACCGGTCGTCGTCGTCGTGTTGTTGTTCTGTTCTTGGCCGGGTGTCGTGTTGGTGATGCCGGGTGCGGGGAACGCGGTGTTGCCGCCCATGCCACCAAGTCCGCCCATATCGCCCATACCACCCATACCACCCATGCCGCCCATGCCTCCCATGGAGCGTGCCATTTGCATTTGCTGGCGGATGAGCTCCGGATCCGTCAGCATGCGGCGGAAGGCGGGGTTGTCAAGCATCTGCTGCATCATGGGGTTGTTGCGGAACATGGGGCTGTTGCGCATATGCTGGATGACCGTCGGGTTGTTCATGGCCTCAGTCATGAGCTGAAGAGTATTTGGGTCTTCGAGCTGGCGGAGAAGTTGGTCGGGGTCTGGGGGCGCGCCCATCTGGAAGTTGTTAGATATCTATCTCTGATGTTAAGCGCAAACAAGTACTCACACCACCGTCAGGGCCAAAGGAGCCCGCACCGGGGAGGCCCATGAGGCCGGCGTAGCGCGCGCCGGTCAGACCGGCCAGAGGGTCGTTGCCAGTGCCGGTGGCGAAGTTCTGGGGAACGTTGCCGGCGGCACCGGTGCCTTGCGGCACACTGCCACCCTGGTTCGCGGGGTTCTGGCGCACGTTGCTGGCAGCGCTCTTGACCAAATGTATCGTGTTGCCATCCTTGATCTTAGTGCTGTCGAGAGTGTCGTGGTCCTTGAGCACACGGCCGGAATAGATCAGGCGCTGGCGCTCGACGGGCGTGTCGGCATATTCGGCGGAGGAGAGCTTGGATTTCAGGTCGCCTACGGTGGTAGTGCGGGGCAGGGTGAGGGTGTACTTGGCGTCGCTGGAGGACTTGACGTTGAAGGTGACGTGCTCGTCGGCGGTGGCCGCGTCGTCGGCCATGGTGGGCGGATGTGATGGAGAAGAGGTTGAGGATGTTTAGGTGTAGGATGGACGGGCGCAGAGGTGTGACGAAGTAGAAGCGATCTGCAGATATGAGTAGCGGTTGGGGTGGGGTGTTGGATCTAAAAGGCGTCAGGCGTCAGAGGTGTGGGTGACGGAAGCTTTGTAGGCAAGGCTCCACTTCACCATCATCATCGCGCTTGCACGAGCCCGTCAGTCACCGACATCGCCTAAAGAGATCATAATGCTTGTACCGAGTACGTTTATAGTATGTACATATACGTTCTCTAAAATTCTTTCACTGCTATCTAGGACTAAGGTTTGTGGCTAGGCAGTGAGTGTTCTATAGAGACTGCTTGTGTCCTTCCCTATCTCGCTGGACGGGGCGTCATTTGTGTGATTGGACCTCGGTATGTTGCTGCATTGCGGGGGTCACCATATGTAAACGCCCGCTGCGCCCTCTGCATCAGAATCGCTACGCAATCACAATGCGCGGAATTCAAGTCTCGCAGTATGTCAAGGTATGTCAGCAAGCGCCCTCCCACCGCATCCGTCTCTCACACCCATCGCAGGGACCCGCCGAGCTCGGCGTCGCCGACCTTCCCGACCCGGAGCCCAAGCCCGACCAGTATCTGATTGCCATTCACGCATCTGCTTGCAACTTCTTCGACCTTCTGCAGATCCAAGGAAAGTACCAGCACCAGCCACCGCTGCCTTGGGTCGCCGGCTCCGAATTCTCGGGCGTCGTTATTAAAACGCCCACGGCCTTACCAGGGAACCGTACGCCCAAGTACAGAATCGGCGATAAGGTATTTGGAGCTGCGCAGGGTGGTTATGCCACCAAGGTTGCGGCTGAGGAGGAAAGACTTCGGCCAGTGCCCAAGGGCTGGGGCTTCTTCGACGCAGCAGGCCTCTTCGTCACGGCACCTACCAGCTATGCTGCCCTAGTCACGCGCGCCAATATAAAGAAAGGCGATTGGGTTCTTGTCCATGCAGCGGCTGGCGGCGTGGGCCTTGCAGCTGTGCAGATAGCAAAAGCGTTCGGCGCCACGGTGGTCGCGACGGCTGGCACCCCGCACAAAGCGGAGGTTGCACGAGCATTTGGCGCAGACCACACGGTCGACTACAGACAGAAAGACTGGCCCGAGCAAGTCAAAAAGTTGACGCCGAAGGGCAGGGGCGTAGACATTGTGTACGATCCCGTGGGTCTGATTGCTCAGTCGATGAAGTGCACGGCGTGGAATGGACGGCTTCTGGTTATTGGCTTCGCTGCTGGGGACATTGAGAAGATGGCGACGAATCGCATCTTACTCAAGAACGTCAGTGTGGTTGGGCTTCACTGGGGCATGTACGCGACGCATGAGCCGGAAACGGTCGAGAAGGTGTGGGCCGGGCTGTTCGAGTTGATGGAGGCGGGCAAGTTCAAGGGCACCTGCTTCACGGACAAGGAGTTTGTCGGGCTGGAGAGCGTGCCTGCGGCGCTGGCTGCTCTGGGAGGGCGGAACAGCTGGGGAAAGGTGGTTGTTAAAGTGCCGCAAGAAGGACGGAGCAGAATGTAGGTAGGAGTAGGTAGTGACACAAGGGTGGCCAAGGCGGCCTCGGCAGTTGCCGTCGCCGCATCTCGAAAGCGCAGCCGCTTTGTGAGGGCCGTCGCCTTTCAACAACCAAACCACCCACCCTCGCCGCCCCTCTTTCTCCCGCGCTGCTGTCGCGCACACCCGCAGTGTCCTTTGTCTGGGCTCGCCTGTCTTACCATCGTCACCCATTCGCCGCCAGCTTTTAGTTCAGCCACGCGCCCTTGCCGACAGACAGCTTCACCTTATTAACACACCCCGCGGTCCCTTCGCTGGGAGCTCGCCGTCAACATGGACGACTACGATAATGGATACGACGCGACGGGCATGGACGACTTCGATGATGATGAGGCCATCATCACCTCCGAGGACTGCTGGACGGTCATTTCCGCCTTCTTCGAGACCAAGGGCCTGGTGTCGCAGCAGATCGAGTCTTACGATGAGTTTGTCCGGACGACGCTCCCGAACGTGGTTGAGAGCATGGGTTCCATCACCCTTGACCACACGCCGTCGGTCGATGAGGGCGACATAGACCCGGTCATCAAGAGGAGATATGAGGTCAACTTTGGCTCCGTCAAGATGGCTCGGCCGTCGCTGACGGACGCCGATGGTATCACCAGAGACCTCTACCCGCACGAGGCCCGCTTGCGGAACTTGACCTATTCTTCGGCCATGATCAGCGAGATGAGCAGCAGAACTTCGGTTGCCCGTGAGCGTCACGTTGGGGCCGGTGAAGACGATGAGGAAGGTGCGCCGTCAGGTGCGACTGAATTGGTGTGGCAGAGTGAGACGGCGACAGATACGGAAATGGTTTTCTTTGGCAAGCTTCCGGTCATGCTGAAGTCCTACGTTTGTGGCCTGCGCAATCTGAGCGACGAGCAACTCTACGCCCACAACGAATGTCCCTACGACCAGGGTGGTTATTTTGTCATCAACGGCTCCGAGAAGGTCCTCATTGCTCAGGAGCGCAGTGCCGCCAACATTGTTCAGGTATTCCGGAAGAAGCAGAGCCCCACTCCTTGGATTGCTGAAATACGCAGTGCCGTGGAGAAGGGTTCTCGTCTGCTGTCTTCGTTCACTCTGTCGCTCTGGGAAAAGCCGCAGCTCATGAAGGATAACTCGGGTCCGGTTCTGACCGCCGCGCTCCCTTACATTAAGGACAAGGTCCCTATCGCTATCGTCTTCCGTGCGTTGGGCGTAGTTTCCGATGAAGACATCTTCAGTCACATCTGCTTTGACAAGTCGGACAGTCAATTGTTGGAGCAGATCCGGCCTAGCATTGAGGAAGCCTTCTTAGTTCAAGAGAGGATGGCTGCCCTGGACTACATCGCCAAGCGTGGTCAAAACATCGGCGGCACGCAACGGGAGCGTCTGAAGTTTGCTCGCGACATCATGCAGAAGGAATTCTTGCCCCACATCTCGCAGCAGGAAGGCAGCGAGACCAGGAAAGCCTTTTTCCTGGGCTACATGATCCATCGTTTGATGCTGTGCTACCTCGGAAGACGCGACGAGGATGACCGTGACCACTTTGGAAAGAAGCGGCTCGACCTTGCTGGACCTCTTATGGCCAATCTTTTCCGGTCTCTATTCCTGAAGTTGTCCAGGGATATCTACGCCTACTTGAAGAAGTGTGTTGAGAGTGGCCGTGCTTTCTCCCTGCAGTCTGCAGTGAAGCAGGGTACGGTCACGAACGGTCTCAAGTACTCGCTCGCCACCGGAAACTGGGGTGACCAGAAGAAGGCCGCCGCAAGCAAGGCTGGAGTGTCTCAGGTGCTGAACAGATATACCTACTCATCCACGTTGTCGCATCTTCGGCGCACGAACACCCCAATTGGCCGTGACGGTAAGATCGCCAAACCTCGCCAGTTGCACAACACCCATTGGGGGCTGGTCTGCCCGGCCGAGACGCCAGAAGGACAGGCCTGTGGTCTGGTCAAGAACTTGTCACTTATGTGCAATGTCACTGTCGGTAGCGACGTCACTCCCATTGCAGACTTCATGACCCAGCGGAACATGGAGCTTCTAGAAGAGTTTGATCCTGCCGTCACCCCTAATGCCACCAAGATTTTCATCAACGGTGTCTGGGTCGGTGTGCACCGCGACCCCACGCAGCTCGTGTCGGTTGTTCGCAGCCTGCGCAGAGACGGCACCCTGTCTCCGGAAATGAGTTTGATCCGAGATGTCCGTGACCGTGAATTCAAAATCTTCACGGATGCTGGGCGCGTGCAGAGGCCGCTGTTCGTTGTTGATGACGACCCGAAGAGTCCTAACAAGGGCAACCTTACTCTGAACAGGGAGCACATCATCAAACTCGTCAATGACAGGGATGTTGATATTTCCGGCATGGATGACGAGGAACGCGAGACTGCGAGGTTTGGATGGAACGGACTGCTGCGCTCTGGTGTAGTCGAATACATGGATGCCGAGGAGGAAGAAACGGCCATGATCGTCATGACGCCAGAGGATCTGGAGGAGCACCACAGAATCCGGACCGGTCAACCAAAGGAGGAGGAAGATGACGAGAACTGGGATCCCCACAAGCGTGTCAAGCCTGAGCCAAGCAAGTCGATCAAGACCTACACGCACTGTGAGATCCATCCCAGTATGATCCTCGGTATCTGTGCTAGTATCATTCCGTTCCCCGACCACAACCAGGTATGTCATTTGTTGTTCCTGTCTGCTTACTTTACTAACAACAGCAGTCTCCCCGTAACACGTATCAATCTGCCATGGGTAAGCAAGCCATGGGTGTCTGTCTGACCAACTACGAGTTGCGCATGGATACCATGGTCAACACTCTCTACTACCCGCAAAAGCCTCTCGCGACGACCCGGTCTATGGAGTATCTCAAGTTCCGTGAGCTGCCTGCCGGACAAAACGCCATTGTCGCCATCGCTTGTTACTCTGGTTACAACCAAGAAGATTCCGTCATTATGAACCAGAGCAGTATCGATCGTGGCTTGTTCCGTAGTTTGTTCTACCGCTCGTACACCGACCAAGAGAAGAAGGTCGGTATGGCGCTGGTCGAGCAGTTCGAGAAGCCTAGGCGAAGCGAAGTCATGAGGCTGAAGCATGGCACGTACGACAAGCTGGACGAGGACGGCATTGTCTGCCCCGGTGTACGTGTGTCGGGTGAAGACATCATCATCGGCAAGACCGCGCCCATTGCGCCGGATGCCGAAGAGCTTGGCCAAAGGACCAAGTCCCACAGCAAGCGCGATGTGTCTACTCCCTTGCGTAGCACCGAGAACGGTATTGTGGACCAGGTCATTGTCACCACCAACGGTGACAACATGAAATTTGTCAAGGTCCGGACGCGTACTACCAAGATTCCTCAAATTGGTGACAAGTTCGCCTCTCGTCACGGCCAAAAGGGTACGATCGGTATCACCTACCGTATGGAGGACATGCCTTTCACGCGCGAGGGTCTCGTCCCTGATCTCATCATCAACCCGCACGCCATCCCCTCTCGTATGACCATTGCTCACTTGATCGAGTGTCTGCTCTCCAAGGTCGGCGCTCTTCGTGGCTACGAGGGTGATGCGACCCCCTTCACCGACGTCACCGTCACCAACGTCTCTCAGCTGCTGCGTGAGCACGGCTACCAGAGCCGTGGTTTCGAAGTCATGTACAACGGCCACACGGGCAAGAAGATGGTTGCACAAGTCTTCTTAGGCCCGACCTACTATCAGCGTCTGCGCCACATGGTCGATGACAAGATCCACGCCCGTGCTCGTGGACCAGTGCAGATTCTGACGCGCCAACCCGTCGAAGGTCGTGCTCGTGATGGTGGCCTCCGTTTCGGAGAAATGGAACGTGATTGCATGATTTCCCACGGCGCTAGCGCTTTCTTGAAGGAGAGGCTGTTCGAGGTCTCGGACGCGTACCGCGTGCACATTTGCGAGATTTGCGGTCTCATGACTCCAGTTGCGTAAGTCTTCCTTCTCCACCATTAACCCCAAAGATTCGAAGCATTGCTAATGCACAAGCAGAAACCTCAAGCGCAACCAGTTTGAGTGCCGGCCGTGCAAGAACAAGACCAAGATTGCGCAGATCCACATCCCGTACGCGGCGAAGCTGCTGTTCCAGGAACTGGCCAGCATGAACATCGCAACGCGCATGTACACGAAGCGGAGTGGGTACACCGTGCGGCAATAAACGTTGGAACAAAATTGATATTACGCGAAATAGGCGCTCCTAAAAGGGACATCCGGCTCAACACTCGTAGCTGGTAATTCCTCCTCATTTGCCGATTCATCATCTCTCACATACACGCTTTCCTTTTTATTTTTCTTCTTTTTCTAAAAAAACCCTACCAATTTTATCCAGCTTCTTTCTCCTCGCGCGAAGATGGGTATTACCTACTAATCTTTCGCTTTTCGTTCTGCGCATAGTGGTGCGCTTTGGTCTACGTTTATGCCTTGAGCATCTGCACGGCGTTTATTGTGTTGGCTTGGGAAGGAGGGGTGCGGGTGCTGCTTTTGAGGGGGGGGGGGGAGTGAGATGATGCTGCTGCTGGTGAGGAAAAGGAAACATGAGTTTATGAGTCGATCGCGTGGGGAGGCATCGATGCGGTCGGTGATGGGATGGATGGCTTGAAGTGCGGGCTCTGAAAAGATTGAAATCGTACGTGTATCAGTATGAATGAAGTATGAGCGCAATCGAGATTGCCGCGTGCTCTGCTGCGGCTTCTGCTGCTGAATGCCTGTGCCCCACCCCCGTCGTCTGTGGTACTTGATGTTTGCGCGGGACCGGGCTGTGCTCGTCTCGTGTCTTAGGTATGTAGATGCTATGGTCAACGACTGCGTGGGGCGTGGTACATACGGTACGGTGGTTTCCTTCCTTTTCGCCCACCGCTGCCGCTGTCGCTGCCTCCTTACACGCATCATCCTCTGCTACTGATCACGGCCTCCGGCGAGGTATGTCACAGCTCGGGCGTATGGCGTCTACGTACGGCCACTCATACATACATACGATAACCCTAACGGGCCATTAATTTCTAAACATCAATCAACAGGCACATCGATCGCATTGCTGCTGCTGCCGCTGCTGCTGCGGTACGGTACTGATACTATACCCGATTTTTAATGTTTTGCTGGGTTTGCTCTTCATCACTACCTGCGTCCTAGCTACGATAACTATACACGCTATTACTAACACATTAATCAGTACTTATAGTTAGCTTTAGCTTTATAACTTTACCTATCTAGACATTCATTATACCTATCTTTCTATTCTATTCTAGGCGCTGTCTTCATTCGCTACCCTATTCTAGGAATGGTAAATTGAGCGAAGCGGGTATGGGGTGTGTGTGCGTGCGTGTGTGTGTTAGGTAGTTAGGCCTTGTAGAGTCTGGTCTGGAATTACTGCTGAGAGTAAGAGGAAGGCGTCCTTTTGTTGCTTTTGTAGAGCTTTAAGTTTGAAGGAGGTGTTGGTGTAGGGTAGTTAGCTAGTAGTAGCGTTTATATACCCTACCCCCCTACCACTAAGCTCAGGACGTGCGTGCGATGACTATACCTACCTAGGCAGTATAGGAAGCGATGGAAGGTGCGAGGGGCGCGTGGAAGGTGTGGATATGGGAATAGGTTCTAGGCGTTATCGTATATGAGGGCTTTGGCTTGGTAGGGAGGAGAGGAGGTGAGGAAGGGAGGATGAATGGGTGGATGGAGGGATATGTGTGTACTGTACTTTATTGTACATACACTTAAACATATACCTATACACAACATCTACACACACATCATGTCTTCCCCAGCAACCATTCTCATTACAAACCTCACTTCTAAACGCAATCCCAACAGCACCCCCCCTCAACTAAACCCCAACGCCTGATCCGCCACCTCCAGCACCCTCCGCTGCCCCTCCAACAACGCCCCAGCCCCAGCAGCACCGCCCCACCTCTCCAGCCCCAACGCCCTCGCGCCCTCCACACCCGCAAACCTGCGCACCTCCTCCCCTTCCAAACGGCCCCTATGCCCGCTCTCGCCCACCCCACCCCCAAAATCCGGACACGGGGTGCCAGCCAAAAACGCGTCGCGCTGCCTCGCCAAGAACCGCGCATTCGATGCCGTGAGCGGACACGCCGGGATATACAGCACCGAGCTGTCGGCGGCGCCCGCGTGCGTCGCGTCCACCGCGTGGATCGTGTCGCAGTGCCAGGCGACGTAGTCGCCGGGCCGGACGCGCGGCACGTGAACCATGGTGCGGGGGAGGAAGAGGTGGGGGTGCAGGGCGGGGGAGAGCTCTTGGCCGTGGCCGGGGTAGGCGCCTTGTAGGGCGGAGGAAGGCTCGGGCTCTAGGGCCCAGTTATCCGGGTGCAGGAACGCGGCGTCTGTGATGTTTGTGTTTGTTGCGGAGGGGCCACGCTTGGGCGCAAAGAACGGCCGCAGCAGGTAGTAGGCGGTTGCTTTTGCGAGGAGCGGGTTGACCAGCAGCGTCCCTTCGAAGGGCCCCGTCTCGCTCATGCTCAGCCACCCCTGGAACATGCGGAACATGGAGCAGGCGCCGACGCCCGCGTACAGGTCGCTCTGCACGTCGAGCCGGCAGCTGCTCTCCCATGGGTCGAAGTCCTCCCATCGCCCGTCCCAGATGCTGTCGTAGACGTGGCCGCGGCCGTAGCCGTTCTCCTCCCACCGCTCGCAGCTGCCGCCGTCGACGTGCGGGCCGAGGGCGAATTTGGCGTCGCCTGGGAGGCGCATGCGCAGGCGGTCTGCGTACGCGATTGGGTGCGCGGTCGAGATGGGCGCAGCGGGGTTTTTCGTATGCCAGTGCGACATCAGGTATTGCTGCGTCTTGAGCATGTTGGGGTGTGTGCGAGCCTGCATCTGGGCTCTCGACCAGTACAGCTCGAAAACCTGCGGATTGTCCTTTGGGAACGCTGAGAATGGAGCATTGCGTCAACTTTGAGACCAGGAAGCGTCATCAGACGGGGGAGTAGACGCACCTTTGGTCTGCGGATTGTCCCTGATATACTGCTTTAAATCCTCCTTCCAGCCCAACGCCACCTGCTCGTCCACCACGCCCCTCACAATAGCAACACCGCGCTTCTTATGTTCATCCACAAAGCGCTTATCCACCTTGCCCGCGACAATATCCTCAAAGCGCACCTCCGGCACAGCCTTGCTCCCCAGCTCGACGATAAGCGGGATCTCTTGGCGCAGATCGGTGAGCAGGCGGACCCAAGAGTCGCGCACGGCATCCTCGCGGCCCGCAATAAGACGGCGCTTAAGATCGGCGAAGCGGGGCTCCAGGGGCTTATGGTCCTGGCCGCTCAGCGATACGAAGGCGTCTGAGATGTCGCCGGCGCGTTTCTGCGGCGCCGCTGTCGCAAGGGTGCGCGTACCGTGGCGCCGGAAAGGGGCGGCGCGCTCGAGGCGGCAGGCGTGCCGCGTTGCGGAGAGCATTATAGGTAGCTTATGGCGGGGTAGACGTAGTTGGCGGCGATTAAGATTAATAGAGAGAAAACGGAGAAACAGAGGGATGGTGGAAGTGGTGATGACTTAGGGAGAAGAGGAAATGGAACCCCCTGATGCTACATGATTTATACCCAAGGCGCGCGTTCCACGGCGTCACAGCGTTGCAGTGTTGTCGACGACAGCGGGGAGAATGAGGGGCGGCGGTCTGGCGGGAGGATGCGGTACCGGAAACGGCAAGGGCGGCTGAACTGCGGGTGTAGTAGGTAAGTGCGGGGCAGGCACGACCTGCAGGCAAGAGGGACGGCGGTGACGGGCCGCGACTCCATCGACCGCCTGGCCAAACACCTCTCTCGCTGCTCGTCGCTGCTCTGGTCCATCAGCTGCCCGCCGTGACAGGTGAGGGGATTGCTTCTCTTTAACCATTCGGCCTTCCGGTATGTACGGCGTCGGCGGGGCACGCTCCGTGTCTGTACGGGAAAGCAAAGAAGTGGAGCGCGGCGAAGCAGCTGGTGCTTATATCAACGTCTTGTCTGCTGTGACTGAAGCCTCAAAACCTGCCTTCACTCCCTCAATTGCCTTGACCGTGACCAATTCCGCCTCTCACCCACCGTCACCATGCAGCCCGAATCCAAACTGCCCGCCGACTTTCTCTGGGGCTTCGCCACTGCCAGGTCAGTCTCGTATCCACGGGCGAGTAGCGATGCAGCCATGTGTGCAGTGAACGCTGAAACCGCCCTGCTCCCCAATATAGCTACCAGATCGAGGGCGCGCCGCACGACGACGGCCGCGCCGACAGCATCTGGGACACCTTCTGCCGGCAGCCAGGCAAGATCGCCGACGGCACCAATGGCGACGTCGCCTGCGACTCGTACCACCGCGGCGCCGAGGACATTGCCCTGCTCACCGAGTGCCGCGCAAAGGCGTACCGCTTCTCGCTGTCATGGTCGCGCATCATCCCGCTGGGCGGCCGCAACGACCCCGTCAACGAGCCCGGCCTGCGCCATTACGTCCAGTTCGTCGACGACTTGATCGCCGCCGGCATCGAGCCCATGGTCACCCTCTACCACTGGGATCTGCCCGACAACCTGGACAAGCGCTACGGCGGCCTGCTCAACAAGGACGAGTTCGTGCAGGACTATGCCCATTACGCCCGCGTCGTCTTTGCCGCCATGGGCACCCGTGTCAAGTACTATGTCACCTTCAACGAGCCCTGGTGCAGCTCCATTCTAGGCTACAGCACGGGCTACTTCGCGCCGGGCCGGTCAAGCGATCGCAGCAAGAGCGCCGCGGGGGACAGCAGCCGCGAGCCGTGGATCGTGGGGCACAACCTGCTGCTCGCGCACGCTCATGCAGTCAAGATCTTCAGGGAGGAGTTCAAGCAAAAGACCGGTGGACAGATTGGCATTACCCTAAACGGTAAGCAACTCATTGGGCTCCAGATCGCGCGCGCTTCTCGCTCAACTCCGCCCTGCAGGTGATTACATGTACCCCTGGGATCCCGAGGATCCGCGAGACGTCGACGCTGCCCAGCGCAAGCACGAGTTCTCCATCTCGTGGTTCGCCGACCCCGTCTACTTCGGAAAATACCCGGACAGCATGCGCAAGCAGCTCAAGGAGCGGCTGCCGGAGTTCTCTCCGGAAGAAGCCGCCCTCGTCAAGGGAAGCAATGACTTTTACGGCATGAACCACTATACGGCCAACTATGTCAAGCACGTTGACTCGGAGCCCGCCCCCGAAGACTTCCTGGGGAATCTCGAGTGCACGTTCGAGAGCAAGGCTGGGGAGAACATCGGCCCCGAGACGCAGAGCCCGTGGCTCAGACCAAACGGGCTGGGTTTCAGGAAACTACTGAAGTGGATCAGCGATCGCTATGGACGGCCGGCAATCTACGTGACGGAGAACGGGACGAGCCTGAAGGGCGAGAACGAGCTGCCGCTGGACAGGCTGCTGCAAGACGACTTCAGAGTCCAGTATTTCGACGACTACATCCGCGCCATGGCCGACGCGCGCACGCATGACGGCGTCGACGTGAGAGGCTACATGGCTTGGAGCCTGATGGAGTAAGTGGGTTCCGGGGGATTCCGGACGATCGTTTAGGCTGACCACTTTGCAGCAACTTTGAGTGGGCTGAGGGGTACGAGACGAGATTTGGCGTGTGTTACGTGGACTACACGGGGGGACAGAAACGGTATCCCAAGAAGAGCGCCAAGGCCATAGGGGACATTTTTGAAGCTCTGATGAAGCAGCACTAGGAGGGCTATTTTCGCCATTTTTCGTGGGGCGCGTCTCTACTGCGGCGCAAAAGGGTATGGCCAAGCGAAATACGACCTCCTTTACGGGCGTACGGAAAGTGATGGAGTGGCCGATCCTGAGACGATGGGGCTTGCCGTGTCAAGAACAAAGTGGCATGATAGCAGCAGCGAACTTCCAACCTCACCCTTGGCGTGTGTTTGGTGTGAAATGAAGGCAATAACCAGTGGTGGGTTCGTATACCCACTGGCAGAGGAGCATTGACGGCAAAGTAGAAGGGCTATACTTGGAAGGGCGTCCTAATAGGCGAGGCGCTAGAGCAGCCGGGCGGGCGAGGAGGGTGGTGCGGCGTGCCGTGTGCCCTGTTGACGTCTTTTGCAGCTCAGTACGGAACCCATGCACCGCCTCTGCAGGTGCCGAAGCTGGGCGGGCTAGTGGGTAGCTTGACGCGGCCGGAAGCGGTGTGTCTGTACGCATGGGAGGGCAAGGCTGAAACGCTCGTGCTTGGGATTGGGCGGGAGTTTCTCGGGGTGGTGGAGGCCGTGGGTGTTGGCGAAGCAGTGAGCTGCAGCGGAAGAAGCTCCGGTCCCCAGAATATAGAGACGGCGGCTGTGTATTAACCTTGGCTCGCAGGAGCCCGCTTGCGGCGTGACGCGTAGGCCTCGGGCCCCACCGAGCAGCAAGCAGAGCAGAGCAGCAGTTGGGCCGCAGCAGATCGCGGAGAAGTTGTTCGTATTGCAGGGCGGGCGGGAGTGGGAGAAGATGGAGTAGGTAGGTAGTTTACTACTACTGACTCGACTTCTTCTCCAGAGTAGTGGTTCTGGCAAAGTTTCCCGCCCGTCGTCGACCAGCGATCGGCGGCGGTGAGAAATGTAACAGAGACAGAGAGAGAGAGAGAGGCATTTTCCGCGGCGCGCCCAATGTGCCCCCGCGATGGCGGGCTGCACAGTGCACACCGGGCTCGCCGACACCGCTTGCGGCTTGGTGCGGGCGGGCCTGAACGTTGTTAGCTGGCAGGCCCACGTGCCCTTGGCCAGTCTAGAGTGGCTGCTAGGTTGGTGCAAAGGTGGAGCATGCATTTGGCGGTTGGAATTTTCGAGACGAACAAAATTGTCTACTCTGATGAAACCCCTTCCCCGCAAATACACAAGGCACGTGTGCGCGACCATGGTCTTGGAAACCGAGCGGGCGGCCAGGCAAGCCTCACAACTCTCCCGCCCCGGCGCCAGAGCGCTGCTGCGATCCGACCGACGGCGTAGCTTCCCTTCCCTCACCTGATATAGCCCTAGTCCTCGCGGCCCTGGCCATCTGGCGCGAGCGTTGCGATGGATCCGACGTCTTTCTCCTGATCTGCTCGCGTTATTGCAGAGACTTATCTTGCGCCTGCCAACTTTCCTACAAGTATATCCCATACACCTCTCCCCTCCCCACATAATAATTTGCCGCCTTACATCACCCTCCTCCCTCCTCACCGCCGCCCCCCGCGCGGTCTCTCCATGACTTCAATAAGACAGCTGGGAAGCCCCATCGAGTGCCGGAGCTGCTATTCAATGAGTAATCAGCCTAACCCCAGCATCGCGTCGGTCAAGACGACGACGACGACGACAACGCCCACCTACGAGGGCCATTCGTCCGAGTCGGAGAGCAAGAAGAATGCCCAGCAACAGCAGCAGCCGGGGGCCAAGCGCCGCCCGTCGCGCGCCGGCACCCGCTCCGTCACGACGCTGACGGCCGCCCAGCTGGAGCGCAAGCGGGCCAACGACCGCGAGGCCCAGCGCGCCATCCGCCAGCGCACAAAGGACCACATTGAGAACCTGGAGAGACGCGTCGCCGAGCTCACGGCGCGCGAAAACGCAAACGCCACCGGGCGCGTCAGCGAGATTCTGCAGCGCAACGAGGAGCTGGAGCAGGAGAACGCCGTGCTGCGCCAGCGCCTGAACCACGCGCTGGCGACGCTGGGCTCGGCGGGCTATGCTGCTGCCGCGGCCGAGAGCAATGGTACGTTGTTGGGATTTACTTGATTCGGAGAGCATAGCATATGCATGATGGCGCGACACAAGAAAAAACAACTGACTCTTTATGCGCAGGCCTGCCTAGCGAGAGCGGAATCCTTGCCACCAGCGGCGCCCCCTCGCCCAGCGACCGCACCCTGATCATCAACCAGCCGCGCCCGGCCACGACTCCCGGCGCCCGCAGCATGCCCGCCGTCACGGCCGCCGCGCCCTCCAACGTGCCCTCGCAGGCCGACTGGCACCACCCGCACGCCCACCAACACGCCCACTCTGGATACAGCCCGGCGCCCAGCTCGAGCGGAGCGGAGTCGGCGCCGCCCGTCGACGTCTCCGCCCCGCCCGACGCCATGCGCTGGAGCCCCCACGGCCACCCCGTAAACACTCCTGTCGCCGTTGCCGAAAGTAGCATGCACCCCGTTGACCAGTCGGTGCAGCACTCGATGAGCTACGGCTACGTGCTCGATCCCAACGGCCGCCCCATGCAGTACCAGTCGGACGCCCAGCCGCAGTCGATGGCCTACAGTCACATGCCCGTCTCGAACCCCCCGCCGCCGCCGCCCCAGTACCACGAACAGCGCCACCTGGCCGTCCAGCCCTCGTACCCGCAATACCCCCAGCCCCAGGGCTACATTCCCTCGTCGGCGCACCACGCCGGCGAAAACATGCCGACGATGATGCAGCGCTCGCCCATGGAGGGCCAGCACATGATGTACAGCATCCCGTCGAATGTCAAGCCGGAGCAATGAACGGTGTGCCACTGCGCGCGTCAAAGTGGGGACGGAACACTGGGGTTCGACAAGAGCGGTGTCGCAAGCCCGAAGTTCGGCTGTCAGGCTGGCATGAGCACGTTTCCAATCGTCTAACAAACCAAGCTCGCTCCCCACGTACGCGTACGTCATGCACCATGCACCGGCAAAATCCAACGTCCGCAATCTCGGGAAGGCACCACTGGCAAAAGGGGAAATTGCGCCCGCCAAGAATTTCAATCTTGTTAGAAAAAAAAAAAAAACCCCCCCCGCTGACTCGCAAAAAACAAACGAAAAAACCCGCCCCGGCCAGACCACCTCAAGACCCTGACGATGCGATGAGCGCGCGCGCGACGGCACGGCCCAGGCATGCTCCGTCACCGCCGCTCCGGACCCCGGATCCCTAGTCTGACTCGCCGCAAACCCTATCTCCCCCTCGCTCCTCCACAACTTGCCTACTGCTGCTCACCGCGGATCCGCGCGACAATCTCGGGGTACTACCAAGTAACTGCGTCAGCCCCCATACCCGATCACTGGCTGGTTGTTGCTGCCCGCCTGTAACAAAAAAAAAAAACAGGCTCTGATCATGCCCTGCAATGGTACGAGTTCGGCCCGATTATGCGACGAGCTGGCGTGGAAGAGAGAAAAAAAAAAAAAAATTCAAAGCAAGTAAACCGTGCGGCGTGCAATCGGGGAAGGTGGGAAGGGCAGCCGACCAGCCGTCCAGCCGTCCAGCCCGTCTAGCCAGGCAAGCAAACACGCCGAAACAAGACAGGATTAACCAAAAAACACACTTACCCAGCGCTCACCGACATCCGGGTGGCTCCGCACGCGGTTCACCAGCGTCGCCTCGCCCAAGTGGCCCCACCTACCCTTAACAAAGGCAAAGTCGACGCCGTCGTCTTCGCCGCCCCGGCAGCGCTTGAGCGCGCGCACCGCATCGGGCACCTCCATCTCCTCGAAGCGGGCATCGTAGCTGACGCCCTGAAAGAACGGGATGCTGTAGCGGGCGCCCTGGCCCGCATACGGCGAGAGGACGCGATGGGTCGTCGCCTTAGCAACGCCCTGCGTCAGCGCCTCCAGGCCCTGCCCAAACGCCACGACGAGCGTGCCCGGCTCCGGCGGCGCGTCTACCCATGCCCCGGCTGCGTTGAGCACCTGCAGCCCGCGCTGCGCACTCGCCTGCAGCAGGAAGCTCGCCAGCATGCTGTCCTTGTGCGGGCCGACGCCCTGGCGGGCCTGCTCGTCCTCGGCCGCCACCTCGGGCCCGACCTCCGGGTACCGCACCAGCTTGAGCTTGTGCTGCTGGTCCGCGTCGAAGAAGCGCGCGAACGCGTCCGGGGGCATGCCCAGCGCTTCGGCGACCAGCTGGATGAAGAAACTGCTGAGTCGCCCTAGGGCAACCATGTACGCTTCTAGCACGGGCTGGAAGCGCGGTAGTAGTTCTGCCGAGGGCCACTGGTTCGGCGCTAGCAGGTTGTGGTAGTTGGGTGCGGTGGGGCCCGGGAGTGGGTGCGGGGTTGAGAGGTCGAGTTGCTCGCGGTGGTCGGGACGGGAGGCGGTCGTTTCGTTGTCCAGCTGTGAGTGCGGGGGGGTGGGGGTTAGAAGGTGTTTTGTTTTTGTTTGTGTGTTTGTTTTTGTTTTGTTTTGGAGTTGGGGTTGGGGGTGGGGTTGTGTTTTGAAAGAGACAGACAGAAGGGAGGGGCCGCCGCGCTGCTGCTGCAACAACAACAACAACAACAACAACAACCAACATCTACCTAGCTATATGCTATGGCTACGCTACGCTATACTGATGCTGTATGCTGCTGCTGCTGCTATTCTAATCCTGTTTTTTGGTTTTTTGGTTCTTTGCCTTTTTTGTCCTTCTTGTTCCTTTCCTTAATGCTCCTTTCTTTTCTCTTTTTTCTTTCTTTCTTTCTTTCTGAATTCCCCTACAGCTCTTGCGATGGCGATGGCGATGGCGTCTGGCTGGATAGACTTCCTTTCCTTCTCTGTTCCCCTTCTTTCCTCCTCTCCGCCCTCCCTCCCTCGTTTCAAGGAACAGAGGGAGCGAGCAGGCTGTACATCCCAAAGCGGACGGATATAGACGGCGCGGCGTTCGTTTTTTGTGCTGTTTGTGTTGTTTGTTGTTGTACTGTTCTGTACACGTGTGTACGAGAGATTACCGATACCGATACCACTCCTCTGCTTGTTAGAATGAACGAATGATTTGATTTGATTTGGCTGTGATGAGGCTTGCTGTGGTTTTGCTGTGGTGTGGTGTGCTGTGTGGTGTGGTGTGCTTTTTCTCTGATATTCGCTGTGGTTATGAGGTTGGTTGCGTTGCGTGCATGCGATTGTCCGTGTCGACAAAGGACGGGCGGACGCGTTGCGTTGCCTGGCTGAGTAGGTAGGTAGGTAGGTACCTAGGGGAGCTGACGCAGGAACATAGTCGGCTTCATGGCGTTGGTACAACCAACACATCGAACGCCGCAACCGCAGCTGCAGCCACCACCACCACCACCACCATGACGCGTGGCACGCCCAGAAAAAGCAAAGCCCAAAAAGCGCCAAAAGCATCACTTCCTCCTTCAAAGCAAAAAAACCAAAAACCCAAGAAAAAGCAATCCCCAACCCCCAAATCCCAATCCCAATCCCAATCCCAAAACCAAAAACCAAAACAAAACCCAAAAAGACCCGAAAAAAAAAAAAAAAAAGAGGAAATCAACTCACACGACTCCACCCCAAAAAGCTCTTCTGATGCTTCATCTCGATCCGGCGTTTTTCCTCTTCCGGCAAGTCAAAGAAGCCGATCCCCTCGCGCACCACGTCCTGCACCAGCGCCTCCGGCAGCACCGCGTCGCCCGTGTAGTCTAGGTACAGGAAACCTACGTCGAGCAGTGCTGTGCGCAGGGCGGAGAGGAAGGCGGGTTTGGTTTGTGCGGAGCGTGCGGCGCGGAGGTGCAGGTGGGGGAGGGAGCTGAAGGGGGGGGATTGTGGGGAGGCGAAGGCCGTCGTGGTGGTGGCCATGGTTGCGTGGGGTGAGGCGTGTTGGTGTAGGTAGAGTTGAGTCGAGTCGAGTTAGCTACGCTACCTAGGGTTGAGTGCGCGTCGTGCGATAGCTTAGGTGCTCGCTTGCTTGCTCGTTCGTTCAGGCTATTTTGTGCCTATCGCGGGGGTCGGTCGCGTCGGATGTCGCAAGCGGAGGCCGCGCTGACGCGATCTGCGGGGCTGGCTGGCTGGCTGCCTGCCTGCCTACCTCCGTATTCGTAGTAGTAACTAGGTAGTAGGCCCTCTCGTCTCGTCTCGTATCGTGTCGCGTCACCAGCACCGCCAATTCCTCCTCTTCCTCTCCTTCTTCGTCTCCTCGCACACCAACTCAATAGTCCCGCACGTACAGTATGATAGCCGACAGCGCGACGGCTTTGAGAAGCAGCACGCCGCACGCACAGAGCAGGCCGAGGAGGAGCATGGGATGCTTGCTTGCTTGCTTGCTGGGTGTATGTAGTGTGTCGGTGGGGTAGGTGGCGGTCGCACAGCTAGGCGTAGGCGTAGGAGTGGCTTGGCTGGACGCTTGCTTGAACGCTTGCGTATGCGGGGATGGCGATGAATGATGGAGGGAGGGAGCGTCGTTCGTTGTAGGCAAGGTAGTAGTGTGTAGTGTGTAGGTAGGTAGGCCGCTGCGTGTACGGCTGCTTCTTCCCCGTCGTCGTCTTCAACCCAGAACAGACAGCAGTCAGTCGTGACCACGCCCGCCGTCACAAGCGTGCGGGGATTCACCTACGTAGTAGGAGTAAGGTTACGGCGTAGCACACAAGCCCGCACGCTGATTGGCCGCGGCACACACGCGGGCAAAGGCAAGGGCAGCTTGCACCTAGGTGGCTAGCGCCACACCAACCTCCTCTGGAGTAGAGTAGAGTTAACTAGGTTGTTCAGCGCAGCGTGCGGGGCCCCAAAGACGCACACACGCAGCAGTCGCCACACGCACGCACAGCCACAGGCCGTGGCGCACAGCACTACCGCATAAGGTTAACCGTTGGCCGTTGGCCGTTGGGCGCCGGCACGCCGGGCTGGCACGGCGGGCTGGGTCCCGTCAGCGGTGCAACGCGAGCGAGCGAGCGGGCGGGCAAGCGGGCTGTGCGATGCCAGCCGCCGACTCGTGTGCGCAAAGCGTGGAGCAAGCGTACCCTTTCCGCCGGGAGGGTTAGGGTTAAGGTTGGCGTAGGTGCGTGGTTAGGTCCGGAGATTGGGCGCTTGCTCTCCTCCGCCGAACGGGGCGCTTGGATCTTGCGTTCGCGGTCGCGCGTTGCTCCGCTGCCCGCCGGGCGCCGGCTGCTTGGGTCGTGGGTCTGGGTGGATTGTGGCGGCTGCGGGCTTGTTTTGTTTTTGTTTTTGTTTTTTTGCTTTTTGGGCTGCTATGCTGCATGCACATATCCGCTGGCGCGGTTGGTTGGTTGGTTGGTCTGAGGATGGTTTCTGCTGTCTGTCTGTCTGTCTGTCTGTCTGACTCTCTCTCTCTCTCTCTCTCTCTCTCGCGGAAAAAGAAAACTACCTGCTTACCAGGCCCAGGTACGGATTACCGAAGGTAGGAAGGAGCTGCAGTCGCCCTGAGCTCACGAGTAGTGTAAAGTAGTAGTGTTCCGCCCTCCCCGCCTTAGGTACGCTATCCGCATCCGCATCCGCATCCGCCCTCAAGATCGACGACGTCGTCCATGAAGTCCTCTCTTCCCGCCGACTCGGGCATCATCTAGGCAGAAACGCTCTCGCTCTCGCCCTCGTTCTCACCGTTTCCCATGAAACCCACCCGATACCCTCGCTCATGCCCATGCTCATGCCCTCAAGCCCCCACATCACTAGCCCTCAAGCATACGGCGCCAGAATCTGATGCGTCGACGGCATCTGCATCTGCATCTGCAAGCGCATCGCCTGCGCGCGCTGCTGTTCCGTAACTGCGCACACACACGCAGTCAGTCAGTCAGTCAGCCAACCAGCAACACCCAGACACACCGCTTTCTACAACTTCCATTATATTTCTGGATCAGGGAGCGGGCACTTACGCTTGGGCGCGGCATCCGTGTCGCTTGCTCCAGCGACGCTGCCGTTGACGGTGCCTTCGACGGTGTCCTTGACAGTGCGCTGAGCTTGTATTTGCGTTTGTTGTTGTTGATGCTGATGCTGATGCTGATGCAGGAGGAAGCCAACGTTCTTACTCTGCGTCGTGCGGATCGCCTGCTGTTGGCTGGTGCTGCGCGAAGCGGTGGTGCGCATTAAAGAGCGCATGTGCGCGAGGAGCGCTTGCATGAGGCGGGGCATGTTTGCTTGGGTGTTTGGGTGCTTGGTTGCAGTGGGAGCTTGCTGCGTCGTCGCTGGTGAGGTTTTCGGTGGAGGAAGTGGTGAGTGATATTGCTGCGCAGTTTGTTCGGGGTGCGTCGAGGTTGGGGTCGAGAAGAGCGGTTTGTGGCCAGGTTGCGCCGCTGTCCGCTGCGCGTGCTCGGGCTTTGCTGTCCGTGTGATGATGGGTCTGGGTCTGAGTCGAGGTGAAGCCGTGGGAGGGAGAGAGGTGGTAGCCGTGGTTGGGGTGGACGGGAGGGACCTGGGTCCGTCGTTCCTGCTTGAAAGGTGTTACTTGCTTGGAAACTTGGACTGGTGTTAACTCGAACTGGTGTCTAGCCGACGTGTTACTCAAGATTGGGGGTGATTTCGAGGAGATTCACAGGTGAAGTGAAAGGTGCGGTCGTTGTGTAGGAAATGGCAGTTACCAAACTCGGAAATTGAACGCGCAAACGGGAATAGGTATCATAACTTCGTAAGACCTGAACGACCAAAGAGACTATCTGCCAGCCTTAAAACGCCGTCGCTAGAACCCCCTCCTGTTAACGCTCAGCGCTTCTTGTCTACCTGCTGGCCCTGCAGCGCCTGTCCGCCCAGTGGCTCGCCAACACCCGAGTTGTACGTCTGGGGCGTAGCATTCCCGAAACCAACGATACCGCCAGGGGATGCTGAGCCTCCTACCTGGCCCTGTCCGTTGGGGGGTATGCCCGCCTTCTGGAGGTCCGAATCAGGAACCTCGCCACCGTCACCACCGCCAACGACAATCTCCCCGCCGCCCTTGACGTGGCCGACAACCATGCCCTTTGCGACCGACTTGATGACCGCGCGGCGTGAAACTCCAGTCACGTCAATGTAGACGAGACCGACATTCTTGACGCCGCCAGCGAGCTCCGCGGTGATGGATCCTGCGTCCTGGCCCCATTTGTGCCCGACCACCGTGGTCGCCGCAGAACCGCCCGTAGTCAGCAAGGTCTTGCCGGAATGGGCGATACCGTCGGCGATGGTGTTGAAGGCAATCAACGACTTGTTCAGCAGGCCAGGCTTGTAGTTCTCGTCCCTCTCCTTGCCTTTCTTACGCCCAGCGAGCGATGCGCCTATGTTTTGCGCATACTTGGTCGCCTGGCCCACAGTCTTGGCCGACAGACCGGCCGCACTTTGAGTAAGGGCGTTGATCTTTCTCGCGCGCTGATGCGTCACAGGCGCAAAGGTCATGGGCTTCTGGTTCGGCGTGGTTTTCTGAGTGAACTGGTTGGCGCCGGAGGTCATTAGGTTTGCGAGGGCGCTGGACCCAGTGACGATCAATCTCGAGGCGGCGGCCGCGTTCTGTACCAGTGAAGAGTTCTGGTAGGCAGGGTGCCTGGCCAAACGAAGATACTCTTCCGAGATAGGTCGCACTTCGACATGCTGGCCATCTTTCGAGATTTCGACCTCGACGGGGTCTGTAGACTTGTTAGAAGGTGTAAACAAGACGATGGGAGCGTGCACTTACTCTTTGAACCAGGCTTCAAGTTGGGGTCCTCTTCGATCTGTGCACCGTCGGCCAGCTCTCCGACCACGCTGCCGTCATCCTCGTCGATCAGAACGATCTGGCCATGATTGCCCTTGCCTGTACCCTGCACGTAACCCTCTCCAGGAGCGAATTCAGCAGGGTTGTATGGGGGCGGCGCCTTGCTGTCCTTGCCATGAGCCGGGGCCTGGGCACGCTCAAGAAAAGCGGTGCATTGCGCCAGAATCGTCTCGAAGGTATCAACGTCCTCCTGCGTCACACCACCGGTGCCCAGCGGGGGAAACTCGATGCGCGTAAACGCACCGCTGTCGGGGCCTAGATCCCATCGCGGGATCAGGTAGCTAGTCGGTGGCTGGTGGTATATCTGCGTCGTCGCCGGAAGTGGCAGGTCGAGCTCGGGAGGCAGGTTAAGGTGAAGGTAGAAGTCCTCCTCGGGCGAATCGGCCTGCTGGCGCGTGGACGACAGGTTGGAGAAGGGGCTGGAGGTGGGGACCATCAGCAGCGACAGCGTTTGCGGGCCCGATGGCGTCAACGAGTCCTCGTCGCCATTCTGGATATGGTAGGCCTTGATTCCAGGGATGGAGTAGAGCAAACGCGGGTCGTTGTGGCCGGACATGGTGTGCGGTCGTAGGAATTGAGTAGAGGTGAAGGTGGGTGGTGAAGTGCAGCTGCTTCCGAGTTTATAAAGCTTGCTCGCGCGCGGTAAGAAGCAAGATAGACGCCCACCTTCGCCGGGAACTCATGTGCACAGCCCCAGCGTGCCAAGCGACGTCATGACTGGGGTAAATTTAGTCGTGGCCGGAGTTTCGTCGTATATGAGGCTAAGATGAGGTCATGAGATTTCAATAAGGGCTAAACTGAGACAGTTGGCGCCACACCAAGACCCCGTGTGGCAAAATATGTGGCACACAAGGTGGCACATATGTGGCGTAAATGTGGCGCCAGAGTGGCGGTGCTTTTCTTCTGGACTTCACACACCCCTGCTCCAAGCTTTGTTCTGCAACGGACCCGTCAGCTCACTCGTCACCGACTTTTTCGCCAACTGGACATCAGCAGTTTTTTCCACTCGGACACGTCTGCTGCAGGGCTCCTTTTACTCGTCCCTGTCCGCCCGTCAATACTATTGTGATTTTACTACCGCCACCCTACCCCGCCCCGTGATTGCAGCGCTACCAACCTCCTGGAACCCGTGCAGTTCGCTGCCACCATTCTCGCCTCAAAGAAGCAGATTCTCCCTTTATTCAGTGTCTGCTTGACTGTCACCGTGCAGTCAAAGCAGATCCCGTTTTTCAAGACGTCTCTCTCCGTCGACCGCTTTACCGGACAGGAGCCTCATCCTCACGCAGGATGGTGGAGCCACACATGCGAAAGCGACCCTCCTGCGGCCCTGTCCGGGGAATCTTCCAACTCGTTCGCTTCAATCTGCCTCCGTTGAATTTCATCACCCTGCATTATGGTTATTTTATCTTTACCTGTCTCCTCTCGGCCATCATCTTCTGGGGCGCTTCCACTCCCTCAAAGTCTGTCGATTTTACAGACTCGCTGTTTATGTGCGTCAGCGCCATGACATTGGCTGGCCTGAACACCGTCAATCTCTCGGAGTTGAATACCTTTCAGCAGTTCATGATGTTCTTTCTGATCATGATTGGCTCGGCTATTTTCGTCTCGTCTTTCGTTGTGCATGTGCGACGCAAAGCATTCGAGCGTAAAATCCACAAAGTCGCCCACGACCAGAAAGAGAAGCATGCTGGAAGACGATTCTCCGCCTCCAGGCGTCTGTCGATTCGGTCTCTGACACGCGGACGTCGCCCGTCTGGCAGCGATGAAAAACCGCCGCCCATGGGTGATACTGAGCACCCGGCGAACCCCGCTCGAGACGAAAAGGGAAAACGAAGCGAAACGGATGGAGAGCAGGAACCTTCCCAGCCATCCAAGGATCCGTCAGAACCGAGCCCACATGATGTTGATGGACACGAGCAAGACTCATCAGAAGGGGCGGACAAGCAAGCTTTGACCAAACAGCCGACCAAAGAGGACCACGTCAGCTTTAGCCCTGATGTTTTCCGTCATCCAAGCCGCGAGAGCCGAGCGCAAAGGTCCGGCCACAGGATCCTTAACATGCAAGGCGTTGGCGCAAGCTCAGGCGCCAGTCTACAACGCCATTCAAGCCTAGCCCTAAAGACCGCTCATTCTCAGGCCATTGTGGATGATGACGATGAGACCTCAAGACCAGCTGAACATTCGGAAAAGCAATTTCCTTCATCTGCCTCCGTTGGACGCAATTCTCAGTTTCACCACTTGACCGAGGCTGAACGCGAAGCGCTCGGCGGAGCTGAATACAAGGCCATCAAGGTTCTAGCTGTCATTGTGCCGCTTTACTTTGTTCTCTGGCAATTGCTAGGCTGTATTGCTCTTGGAGCCTGGGTAGCCAACAACAGACCGGCCGCGGCACGGCAAAACGGTCTCAACCCATGGTATGTCAAGATTCATGTTGATCATTTCACTCATTCTCTAGTAACGATGTTCGACCGTTTGGCATTGATCAAGGCTGTATCATTTCATTTGTCCAAATCAGATATTAGTGATATGTTTAGTATTTGTCCATACAATTTGCTAACAAGAACAGGTGGGTAGGAGCCTTCAATGCCGTCTCAGCATTTAACAACTCCGGGATGAGCTTACTGGATGCGAACATGACGGCCTTTCAAACGGGCTATTATATCCTACTCAGCATGGGCTTGTTCATCCTTGCAGGCAACACCTGTTATCCTATATTCCTACGCCTCATTATCTGGACTTTTCGGAAACTCCTACCAGACAATGAGAAGTGGTCAGATCTTCGCTACACACTGCAATTTCTCCTCGATCACCCCAGACGGTGCTACACCAACCTCTTCCCAAGGCAGCATACGTGGTGGCTCGCTATTAGCGTCATCACGCTCAACGCTGTAGACTGGGTGGGATTCGAGATTCTCAACATTGGCAACGACAAGCTCAACGTGCTGTCCGCAAGTACTCGAACCGTCGACGGCCTGTTCCAAGCTATAGCCGTGCGGTCGGGAGGATTCTACGTCGTCAGCATGACGGACGTGCGGATCAGCCTGCAGGTTCTCTACGTGGTCATGATGTACATCTCGGTGTACCCGGTAGTCATCACGATGCGCAACTCGAACGTATACGAAGAACGCAGCCTGGGCATCTACGGCGACGAGCCGGGCTACACGTCGGTGGACAACGACGACCAGTCGATCACGGGGTTCATCCGGCGGCGGTTCAACTTCCGGGGCGTGGGAGGCGAGCAGACCAAGAGCTACTTTGTGCGGCAGCAGCTGCGCGCGCAGCTGGCCCACGACCTGTGGTGGCTGGTGCTGGCCGTGTTCGTGATCATGATCATCGAGGGCAGCCAGTTCGAGCGCGACCCGGCGACTTTTAGCGTCTTTAACGTCCTGTTCGAGACGGTGTCGGGCTATGGCTGCGTCGGAATCTCGACCGGCACCCCCGAGAATAACTACAGCTTTGCCGGCTCGTGGCATAAGCTGAGCAAGCTGGTGCTGTGCGCCGTTATGATTAGGGGTAGGCATAGGGGCTTGCCTGTCGCGATTGATAAGGCTGTCTTGTTGCCTAGTGAGAGGGAGTGGGAGGCCGAGGAGGAGGACGCCCAGCTGCATATGGTGCGCACTATTAGTCGACAGGGTATGGTTTAGGCTGCGTTTGGTGAGGTCCTAGGTGAGTAGGGAAGAGGTTATTGGAGAGGCAGAGGAGAGGGAGGAGGGGATGAATGGCGATGGTAGATCGCAGGTGTGCGTGCAGAGGTGTGGCTGCGTTGGTGTAAATACGTCGACGGAGTTGACCGGACAGGCGAGTGGGCTGGTGGTTGAAAGTGTCTATAAATGGGTAAGTGGTGTATATACGTAGCCGGTGGGTAGTTTGTATAGCTCTATAGCATTGTTGGCCCACCACTCACAGCCAGACGCTCACTAACCTAGGCCAGGTCCATGATCTTTGCTGACGTTCAAACATCAACTCTAGGATTCGGTAAGTCGGTTGACTAGCCCTGTTTTTGCTCCGTCGTTCTTACGCGCTGCCGTGTAGAAGTTCAGCCTTGAATGTTTCACTGTTAGGATCGGGGCGATGGGTAGAAATGCTCTGCTACTCAGGCAACGGCCATCCGGTGCGGGTTTCCCAGACTAACCACAATTATTCACTTCGTCCAAAATGTCTGCTTCTTCACATGTTATGTTCTTTAAACCAGCAAAGCACGCAGACCATTTGCAATACCTTTCTATTTACTGCAGCTTCGTACGTATATACCCCTCCACCTACTACGAAAGTCCAGACAAAAGCGTCTTTAATACATCTACTAGAACTGATCTAAGACGCGGGTGATAGGCGGTTAAAGTAGTAGATGAGATAGGTAGAGTAGTAGATTATCTAGTCCTTAAAGCTCCTATATCCTATGTAGTATACAGGCAAGAGCGCTCTATCCACCAAACGAACGCGTGCCCGAAACCTCCAGAATATGACGAAGAACACTTACCGTTCGGGATGGCTTCGATAGCCTTGAAACCCGTGTCCAAAGTAAAAGAAGTTAGGGGAGGGTTTTTAGGTGTATTACATATACCTACTGTAACAATGACCTCCAGCACTATTGAACACTATAGCCCTTTAACTTATCTGCTCGTTGATGGCTATCATTATAGAAATTTATAGGCGCACACCACCCCTCCCATCATTCTTCCCACTCCCTCGTTCATAAGAATTCATTTCGCGCCCTATATTACTTGACTTAACTCCGCTTGTAGAGCCACCAACCCGGAACTTCGCATTTCATCGCATGGTCGCGCCATTTGCAATTCCCGCAGCAACCGTCCCAGAACCCTTGAAGGCGGCGACACTCAGTAAAGACACCCCTGCACGGCTCGTCCGAACTGCAGCCGCCAGCAACCAACTCCCCACGGCTTTGGGTAGAAGAATCTAGTCATCTTCGTTCGTCGCGTTCGATATCGCCAGTGTGCTGCTATGTGAATGCTTGAATCAAAGACATAAGAGACTTAAATGCCCCTCCGGTGGCACAGTGACGAAGCCCGGATATCCAGCATACGTGCAACCTAGAACCCCACAACAGTGGAGAGGATACCTTCCTCCTATGATCTGTAGACCGTAGTTACTCCCTACACACAACACCACCACACCAGCCCAGCCACCCATCTCACCACCACCTTCTCCTCTTGTTCTCTCCCACCAACAAACTCCACACTCCACACCCTCTGCTCTAATAGCTGATACCCAACCACTGTGACCCGTGCCCGCAGACCTATATCATACACTACACTACAATACACACAACACAACACGACAAGGGTATTCCGCAGTCTACACCCTACCCCCTACCCGCCTTACACAATCTTCCATAAACCCTCCTACTACAAGAGAGTTTGTTTATCGACGACTAATCCTCTCTTGCTATTGCATTAATCTTGCATTTCCTTCTAACAATTAAAGCGGTTTCTATACTACCCACCCCCACCCCCAGCACAACCCACAGCCACAACTCACAATCCACAACCAGCACCGCATACACAAGCAACCACACAAGCACACAAAAGCGTATGAAGAATATACACGACTAATGCATTGCCCACGCTATCTGCTGTATATATAGTACAAGCCCCCCCGCACCCCCATGTCCCAGTTGCAACCCCCACCTAACCTACCCAACCTATGCTTAGCAGAGCAGAACGACCAGAGCAGAACGACCCGAGCAACCAGAGCGACCAGAGATACTGACCGCACCCAGCCAGCCGGACCAAGCCAAGGCAGACCAGGCCAAGCCCAGCCAGATCAGCCAGCCAGCCGTACCCAGCCAAGCCAAGCCATGCACGCACGCACGCCGCAAACCAACAAGAAGAACGAAGAAGAAGAAGCAAGAATGCCGCCCAGGCAGAAAGAACACCAGTTAGTGCTTCTTCGCCGTCACCGTCACCAGCCGTCACCACTACCACCAGCACCAGCAGCAGCACCAGCAACGCCGCCATAACCGCTATAACTGCACGCACGCTTGCAGTCCCGCTGGGGACTCCACGTCAACGGCTCAGCCACCACCACACCACCATCACCACCATCATCGTCATCTCGTTCCATTCCGTTCCGTTCCGTTTCAGCAAGCAAGTAAGCAAGCAAAAGAGCAAAGAAAAGCAAGAAGTGAGCAAAAGCGAGCAACAGCCCACCGCCGGCGGCGCAATCGTCATCGCCGCCACGAGCGCAGCGTATTAACGCGCTTGCATCGACCGTCCGTTCGTCCGTCGTCCGTCGTTCGTCGACCGTCGACCACTCGACCAAGCAGCAAGGAACCACCCTACCACTCGAACTCGCCCTGAGCTTTGTGGAAGAGGTAACTGAGACGCATTAGCAAGCCAAGCCACACAAGGGCCAACACAAACACCACGGGCGTGCGAAAGCCCACCACGTGTATATGAAGGAAGTAAACGGGGAAACAGAAAAGAAAAACAAAAACTCACTCCTTGCCACCAGTCGAGAGCACGCCGTCCTTGAGCGTGCACTTCCACTTGTTTTTGACGCGCTGCACCTTGTCGTACGTGCAGATCATCGTGTCGCCCTGCGGGCCCTCCTCGTCATCGTTCTGCAGAATCTCCTCCTCCGAGTCATCCAAGTCGGAGTTGATGGCCTCGTCATCATTCTCCTCCTTGTCGTCGTCGGCCTCGCCATCCAGCTGCGGGATCCTGGGCGCGCTGGCCACCGTAGCAGCAGTCGTCGACGTCGCAGGCGCAGCAGCAGTAGCAGCAGCGGCAGCACGCGCCTTGCGCTTCTTGTTCTTCGCGCTCGGCAGCTCCTCCAGCGGCTGCATGAGCCCGCTCTCAATCACGTCTGCCCGCGCCTCGAACTGTGCGCGGAGCATGCCGTCCATGGCCAATCTGCCGTGAGGGCCCTCCTCCGCCTGCGCACGCCTCGCCGCAACCAGCGCCCGCCACTCGTCCTCGGCCGCGTCGCCGGCACCGTCAGTTTGCGATGCGTATACTGAACTGTGGTGCTGCTGTGCCTGCTGGGACGGGGGCGGTTGCTGCTGGGGAGGCTGCTGGTGGTGCGGGTGCTGGCCTGGGTGTTGACCTGGGTGCTGGCCAGGGTGCGCCTGCTGCTGTTGCTGTTGCTGCTGCTGGCGGTTCTGCGGTAGCTGCAGGTTCATGGGACGCTGCTGCTGTCCGGGCAACGTGACATTGTTCTGCTGGGTGTAGGCAGATGCTATTGACGCTTGTGCCTGGGCGCCAAAGTTTTGCTGTAACAGGGCGGTGGCACGCTGCTGGGCAATGTTACCTCCGTTCATGCCGGCGTAGCCGTTCATCTGGCCGTAAGGGGGCATGGACTGGTTGTAGCCCTGCTCCTGCTTGACTCTGACATTGCTGTACGGGTCATTGGGCGGTGCTTGAGAGGCGGGAGGCATCTGAGGCTGTAGGGACTTGGCCGAGTCATTTGATGGGACAGTAGGCGGGTTGCTGATCTGAGGCGGGGGCGGAGTAGGGTCCCATGGCATCTGGGCGACATGCAGGGCCGAGAGCTTCTTCTGCCAGATCTGGTGGTATACATGTTAGCATCCATCACGTGCGTTGGGGGTTGGGCCCTAGCCGAAACGAGAAAGGTGCAGACATGGGCGGGGCGGCAAAATTTGGTTGGGGTATAAAAATAGGCGAAGGCAGATACAAAGGAAAGCACTGCCCGCCCCCGACCGCTCGTTCGCGACCGGCTCCTCAGCCAACCCCGCTTTTTCTGCCTCCTCGCCCATCGGCAGCCTGGGCCGACTACTGGACTTCGGACAACAAATCGGCGGCTTTAGGCCCTCGGAGACGCCTGTTTCATCGTGCTGCTGCGAGAAGGGGGGGTGCGCTGCTGCCACGTCCGGGAACTTCGCCACGTACCTCTTTCAGCTCCTGCAGCGTCTGCTGGTCGACGCCGCTCTCCTCAAAGTCATTCTGCGACGAGGCCACGACCCGGTCGATGATGTGCGCAAACGTCGTGCCCTGCAGTGCCGTGTTCTCGTCAGCAACGACCCTCTTTCGGCACATGGGAAGGCAGGTGGTCAGGCTTGCAGGGTCACTGACAGTAACCGAGTTGGACATGGTGGCGGGTAGCGTAAGCCGAGGTGAGAGTGAGAGAGTGTGTGAGGGGCCAAGGTAGGTTGGCAATTGAGGCTTCTGTCACAGAGGATGCGTCGCCGCTGGAAATGAGGTACCCGACCGACGTCGGCACTCTGGCCGCCGGTGCGCGATGTGCTTTCTTCTAGGCGCTACTTTGTCTTGCTATCATCAATATGCTAGGTGTATGGTGCGCTGAAGTCTCTGGACGGACGTCGTCGTGTCTTTGTCTTTGTATGCGGAGATTGTGGTTCGGTGGTGAATCGCGCAGGCGGCGGAAGTTGGAAGCACTGAGGCCGCAACCCGCCGAGGTTTAGCCGACTGCCCGAACTGACTGACTATCGCTCTCGTTTGGCACTGTCTCGCGGCCGGAGATGCCGTCTGTTGACGGATCCCTCGTGGCCTGCGATGCATGTCTCCGTCCACGCGCTCTAGTGCCACCATGGGGGTGCGCTTAAGGCACAAGCATTGATGTGAGGGCTTGGCGCATTCGCTGCAGAGACGCGCAAGCCACTGGGAACGTCATGCACGCCACCCTCCGTCTCGCAACTGCAGGCACAATAATGCTGCTAGAGACAATGAAATTTCATTCATCATTGACTCTTTGTCCGTACACCACCACCCTGTCCCTCAACCAGAAACAACCATGTCCCGTTCCCCCTAGTCAAAGTCTGAGGCGTCGTGCCCTGATGCTTGCCAGGACTTACTCCTAGCAGTCGCTAAGTAACTAAGAAATAGCAGACAAGAACAGAAGTCCGAAAAGAGAACCCGCCCAAAAATTACCGCCTGGTCCCACCGTGCCACCCTAGCCGAGACCCGTCTCATCTTCCAGAATGTCTATGATTTTGTCGTATTCGAAGATTTCATGGCGAGTCGGACGCCCCTCAATGCCTCTGTAGCGTATCGGCATCTGTCCATCCTGTCTTTTCAAGTAGAATAGGCAGGCCATGTTGGACTTGTCCAACAAATCATATCCAATCACGTCGTAGAGACCGTCATAGCGGAATCCGCGCTCCGGACGGTAGTTGCTTTTGCCCATCCCCATGTTGTGTGACCTGATGACACGCACCGGCTTCTTCTGGCTGACGTTGAGGGTCATGCTAAGTGTGTTTTCTGACATCTTCCCTTCTTTGCCATCGGTACCTGAGTACCAGATCTCAGTACCCTCGTCTCTATCCTTGTAGTGCGTTCCACCGGAAAGGATGATGGAATACGCTGGCTGATCTTTGTTAGCGTAGATACCTCCTTGAGTCGACCCGTGTGCGCCGTCGCGGACGGTAGTGAGCTGAGTCGGCCACCATTGGCCATTGACGAGGTCACCTTCACCGTAGTAGTTTGCCGAAGCTTTGCCAGGGTATGCTGGATCGATTTTATCGGAAATTCGGCTGTTTTTTGAGGAGGGTCTCTTCACAATGCCCCTTAGCAGGTCCACAGAGAAGATCCGGTTCGCCCAGCGGGTGTAAAGTTCAGTGGCATCAGCCTGTATGTCCCATGGAAATCCGATACTATCGCTTTCGGATCCTTCGAACAACTGGCGAAGGCCAGTGTTGGGATGAAGCATCTGCTTCCGACGTAGTGCAATTTCATTGACCTGGAAGAACGCGAGGAAGTGAAGCTCCTCGCGGATCTTGTCAAACAGATCTTTCTGCTGTTTGAAAGATATCTCACGGTCTTTGCACTGTTGAATAAGGCTCTTGATTTGTTCCAGTCGCGCGTCTACATTTCGACCGGTTCCAGCGGTTTGCATGGTTCTGAAACTGATTTTAGTGTACCACTTAGGCATTTCCTGGGTGGCTGCAGGCTGGCTGGCGCATCCCCTTGCGGAAGGCTGGGAGGGGCCAGGAATAACCGGAGAGCTGACAGTAGTTGAATGCCGGCGCTCGTGTTGCGTGAGCCTTGCCTGGGGCTGGGGTCGACGATCACCGAGCTCACAACGCTGCTGTGTAGCAACTGTGCGTTGAGGCCAAAACGGCCGTCTCTCATTATGAGTGATGTCTGATGGAGGAATTTCGGGTTCTCTTTTGAAAACGGACGGGGGCGCAGGCGCATGTGGGCGAAGCAGCCGCTCGTTCTCTCTTGGGCTAAGACTCCGGTTCCTCTTCTTCGATTGCTGCTGTTGTTGTTCTGGTACCAAAGGTCTGAGAGAAACCCCAATAACTGGTCTGTGGACTTCCAACGCTCCTAACCCTGGTGACGCTAATGGTGACGCTGACGCTGACATTGAAGATGGCGAGATGATCATCTGAGGAGACGAGACAGCAGTCTGAGGAGGCGAGACAACCTGAGGAAGCAAAGCCGTCGCTGAGGCCTTTATCTTGGTCTGCTCTTTCTCCAATCTTTCCTTCTCCATCTGACGTGCCTTCTGCTCGAACAGCTTCTCCGCCATCTTACGTCGCGCGGCGACCTTCCTCTCCTCGTAAGAGAGAGTTTGAGGGTCTACCATGGTGACGTCAGGTGGGAGGATGAATGTGAATAGAAGCAAGTGGTTGGTGTGGAGCGGTGGTCAGTCGCCGTATGTTTGCTCAGGAACGACTCGTAAGTGAAAGCCGAAAGGGAAAAAAGTTAAGGTTGGATCAGGCAAGCCGGTCGAACGAACTGTTAGCCGATTGAGCTGTAGCTAAGATCGGGTAAGATAGCTGAAGGTGAAAGCAAGAAGTGGGCGTAGCTGATGATATACCTACAACACCAGGACGTGGTCTGTGACAATCAGTTGTTGAGCACCGTTGTCGACCCAGCACACACGCGACGAGATCGTTGCGTTGGATCTTGACAGCTCGTGCAGACGCGCTTTCTAAGATCTTGAGACGCGTCTCCGTGCCGTGTTGTTTACGACTCTGCCTGCAAATCTGAGATGCACCGTCCAGCAAGAGATTTACACAAAGGGAATGAGCGACGATCGTCGCGATTTGCACTCCCAACCGAAGAAAAAGAGTAATGCAGATGGTTGAAGAGAAAGTTGTTTCGTCGGACAGTTGTCCGTTAGTTGGTCGGCCACGGCGAGACTAGACGTGTTTGTCTTCGTGACTTCACACAAGACGTCGTGGTCCCGAACAAAGCTCGCCAGGAAAGATCGCGAAGGATTTCGTAAAGCCGATGACAGTTTGCGACAACGCTCGCTACAGTACTAGCTTCTATCGAGAAGTTGGCACGGCGACACGCTATAAGGTTGGCATTGTCGAGAAATATTGCGGTGAAGAAGTCCTGCGAGGAGAGCACTTTTATAGGCGACCAATTAGGCAAGCACCGGAGATTTACCGAAGCATCCCCAAAAAATATCACTTTTAACACGAATAGGATTAAACATAAAAATGATATTTTTATGTATATTCAATCATTGTTCAGGAGTACTATGTTAAGCCCCACTTTACCCCTCACTTGTACTACATAGTGAGCAGGGAATACCGAGTAATGAGTCACAATCAAGCCTAATCAACTCGGCACTGGTGGAACGTTCGTTTCCTTTAATAAAACAAAGCAAACAAAATACCAGGACATGAACAATGAAAGCCTTGTTGTTTCAACTAACGTCCGTCACCGTGAAGCGAGATGGTGATACGTGTACAGAGGAGAAGAAGAGTGCCAGTTAGGATGTGTAGAGCCTCTGCATGCTCCAAGACCTTTTCATCTATACCCGGGGCTCGGGCTAGGAGCTAGACAAGGAGTACTCTGTAGGGACTGTTCGTATCGTCCCCTGTCTCACTATACGGTGGATCTCGGTTCGCGGTGACGGACGTCAGGTGTAGACAAGAGACCACCTATAACGAATATCAATGCTTAGTTATGTCTGCTCTTGCTACCTTTCAAATCTTTCATTTCAAGTATCAACTCCTCGTTCAGGCTTTTATGGCAACAAGTCGCAGATTATTTAGTAGAGAAGAGCAACCAAAGAGCCGATGAGGAGCCAGTATCTAGCCACTCCAAACCATGCAGTATGCAATGCCCATCTATAATACACCACCCGCACCAAACGCCCGCTAAAGCCCACCGAATATCAATCAGACAAATCAACCCACCTACATCTTCTGATCCTCCCTACTGATAACCTGACCCAGCACCTCCCCCTCAACCACCGCATCCGCCGGTCCCTTGTCCGCTGCACCCTCTGACGAACCCGCAGCGTCCTGGTCCGTCGTCAGCGCAATCCAGCCCCTCACACCTCCACTCGTATCCAAGATCTTCCAGTCACCGACTTTCCCACTCGTCTCCGTCGCGACATCCAGCTTCTTCCCTTCTGCCGCCTCCACTTCCTCTTCCCTATCAATACGGCTCGTCTCCGCGACCTCGATGCCCTGCTCACGCAGCACCTGCAAAATAGCACGGACATTGAGCTTGAGCGTGCGCTCCGGCTCCTCGGCCTTGAAGATCTTCTTGGTGGCCCAGGGGAAGAGGATGCCGAAGTCAGACTGCGACAAGTGCGCCGAGTGTAGCGGGTAGAAGAAACGCGGCGGGGGTTGCGCGTGCGGCGGCGTGTCCGTCGACGGGTCCTCTGACAGCAGCCGCCTCGTCTCGGCGAGATGCGACGTCCACTTGAAGAATGCCTCGCTGAGCACGGCGACGAGCGCGCTGCCGCCTGGTCCGCCGTCCGTGTAGCATGGCATCGGCTTGTCGTGAAGCCAGCGTGTCTTGGGACTCTGTGCTGGTAGACACCAGAGGTCTAACAGGGCTACGGGCGAGGAGTTGGTGATCTGCTTGACAATCGCGGAGTCGCTCGGGGGCGTGAACAGTGGGCTGTAGCCCTCCTTTTGCTGCTCTTCCGGGGACGGCCGGTAGAACACTGATTTCACAAACTGCAGTGTGGTTGCGGCGCCAAAACTGTGGCCCGCCCAAGAGATGCCACCAGGCCTGTGGACGTCGAGCTTGTCCACGAACATCGAAAGCAAGTTGCCAGAGTCGCCCTTGTGGTGGTGGGACTTGTTCGGGTCCAAGTTCTTAATATGCCCGCCCGCGTCCATCCTCAGAACCGCATCGTGTATCAAGCCAAGCTCCCACATGCGGATATTGAGCTGCTTGTCTCTGCCCTCAAATGTTTCCGTTGAAGGCTGGTGCGGCAGGCTCCGGTACTCCACGGCCCTCGCTTCAGAGCTCCCTGTTGCGCGAACGTAGGAAATTGGCGCGCTGCCGTCGCGGTGGTCCGGCGCGATTACCACTATGCCGTGGCTCGAGAGCGATCCTACTATGTGCGAGTATGCATTTCGTGAACCTCCCAGTCCATGCGAGAAGAACATGACCGGCCATCTTGCGGACTTTGTGGGTGGCGCCAGCAGGCGCGCATTACGGTGGACGGGTATGGAGATGTAGTAGAGCAGCTGGGGGAAATACCTGCAAGTATGTTAGCATGCTTCCGACTTGGCTTTCTCTAGCTTTACATACGCAAACAACTGGGAGAATGCCGAATTCGCGCCCAAGAAGCGCGCATAAGCGCTCATGTACCCTCTCTGCGGGTTGGGGATCCATCGGACGGGTTTCTCATGGGATCCAGGCTCGCAAGGGTAGAAGACGCGGTACGCGACTGTGGATATGCTCGAATCCGGCGCCGGGCTTGGGGCGTTGAGCTCGGAGGCGGCAATCTCTACATCGAAGGATCCGACTTTGTATGGGCCGCTATAGGCAGGAAATCCGGGGACCGGGTTCAAGGTGGAGAATGAAGGCATGATCGGTAGAAGGAGAATCTAAGGAGAGAATGTGTAGAGAGAAACAGGAGGCAACGAGGGAAGAGGCGAATATGGGCCAGAACATTGGAGTGGCACGCGAGCAGAGTCGCGGCGCGCGACAATGACGTCTACCCACGTAGGCCATCTCGGCGCCCGGAGCGGCAACGATCCGAGCCATGCTGACCTGAGGCATCTTTTCAGCGAACGTGTGGGGTACTATGTACGCGGAGACCTGTGAGCTGCTGAGTTGTTGTGCCGCTTGCGGGATCCGCGGTGCTGGGATGGCGAGGGAGCGAACCAGGTACATATGCATACATCTCGGAACCCTCGCGCGTCCACGTTTTTCGAACCCTTCCGACCGTATCACTCGGGACGACGCGAACTTTAATTCTTTCGTGCATTATTTATCCTCTGTCCAGTGCGTATTTCTCCCCATGATCGGCGCAGAGTGCTGCCGAGTGATGCGCCGCGGCTCGACGTGACAACACATGGTCCGGGTCCGCTCCATCGACACCGCTGCTACTACGCCATGCCCGCCAACTTCTTGTGCCCGGTCACGCTCTTAGCAGCGCCTCTTCCCCAAATCCAACGCGCCGGCGCACCTTTCCTCTAACCACCGACACCGTCACCATGGTCCGACAAAGGGCGCCCTCGACGGCGTCCACAAACTCCTCGATGGTTGCCCGGGATCAGGTACGGAGATAACGAGTGCCCGGTTGTTGCTCCACGCTTATACGAAGGGCAGGAACTCGGGAGCATGTACGACTACCTGGCCAAGATCATTCTCTTGGGTCCCAGCGGCTGCGGAAAGTACGGCCCCGTCACGAGTAGAAGGCGTGTTGGTGATGGAAAGCTAACCAAGCACAGGTCATGCCTGCTTCACCGATTCGTCAAGAACGAATGTAGGTCCGCCATATACCCAGCTCCAGAACAACCGCTCATAATGCCGACTAGGGCGCATCTTTTCCTCCCAAACCATCGGCGTCGAGTTCGCGTCCAAAATAATTAGAGTAGGCACTGGCGCTCGAAGGAAGCGCATCAAGCTCCAAGTAAGCATGCCGTACGACGCGCCTTCGTATGGCTGGACTGACGACGCGCCTTCAGCTCTGGGATACTGCAGGCACCGAGCGTTTCCGATCAGTATCTCGATCCTACTACCGCGGCGCCGCTGGCGCAATCCTCGTCTACGACATCGCCTCGATAGCGTCGCTACGGGCGCTTCCTACCTTCTTAAACGATGCTCGTGCACTAGCTTCACCGTACTTGACCGTCGTGCTCGCAGGGAACAAGGCAGACCTGGCGGATGGGGACTCGACGTACGAGGAGCCGTCGCTTTTGGATGAACCTATCACCGCGCCATCGAGCGTGGCCAGTCGGAGCGGGTTTGGACCAGACGGCAGAGGCTCTGTGAGGTCGATCAGCACCGCCGGATTTGGCGGGCAAAACACCCTCACAGTGGCACCAGAGGGACGTGAAGTCCCGGCCGAACTGGCCTCGCGGTGGGCAGACGATGTCTCCATCCCAGTCGCCGTCGAGGTTTCGGCGTTATCAGGCGATAATGTCGAGGATGTCTTCACGCGGCTCGCGCGGATGATTCTGACAAAGATCGAGATTGGAGAAATCGACCCGGACGACCCGCAAAGCGGCATACAGTACGGCGATGTTGGCGGTTGGTACGATGATGGCAGCAGTATGAAGAGCGGCACGACTCTGGATGACCACGGCACAAGAAGACGCCGCAAAACTAGACCGCGCGGAGGAACGAACGGATGGATGAATGGGATGCAAGAGTGGGAAGAGGTCTTCCGCATCTCGGGACCACGACGAAGAGGCGGATGTTGCTAGTGGGTGTTGTATCTTTTCTCATTCGTTTGTCTCAGGGGAATGGCGTTGGATAGAGGCCCCAGAGACTCCGGACAGTCACAGGACAGGCATCAGTGGTACAGTTTTGCGTTCGAGTTGAGCTGCTGCATATTTTGACCGGCCTCAATCAAGCTTACGATAATTTAATACTACTTTACGACATAGAAGACCGCGAAGCCTGGACACTTATTCAACTGATTGCGAAGTACGAATATCTCTGGATGTTTGGGTGGATTCATACATTTAGATCATGCATCGCCGAGCCGGGAGATAGACCCCGACCATGTTCATCCACTTGGATGACGACGATAAGATCGCCGAGCAGATGTCCATCGGTATATGCATTTGTTATCGCGTATGTATGCACTGCATCTGCTAAAAGCTGCAGCGACACAAAAACAACTTGCAGTCAGGCCAATCGAAGCCTCGGTTAGACAACCACCCGACACTTGATCAACGTCCAATTCGTTTTGTGGCTGAAGTCGAACAGCTCCCAACTTCAGCCATTTATTGCTCTTCAGTCAGCACCTTTCCATCTCTCCACTCATCCGTCCAAACTCATCTATGCCAAAGCGCAATCGCCACAAAAAGAATCGCCAACCAGCGCCTAAAAGTGCCATATAAGCTGCCACCAGCAAGCACGGCTAGATTAAGGCGTCGTTTTAAAGAAAACATCTTGGCAAGCTGCACAAGGACAGAAAAAACAGCGCTCTAGACCGCAGCCTAGCTGAGCATCTCGCATCATGGGACGATAAGCGGACACGGCAGCACGAGCTGAGACGGGCGCGAGTTACACGGGCGCAACCCCACGCGAACAGGCGGCTCCACGCGGCGCACGTCAACGGCCCTCTTGGCAGACCGCAAGACGACGTCGAAGCTGCGGGGCCCCAGACTCTGCTTCCCCGCAGGCCCACTGTTGGTGCAGCTGAGCAGCTTTCGCGACCTCGGGCAGCGAGCGCTCTGATGGGCCTCCCTCGGGGCCGCCGGCCCTGGGCGAATAACAGCCTCGAGCCCGGCCTGCGTGCCCTGCTGCGCGCGTCTTAACTGCCGTCGCCACGCGGCTGCACGAACCTGTTCGATGCGGTGCTCCGATGCGCGCGGAGGGGCTATCCTGGTGTGCCATCCTTGGCGCGCGCTGCGTGGGCGAGCTTGGCAGTGATACTCAGTGCGGGGAATTTAATCGCGGGCCTGATAAATTGGGGGAGCGCCTGTGTGCGAGACTGAGTTTGATTCTTCTCTTCCTGCTTTTCTTTTCTTTTTCGAGATTATTTCTGCCAGTCATGCCGTCTGCTGGTGCGGCCGATTCGTTCAAGCAAGACGTCGAGAAGAGCAGGGTCGAGCATATTGACGCGATTTACAATGTCAATACCTCGGATACCGATGTCAAGCAGCCTGAGGTTCCGGAATTCACGCCTGAGGAGCAGCGCAGGATCATTCATCGGATTGATCGGAGGCTGGTCGTCACTGTGGGCGTCATGTACTGCATCAGCCTGATGGACCGCACGAATCTGTCGGCGGCACAAATAGCCGGGTACGTTGTCTGACCGTCATAAATGGTGGGGCTAATGAGGGATAGGATGAGCGTGGAATTGAATATGGAGGTGGGGTACAGATACGTGAGTGTAGTGTCACTGCGCGCCAATGGCATTTGCTAAACGTACTAGTCCATTGTAACACTGGTCTTCTTCATCACCTATGTTATCTTTCAGCCTCCTTCAACCGTCATCGTCCGTAAAATAGGCCCCCGCCTGCATCTCAGTGTCATCTGCATCCTCTGGGGCGCCTGTATGATCGGGATGGGCTTCGTCCACAGCTGGGGAGCTCTGTCCGGCCTGCGTGCCATTCTCGGCATCCTCGAAGTGAGATATTCCCGTCCATACAGTTCCCTCTACTAACATTGGGCAGGCAGGCTTCTTCCCCTCCTCAGTCTACCTCCTGAGCACATGGTACGTTAGGTGTAGGTATCCCCCCGCACACACTTCTTCACTACAGGCCCTGACACAAAGCAGACGACATGGGCAAGCGCTACTCCAGCTTCTACATCATCGGCTGCGTCGCCTCAGCCTTCGCCGGCATCCTCGCCTACGGCCTCATGCAAATGGACGGTCTCTCCAACCTGGGCGGCTGGCGCTGGATCTTCATCATCGAAGGCATCGTACGGGCATTTCCCTCCCTCCAAACCTTACGCCTAACTAACGTCCCCATTCCACCAGCTAACCTGCCTGATCGGGCTCCTCGGCTACTGGCTGCTAGTCGGCTTCCCCGACAGCACGCAAAAAGCATGGCGCTTCCTAACGCCCGCAGAAACGGCCTTCATAATCGCGCGCGTGAACGCCGACCGCGCCGACGCAACCACCACGCCCTTCTCACTGCGCACGTACGTCGCCGCAGCGCTCGACGTCAAAACCTGGCTCTACGCGCTCGTCTTCTTCAACAGCACGACCATCTCGTACGCCCTCGCGTTCTTCCTGCCCATCATCCTGCGCCAAAACATGGGCTTCAGCATCGGCGCGGCGCAATGCCTGGTCGCGCCGCCCTACGCCTTCGCCGGCCTCGTCATGTACGCCGCCGGCTGGGCCGGCGACCGGTACCGCCTGCGCGGGCCCGTCGTCCTCTTCAACTCGCTGCTCTGCATCCTCGGGCTGCCGATCATGGGCTTCGCGCACAGTGCCGGCGTGCGCTATTTCGGCGTCTTCCTCGTCACCGCCGGCGCGAACTGCAATATCCCAGCTGCGATGACGTACCAGAGCACGAATATCCGCGGGCAGTGGAAGCGCGCGTTTTGCAGCGCCACGCTGGTCGGCTTTGGTGGCATAGGCGGTATTGCGGGCAGTTTGGTATTTCGCTCCCAGGATGCGCCTGCGTATCGCCCGGGTATTTGGGCGTGCATTGCTTGCGCCTTGTTTAATGTGCTGTTGGTTGCGGTGTTGAGTGCGCTGTTTTGGCGCGCGAATAGGCGGCAGGCTAAGGGTGAGGTGTTGGAACCGACTGGTGTAAGTCTTGTGCTCCCCCTCCCCCTTGTCTTTTGCGAGTGGCTTTTTGAGTGCTTGTGTTTGGTGGCTGATTTGCGTGTGCGCGGTAGGCCGATGATGAGGGCTCGGATTTTAGGTATACGTATTGAGGCTGGGGACACCTGGTTGTGCAGAGGGCTGGGGTGGTGTACGTTTGGCATGGTGCCACTCCTACGTATACGTGAAGCGTACGTAGCGGTGTTGAAGAGCTTGAGACGGCTTCATAGCGCTGAGTGTATGATATCAAGCCATTGTCCTAGTAATGTATCTGAGAATACAATCGTCCTTCCATTAAGTAGTACATGCGGTCAAGGGAACCGCTTTATCCACTAAGATAGCTACCGTTCCCGACGCTGCAAACACCAATCCGCACTTTTGGGGGCCTTCAACGACCCATCCCCGCAGCAGCACCACTACCCACCCATTACATCCCATCCCCCCTCACTCCCCTCATTAAATCTCCTCCTCTACCTCAAGCCCCAGCACCACACCCCCCCTAAAATTATCTTTGCACCAACCGCCTCACAGGCCCGCGACAGCCCAACACAGCACCAGCGCACAAGCGCGACGGCTGCGCGCGATCCGCAGCGCAGACATCAGCGACAGGCACAAGCTCGAGCTCGAGATCGACCGCGCGGCGCAGATGCGGCCCGGCATGGAAGGCGGGCCGCTCGCAGTCCGGCGTCGTCGACAGCAGCACGCGCTTGCTGTTCTGCGGCATGTTGGCGAGGCCGCGCAGCGTGCTCACGAAGGCGCCCGTCGAGCGCGCTGTGCTTGTCGTCCAGGCTGAGATGGAAGAGGGCGTTAGTTGGGGTTGTTTATGAAACTAGGGAGGGAAGGAAAGGGAAGGGGAGGACGGAGAAATGCGCACCAAAGTCAAACCCGTCAATGACGACGCTGCCTAAAGGCCTCATGTACACGTTAAACACGTCACCGTGGCCAAACAGGTCCCACAGCAACACAGCGGCGCGTCTCGCGTCCGCCTCATCCGCAAAATCCAGGAAGCTGTTCGGGCCGCCCACGCTCACAAACACCTTCTTCCCCATGCGCTGGCACGCGCGCACTTCCTGCGCCAGCGCCGGACACGTCGCCAGGTCGGGGGCGACCGGGTCGCTGATGCCGCGGCGCCCGAGACAGCTGGTCCCGAAGTCGACGACGGGGAAGCCGTGCGTGCTGCTGAAGTTGCGCACGTAGCCGAGGATCACGGTCGAGATCTCTGGGTTGCGGCAGAGCGTGTCGAGCGTTGTGTCTTGCGAGTATTGCCATGAGGTGCCCGTTTGCCCATGGTAGGCTACTGTGGTGGCTTTGCTGCTGGTGCTGGGGCGGCCCGCGGCGGCTTTGGCTGGCCTTGCTACGCCTGCTACCGCTGCCGCTGGTGGTGGTGCTGCTGCTACTGGAAGCGCGGGGCGCTGCGGTGCTGGTGAGGGCCGCGCTTTGATCGGGAGCGAGATGCGGCCTAGCTGGTTGTTGAAAGGTTTCTGCGCGCTGCCGTGGTCAGCGGGGAGCTTGACCATTGAGGGCGGCAGTGTTGTGGGCTTCGGCGGCTGGCGGTACGGCGGGAATAGCGGCTCCCGGAAAGATGTGACTGCGCCATGACCTGGGCGAATATTTTGCACCGGATACGGGATGGCCAAGACCAGATGACCGAGAGCAAGAAATACAGAGAAGACTAGCAACTCTGCTTGAAACATGATGTCGATGGTGATGGATAAGGGAAGTTAATTGACGAGCAGTGGAGCAGAAAAGTGGAGAGAGAAATAGAGAAACATATAGGCTGTCAAAGACGGGGAGCGCGTGTCCGACTTCCGCAACCGCCCATCATGACTTCCGGAATGGGTTAGTGCCATGCGTTTGCTGCCACGAGCCAAACAGCGCAAACAGAGCTGCTTTCTCCGCCGCGCGTTCTTGAGACGGCTGGTGTTAGCCGTAAGTGACATAGTGGTTGGAATGAGGAATGAGAGGTGGTTGGTCACCGGGCTTGGCACCACCACAAGCGAGGGATGTTCTGCTGGACAATCAAAGCGAGGGGCGTCCCTCTGGCCAGCCAAGGAGTATCGGACAGAGAAACGAACGAGAGCCACATACTTACACCTCGTCTCGGATCATGATCTGTCAGCACAGATGACCAGTAGCAGCCATGCTTCCAGAGCCTTTAAAAACATCGGACAGGCCAAGACAGCCTTAGGTTACTGTAGCATGCAGTCAAGACTGGTTACAATGTATGAGCTGGTTAGCAAGTTCCGACCTTCCGAAAAGCTGTTTGTCGGTATAAGTGGTTGAACTTGTGCGTGGCCGTTTGCACACCTTATGGTTATAGAGCGATTGATGTTATAAACAGTCAACGCTGTAAGGAGAGGTTAGTAAAATGACAAATGGCCCGAGTGGTTGCAAAGGTCTGCATCACAGATGAGTGTCGTTCTTTGTTTTTGAGTTGGAGGTGGAGAGCTGTTGTTCCGTTGCGCAAAGGCCACGGTTGATGGACCCTATTGGCACCCGAACGCGACTCGGTTGCTGTGTATTAGACCTGTCATCGATGCGCCTGTCATAAATAAATCGTCGAACGGTACAACGGTGCTGCAATGTGCATTTCTGTCAGGCTAAAACACATTCGATCGGGTTGAAATGGCAAGCGTTTGGCTCGGGCAGGTCCGACTAGAATTATGGGCTGCATACGTCCTACAGCAGTAATCATAAGCTTCTCAAAGCACAGTGTCCGTGCCTCAGTCCGTAAAGATCGCAGAATCGTTGGGCTTTTCATTCATTTTTGGAGCTACCGCCATGGTATTGTAGCTACAGCGAATTGCCCATTTTTCCGGTAACCCTGAAGCAGTACCCCCAAGCACTCCCACGCAACCATATACACGACGCTTAGAAGAAAGTCGAAGGCCTGCTCGCGGCGAAGATCTTCTTGCTGGTGGTCTTGTTGACACGGTGGGGCAGAGGGAACTTGAGGTCCTTGGTGAGGATCTGCTTCATGTACGGGCGGCGGAGGTCGGCGGCCTTCTCGACCTCGACGACCTTAAGAATCTGTTTTTCGAGCGTTAATAGCTGGCTTTGGCCGGAACAAACGGGGAGCCCTTACGTGGATCGACCTGAAGCGGGCACGGTGCCTGGCGGCCATGTCCTGGTAGAGAGCGTCGACGGCCTCGGTGCGGGACATCTCACGGTACTCCTTGTACATGTTGTGGGTGCCGGACCTGGAGTCGTAGCGGATCCAGATACCGAAGTTCTTGACCTTCTGGGGGCGCTTCTCGTGGATCTTTGCGACATGTCAGTCGCACAAAATTTTGCGTCTGTGGCTTGGGCGGACAAACCTGGTTCAGCGAAACGATCTCACCGTTCGCCTTCTTGATCTTGCGGAGCCTGCCCAGGAAGTACCAGAAACGGGACTTCGCGACGACATCGTTCGGGGCGAAGATGCGCATGCGGTAGAGCTTGGGGGTGGGGTTGGCCTCGCTGGGCAGGTGGCGCCCGATGACCTGGTACTCCTGAAGACGACCTGAAAAAAATCCGTCAGCGTCTGTTTCCAGCTGTCGTTTCGCTCTGGGATGGTGCGCAGGTCGGGTCGCGGTCGGCGGTCGGTGTTCGAGTCTTGCAGGCAGAGGCCTGAGATGGGCGGCGTCGTGCTCGTGAGCACAATGGCAGATGCCAACGATAACGTTCTTTCCAATGACCAGGGCAGTGCTCGCCGTCGTCCATTTCGATGCCTCCTCAACCGGTGATGCCTCCAGATGCCTCTACGTAGGCCCGTCCACGATCCGCCGCCGATTTTGGTCGTGACCCGTCGCTGCGCACAATCCAAGGACAAAGGTGGAAAAGCTGCTTACCCATCTGCGCGAGAGTTAGTATGAACAAGCTGGAGCAGAGGATTGAGCAAGCTGACCTTGATGCTGCGTTGTCGTCGGTTTGGTTGTCGTCCGTCGTCGTCTTAGGCGGGAAAATGACTTTTGGGGTCGCAGGCTGCTTGTCGTGTGGCCGATTCTCTCGCTTAGCTTAGGTTTCGGCGCTAACGCGGAGCCGCATGGGCAATTGCGGGCGGCGAGCTGCGAGCAACAAAGCACCCACCAGTGCGACACGCGCATCGAGCTTCGAGTCTTCTGACATATCGCCCAGCATGGAAGCTCTCATCCATGACTTCAAGCGCGCGCTCGCTGAGCGTAATGGCTACGACCTGGCCGCAACCATAACTCCCGTCCCTCCCCCAAAGGATGCCGGCCGCCTGTATGCCTTCTATCGCAGCACCAACTCTTTTAGCGTCCAGTCCGACATCCGCCACGCTATCACCCAGGGCAGGGGACTGCACCTCGCCAAGGTTGAGAGTGCCGCCTGGGTCGACGTGTTTGTAGCATACTGGAAAGCCGTCGGTGAGATCCTGACGGCTGAGGAGATCACTCGACAAGGGCACAAAGAGGCCGACTGGGCCAAGGTCTATATTGCGTGGAAAGATGTCGTCAACAACCTCATCAAGGGCTACTCGAACGCCCACTTCCCCGCCTGGTCCATTCCGTGTCTCTATGCCGCTGCAAAGTACCTTCGCACTTTCGCCATGACAGCCGACGAGCGGGCGAGCAAGAACAAGGGCAGCGTTAGCTTCAATACTGGCTTTCAAGACGATGTCGTTGACTCTCTCGGCAAGAATGAGAAGCTCGAAGATGCCGCAAGACAAATCAACCGTATCTTCACACTGTGCATTAGCGATCGGTATGTAGATTTGAGTGCCGAGTCTGTCCCACACATGCTGAGCCTGTTCGTTCAGAGAGTCGCTCGAAGACTCCCGCAAGTGGGCCCTCTATTACGTTACGAACATCTTATTCAAGACCTACTTCAAGCTGAATGCCGTGGGCCTGTCGAAAAACCTACTGCGTTCATTGCATGCTTCCCGACACGACATGCCGTCGCTTGATGTTTTCCCAAAGTCGCATCAAGTCACCTTCAAATACTACTGCGGTGTCTTGAGTTTCCTTGACGAGGACTACAAGCAAGCCGAGGAGCATCTAACGCAAGCTTGGCGCTTGTGCCATAGGGGCGCCAAGAAGAATCTCCAGTTGATTCTGACCTACTTGATACCATGTCATCTGCTGACCACTCACACCCTTCCGACGGCTGCTCTGCTTGAGCCGTATCCACATTTGCAGCGACTCTTTACCCCGCTTGCTACCTGCATCAAACGAGGAGATCTTGCTGGCTTTGATGCTGCTCTTATAGCCGGAGAAGAAGAGTTTGTCAAGCGCCGTATTTACTTGACGCTTGAGCGCGGTCGCGACATTGTGCTCCGCAATCTGCTTCGCAAGGTCTTCATTGTCGGCGGATTTGAGCCCTTAAAGGAAGGAGAAACAGAAGCAAACAGGATACGTCGGACCCGTATCCCCATCACGGAATTCTGTGCAGCCCTTAACATCAGCATGGGAAGACGAGAAGGGGAGTCTCTAGACAACGATGAGGTCGAGTGTTTGCTGGCGAACATGATCTACAAGGTAAGTAAAGTCCGCTAAGGTATCTCGACCCGTTACCCGGTGGCTAATGATGCGCAGAACTTGATGAAGGGCTACATCTCTCGTGAACACGGAAAAGTTGTGCTTAGTAAAGGAGGCATGGCCTTCCCGGGCACAGGTGTTTGATGCTTCAACAGCTATCATAGGATCACTTATGAACTTTGCATGCGCTGCATGCATGTCGTCGAGAGTTCGTTTCGGCATATCCTGGACACTGTTATCAGGCTCAAGTATTGACAACATAGAAAACGAAACGACCGGCGGTTCGACATACTACGAAGTGATCTCAGATGCTCAGGTTTGGGCTCAACCACACTTCCGAGCGGGCGCATTCGATGCTATGCTGTCCCGTCTGAACAAAAACTATACCACAGCGAGCTACCAGAAGGGCGAGAAATGAGAAACAATTACTGACCGTGCGGAGATGGCAAGACAACACACCGGGTGATTGTACAATATACCTACTCTGTCAGTGGAGGGGAAACAAGGTAGGTAGAAGCATGGACACAGGCGGATAGGCCTGCAACGATTGGTGGGAATTTAGCGAGGGTGCTATCTGGGGGGAACAAAGAGATTATCCCATCCCAGTAGGTTCAAGTGTCTCCTGACGTGCTTAAAGTGATGGAAAGATGTGTGCAATAGCTAGGGACAAGGCCGTTTAGAGGAACCGAGTTGCCGCCCGTACCGAGAGTGCTTAAATATGCATGGGCCCGAGGCTGAAGTAGGCAATTTCATCATAATCTACAGGCCAGAACATCCAAACAGAAACTGACGGCGCGCCCAGATGCAGAGGCTCCCACATGGTAGCGGGACGACGGGCCAGGCGCCGGACAATCCCACATGGCGCCAGGCGATGATTTGTGGAAGGGCGGGGAGTTGTGCCAGAAACAGGAGTTGGAAGCCATGACTCGCGAGCTCGGTCCTGCTTCAACCATCCCCTGCTCAACATCAAACCACTCTTGAAACAATAAACGAGCGCACCTACGATCCTTCGGCCCAGCCGCTCCCTAAACACGCTTCCCGCCCGAGTAAATTGGCGTGGAGATGTTTCACGGGCGAGGCGGGAGATCGGTTACACACCCTCGGTGGAGGCCTGGGGGGCAGCAGCAGAGCGGCATATATGGCACAAGCACCCATCCCCAGCGGACGAGTTGTTGAAGTGCGCTGCAACCGTTTCTACTACTCGATCTATTCACCACAAGGCTGAGCCTACCGTCATTCTTTCTCTCTCCATTCTTTTCTAAACCACCACCATTACCACCACCATCAAAATGATGAACAACAAGGCCCTTGCGCTCCTCGGCGCCCTCGCTGCCACCGCCACCGCCCAGAGTGAGAACATCCGCTTCGGCTCGGCTTACTCCCTCGGCGCCACCAACTCGTACATTGTCGAGGCCGAGACCACCATCTACCCCGGCAAGACGCACTCCCCGGCGCAGGACCGCCTCGCGCTCTGGCCGGGCATGGGCACCGACTCTGGCGACCTGATCCAGGCTATTGTGCTGTCGACGGACAAGCAGGACGGGTAAGCAGCGCAGCGCGGACCCAAACCCAAACCCGCACGAAGAGAAAGAGAGATAGCGAGAAAGTGTGTGTGCGAGAGAGTAAGCAATGCTAACGCGAGCAACAGCGAGTGCGGCGGCACCAACGACCAGTGGTGCGTCTTCGCCAGCGTGCTGCAGGGCTCGCAGATCAGCGGCGACTCCGTCCCCGTTGACGCTGGCTTGGGCATCACCATCAAGTGTACGTCTCCCGATACCTTGCACGCTTCCAACCCCTTCTTATAACAGAAAACTGACCAACCCTCGCTCCCCGCAGACGCGTACGACGACTCCTCCAAGAACTACACCCAGACCGTCACCGTCGACGGCAAGGTCATCTCCTCGCTGGAGTCGTCCTCCGGCAAGGCCATCGGCTGGGGCACTGCCGTCGAGGCGCAGAACGACCTCTCCGGCACCGTCACCGCGCACTGTAAGTTTGCTCTGCCTTTCTTTCCCTTTTCCAAATAAAAGCTACTCCAAAGTCCCCGTCCGCTAACCCAGCACCTTCCCACCAGCCTACGAGAAGACGACCATCAAGCTCGCCGAAGCCGACCTGGCGTTCAAGGACACGCTCGTGCTGAACGAGGCCGATGCCTCCGACATGATCACCTCGGACAACGGCAAGACGTGGACGATCGAGAAGATCAACATCCACGACTCGCAGTTCTAGATATACGACTCATGTGACTATGTAGGGTAGTTGTGAGAGAGCGTTTTTTTGTACGCTTTGTAGGCGCTGCTTTGATGGTTGAATGGGTTGCGTACATGTCTTGTAGTCGGAAACAATTTATCTTGATGATTTGAAGCGTTTGTGTTTTCAGCTGGAGTCTGTATTATGTGTAGCAGTGCGTGTGTGAATGAGCTTGCTCCTGTTCCTAGCTCACTTTACACTCCCCTGCAGCCCGAGTACGTGTGTTTGAATAGAAATATAGTGAGGGTAACTACATTAGATATGTACTCCCCCTTGAGCGTGGATTCAGAGTGTGCGAGAAGATAAATAGTAGCATATTAAATACGAAAATACCCCGCCTATGTATGGTTGAACACATCAAGGGCCCACACTAGCCAACCCGAGACCCAAACACCTTCCTTTCGTCCAGCAGCAGCAACAGCAGTAACAACAAGCAGCAGCAACAACAACACAACAACGCGCCTACTCAGCATCAAAGTTCTCGTCGGCGCCAAACTCAGTAACGATCCAATGGCAATACTTCTCCCAATCCGCGGCCCACTGCTTCAAGCACTGCGCGCGCACGCCCTTGCCACACATGCCGTCCTTAATATCCTGCAACCACTCCTTATTAGTGCAGTCCTCGTAATTAGCCCAGCGGACGCTGTTCTCCGCCAAGGAGCCCAGCCCCGCCAAGCCCAGGTTCTCCCACCCCTGCAGCGCCTGCCAGAAGTCGTGCGTCATGCCGGAGCTGCCCTGGCCGAGGATCGAGGGGTCGTCGTTGCAAAGCGAGACGCTGACACCGCGGGCCAAGAGCGCTGGCAGCGGGTGCGACATGATGGAGCCGGTGAGGCGCAGGATCTCGTTCGACACCGGGCAGCTCTCGATCAGGATCTTCTTTTGCTTGATCATGTCGATCAGCAGCGGGTGCTTAAACAGCGAGAATCCGTGCCCGATTCGTCGTGTCCCGAGCAGCACCGCGTCGAACAGGTTCTCGTCCGTCGTGTCGCCATCGCCGAGACATTCACCTGCATGGAAGAAGAACGGTATGTCTACCCCTTCTTCCATGCACCGCTTTTTGAACCAGAATAGCTCTGGCACGATGTCTTGGAGCGGCCGGCCTAGGTCTTCTTGCCCTACTAGGTCGTATCCGCCAAGCAGATCGGGGTACGCTTGCTTGCAGGAGATGCACTGCTTCATGCCTGGTTTTCGCTGTTAGAAGACCGGGAAAAAGGGAATGCCGTGTTGGGGGCACCTACTCTCTACTATTTTACGCTTGTCGAACGAGCGCAGCGTCGTCCATATCAGGCGCGCCCCCCAGAAATCCTTGCCCGCTTCTGTTGCCTTGAAACTGTCCACCTCTTCGCCGAATGCTTGGAAGAAGCGGTCGTACCCCTCGTCCACCTCTTCCGAGTCTTCTCTGCGGAACGGCGCTACGAAGGCGGACCGCACGTCCACCCATTTCACGCCGTCTTCGTTGAGGTTCGTGAGCATTTTGCGCACGAACTTGCGGAAGATGGGCTCGTAGAAAATTAGACTACCAAGAATGGGGAATATTGACGAGAACTTGCGCCACACATCATTGATGCCGTCGTGGTGCTTGACGGACTCTTCAGGGGTAATGGTCGTCCTGGCTTTTACGAACGCTCTGAAACCTTGCGAGCCGCCGTCCGGGAAACTCTCGGCGACTGTTTTCAGGGGAATGGGGGTGTTGGGCTTGTACGTTTCTGACCACAGAGGCTCGTTTTCCTTGCTGGCGAGCTTAGTGAAGGTAAAGTAGAAGGGCTGCCGCAGGCGCGTGGCCGGGTCAGAGAGCCCCTTCTCGGCATACACGTGGACGCCCTCGGTCTCGAGGGCTTGATCCAGGACCCAGTCAACTTCAACCATGGCTTCGAAATGGCAGTGCAGCAGGGCGCCCTTGGGCATGCGGCGCACAATCTGCCACAGCTTGCTCTTCTCCATGCGCTCCTTGGCCAGGGAGAACATCATGCCGGGGAAGATGTCGCGGTCGGCGACGAGAGTGTTCTCGTAGTCCTTGGTCCATAGCGTCTGCTGCTCCTCGAAGCGGATCTGGTCGACAATGGAGCAGGCTTCCAGGGCCGTGGGAGAGAGCTTGTCGCGGAAGATGCGGTCTGACGATGCCTGTCAGACCATCATCCTAGAGGGAGCATCGGTTACCAACCACTTCGCTGTTTCTTCTCCTCCTCGACGAGCCGGTCGCGGCCCTCGAGGTACTTTTGGATGAAGTGGTCCTCTAGGCGAGGGACGCCCTCGGCCTGGTGCCAGGCGGCGTCGTCTTCCTCGATCGACGGGCGATCCATATGGCGGAGGGTAGGGCGTGAGTCACGGGTCGAGATTGGGGGATGCGCGCGGCCGCGGAGGATACCGGCGTGCCAGTAGTGGGTCGCGAGCAGTTGGGAAGTGGAGTGGTGGCTCCCCGAGAAAGGCAAGACTGGACGTGCAGTGCAGAACGCTGACGTGCGGTGGAGAGATTGGAAGGCAGACGCGGCGCTCCAAGCGTAAGGGCGGCGGCGGGACCAAGAGGACCACGAAGCCTCTCGGTTTAGCGCCGGGGCTCTCTGATAAGTGCCTTATCGCCTAGCTTCCCCCATGAGAGTGACACCGGGCACCTGTGCCATTACAACATCGCTGCTCCCCGTGTGTTCCCTCCATGTACCTCCTGCTCCTGCACGCGCCCATGTCGGCCGACGCGCCTTAGACACACGCACCCTGCCCGTCCGGCTGTCTTTTACATCTTTTCCAACGCCTCCGTCCCCGCGGGGCGCGCCGCAGCCACCACCATGGCTTCCTACTTCCTGCCCGCCGGCCTCAAGTCGCGTCTGCTCCGCTTCGCCCTCTCGCGCATCGACTTTCTCGACGGCGATGCTCTGGACCTGGACCGTCTCAACTTCACCCTGGGCAAGAAAAGCACCATCTCGCTAGGCGACGTTGGCCTGCGGACCAAGGTTTGTCGCCGCCTCGCTATTCCCCCGCTACTCGATGCCTCTGACTGACTGCTAACCTGCCCTGCCTTACAGAAAATCTCCTCCCTGCTTCCGCCCAACATCCACGTCACCCGCGCCTCGGTCAACCTCCTTCGCATCACCATCCCCGCCGATCTTCATACTAGTGGAATAGTCATCGAGGTCGATGGCGTCACGGTCAAGGCGAAGGCTGTCCAGGACAGCGCCACTCCCGCTGCCCGGAACAAGTCCCGTGCCAAACCCTCGCACCCCGAGGCGATTCCCACGCCGCAAGATCTAGCCGAGTCCTTCCTCCAGGAGGAGCCGGCTGAGGATCGCAGAGAGCTCGAGGCCGCCATAAGCTCCCAGTCGCAACACCTACACGAGCCGACCGCGGCTGCGGCGAGTGTCCATGAAGAGGAGCTGGAGGAGTCGGAGCTCGGCACCGGCGTGGGCTTGACCCTGCCGTCTGTTGTCACGAACTTCTTCAACGGGATTCGCGATCGCTTACAAGTGTCGATCGAGGGGGTGGAGGTCGAGGTCGAGACCGAGATACCGTCGGAAGGCTGGGATGATGACGAAACTATCACTGCGGGTGTGGTCTTTCATATCGGCAAGATTGCTGTCGAGGGTCTGACGTCGGCGGGTGTTCCCTTGCGTCCGCAGGATGCATCACCCTTGCCGTCGACCGTGGATTCAAAACCCGGGAAGCGCCAGATCTCGTTGGTGAACTTGTGTACGGGGCTATTGCTGGATGAGAAGAGCATGTCTAGGAGCAGAATAACTTCGCATCCTGCTTCTTCTACCACGAGTACAAATTCGCATCACAAGCCGGCCAGCCGGGCCCCTTCGGAGCCTGGCAACGATGCTCCTGCATCGCCTAACATTGGAGGATCTGCAACCTCATTTTCGGGCAACGATGCTCCCATGTCGCCTACCGTCGGAGGTTCTGTAGCCTCACTCTCTGGAAACGATGTTCATTCGTCGCCCCATTTCGGAAGCTCCGCAGCCTCAACCCATGTGGAATCTCCTAACCCGACGCCAGTACAATCGAGAAGTCGGGTTGAAGGAATGGCGGCATCGTCCATGACTACAGATGAAGATAGATTCGGAAATGCTGACGAAGATGAACATAGACCTACCAATCATTTGGCAGGCTCCTTCTCTGGATCTGAGAGATTCGGCCAGGAGAGCATGTATGGTGAAGATTCGTTCTTACAACACGCAGTGGACGACGGGCTCTTTGATTCCAACATTGGAGAACAGGGTCCGAGTCAGAGCCGAGGAAGCATAAACAATGTTTCGGGGAACTTTTCAAGTCCTCGGAGCACGCATATGGCAGCTTCCAACACGTCGCTGCCTGCGCGCCTCCAGAATGATGGTGCATTACAGGAGCAAAACGAGTCATCGCCAGTATCCAGGTCTCAACCTGTGCTCAAGCATGACTCTTCCGATGTTGAAGTTACTGACCGTCAAACTGCCTCTACTGACCGACTTTCCAACACCGGCGATCAAACACCGAACCTAGGGTCTGATAGCTCACAGAGCCCTCCCTCTTCGCCTGCTACATCTGAGCGCCATGGACTCTCGCAGTCTATGCTATTCAGCCATGAAGAGGCGGAAAGTATGTACATGAGTGCTTTTAGTGAAGCGTCGACCCAATCGAGCAGGCAGTTCCATATACCCGGAGGCTGGGACACTTCAAGCACTTCCAGTGGCGATTCTGAACAAATACATCACCCGAATCTGGCCCAATTTGGCGTTTCCCCGCTTGGCACCATTGCTGAAAAGGACGACGGCTGTGATACCCCTCGCCCGCGCAGCCGAGCAAACACTGACCTGGCCACTTCTGCAATTCTGGGGCAAGAGAAGATGCAGGATAACAAGCCCGTTGCGCCCTCAAAGTCGTTTACGCCGTTGGCGGACATTGACACCGTCTCAATATGGGTACCGAACCCTGACGCAGCGAAACCTGCGGCTTCCTCTGACGTAGCTCCGTCAACGTCGAACATCCGTCCCTCGAAAGTGGCTTTTGCGGATTCCTCCACCTACCATGAAGTCCCAGGGTCCTTTTCCCATTATGCTGCATCGACTTCACGGTCCAAGACGGGCTCGACCATTTTGAAGGACCGTAACAGGACTTCAACAAGTCATGCGCGTATAAATTCGGACCGTCGTTCAAGTGATGCAGGTGTGAAGGCTGAAGAAGGTGTTGAAATTGAGATTGGAACCGTGCGCTTGCGTCTTGACGTCGATACGGTCTACCTGATCAGTCGCCTTGTGAAGGCAATCGGCCAGCTTTTCGGTGACCTTCCAGAACCCCCCACTCAGCCCCCCAAAGAAGAGAGTCCGTCAGGACAAGGTGTCAACGGCAAATGTGTCGTTAACCGCATCCAGGTCACACTCGTGAAGGAGTTGGTCGGGCATCCCGTCTTTATCGATAGACCGATAGGAGCCGTGCGCCACGGCCAACTGGACCAGTCCGATATCTTGCTTGACCTTCGAATCACAAACCTACAAGTCACCGCTAACACAATCGCGGGAGTTTCCAAATTGACGCTCAATCTTGGAACATTCGTCCTTGGGTTCAATGACCAGCGGATTCTCTCATTCGACTCGAGCTCGGGTTTGGAAGATACCACTGTCGGTCTGAAGAAATTGCAAGAACATGATCTCTCCTTGACTTATACGCAAGATGGAGATCGTTCCGAGATAAACATATCTACTCGTCCGTTGCGCGCTACTTTGGATGTGCAGAAGCTGGACGACACCTTTGCCTCTTACGGCGGCTTCAGTGGGGTCCTGAGAATTGGAAACCAAATCGCGTCGACTTGTACCCTGCCTCCTTCATCACCGAAGCCTACATCACCGGTTTCGTCTGTGAGCGACAGCCCGCCGAAACCCGCACCAAAGATCAATGCTCGTTTCGAAGGTCTTACATTCCGTCTCCAAGGCGAGAGCTGCGGTGTTCTTCTGGAGACGAGCGTCATCAAGGCTATTGTCCGAGGAGATATAGTCGGAGTAACCATCAGACATGCCAAATTGTCCGGTCCCCATCTATCGGGCTTTGAGGATCACGAAGTGCCCTTGATTACGGAGGTCGACGATACAAAGGTGGAATACGCTTTCACGCCTACGGAGAAGGACCTGGAGGAACTTCTGTCTCTGATTACTCCAACGCACTTTAAGTACGAGTCCGATGATGATATCTTGATTGAAACGCTGCTCTCGCAAAGGAGGAAGGGGTCCTTCGTCCGCGTCAGAGTTGGGAAAGAAATTCGACTCAAGGTATCCAACCTGGATGACCTGCAGCAATTTCAGTGCCTCGCCAGGGATGTTGCCAAGCTGTCCAGCGTCGCCAAGCTTCTCCCGGATGATGAGCGGCCTGGCATACTCACGATGGTCGATGCAGCCTTGTGCAACGTTGAGGTGTATGTCAATGACCGTATCGGCTCTGTGTCGTTGACATGCGGAAACATGCGGCTTGCCCACATTGGTCTGCCAGCTCTTATCGCGCTCGAAGTTCGTTCAATGGAGGCTGTCCGGGACAGAACGGAGACTCTAATTGATCTAGTCAACACACCGGACAAAAGCGACGAAAAGATACCTTGTCTGATGGCACGGATGCTTGGCGACGAAATGGAGCCGACCCTTAAGTTGAAGCTGTTCAACCTTCTATTCGACTATCGGGTTTCCACAGTCATGGCGATTCTGGGTCTATCGGAGGACAGCACCGGAGAGGATGTGGCCCTCGGATTGGCTTCTTCGATGGCAACAATCAAGAGCGTCTCATCCCCTGGCATCACCAGACAATCCTCCGGAGCTAGTGGAAAGTCTGTACAAACTGCACGCCCCATGAACCTGGACGTGCTACTTCGCGATTGTGCAGTTGGATTGAACCCTAGAGGCAACCCTGCCAAGGCTCTTCTTGTGCTTACCAACACGCGGTTTGGCGGGACTCTTGTACAGGATGCAGACATGACAGCCAACCTCGACATCAGAAAGGCATCCTTGCTCATCATTGATGATTCCGGGCGACTTGCTTCGGACATGTATGACTCTAGCATCAGGCCTCCTTCTGCGGAGCTTGGTAGCCAGCAAGTGATGGATCTTTGTCGCTTGGGCTTCGTTTCGGTGGGGACTACTTCGAAGGCTAAAGCTGTGGTCAAGATTTCGGAACCGCAAGACAACGGGAACCGTAACGTCGCGATCGAGTTCAACAATGACCTCTTCGTCATGGAAAGTTGTGCGGATTCAACTCAAACACTCTTTGCGCTGTTTGGAGGGCTCGCACCGCCTCAACCTCCATCCACAGAAACCCAATACCGGACAAAGGTCGAGCCTATTGCCAATGTGATGGCTTCTCTTGTCGGAGATACCATTCCGGAAACCGACGAAGACAATCTCTCGGCAAGTCTCCAGCTGGATCAGTCTGTCATTGTAAATGAAGATGAGCCTGAAGGTCTTCATTTTGAGGGTGCCATTTATGACTACACTCAGCTGCCTGAGATGGATGAAATGGCGGTAGACTCTTTCGAACCGTCAGTGGCATCTCCTAAGAAGGCTCCGGAATCATCTGAACCGAACAACTCTGAAGACATTGAGCTCAACTTTGACGATGACTTTTTCGGGAAGCCACAAGATGGACCGGATGTCCAGGGTTGGAATTCAACGGCGAACAAGTACTCTGACCTACAATTTTCCTCGGACGAGATTCCCTTGAAACTTCATGTGCAAAACATACACTTCATCTGGAACCTTTACGATGGCTATGACTGGCCGAGAACCAGGGAGAAGCTGGGCCAGAAACTGGAGGAAGTCCAGACTCGGGCGCAAGGACGGCGGGAAAGACTCGAGAGGATGCAACAAGGCGATGGCGAGGATGATGGTCTCGAGGTTGAGGAAGATCTGCTATTTGGGTCTGTCTACGTTTCTGTCCCTGTCAACCAGTCGGCAGAAGAGACGCGGCGACAGCTCAACATGGCCATCAAAGGAAAGGTTACGGACGACTCTGTCAGCGAGACCAGTTATGCCACCACGAATGCCTCGAGGTCGACTGCACGCCCTCGATCCAGGCATAATAGGCTTCATCTGGAGCGTGGCCGTCACCACAAGATCACGTTTGAGCTCAAGGGCATCTCTGCTGATTTGGTGGTGTTGGCTCCTGGTGTCAACGAGGTCCAGAAAATGGTCGATCTACGCGTCCAGGACCTTGAGGTCATTGACCATGTGCCTTCGTCGTCCTGGAAGAAGTTCGTAACCTACGACCACGACCAGGGAGAGCGGCCGATGGGGTATCCGATGCTCAACCTGAATGTCATGAATGTTCGGCCAGTCCAGGATTTGGCCGCGACGGAACTCGTCATCAAGGTAGATGTCCACTTTTTGTTTGTCTAATACACTTGCTAACCTGTCTCAGGTCCGGGTTTTGCCTCTTCGACTCCATGTCGATCAAGACGCTCTCGATTTCATCACTCGATTTTTCGAGTTCAAAGACGACAGCCTCGCGCCTAACCCAGCTCCGAACTCCGGCGGGCAGCCGTTTATTCAACGTCTTGATGTCCACCAAGTGCTCCTGAAGCTGGATTACAAACCCAAGAGAGTCGACTACGCCGGCCTGCGCTCAGGACGCACGACTGAGTTTATGAACTTTGTCACGCTAGACGGCACAGAGATCAAGTTGAGACACTGCATTCTCTACGGTGTAGCGGGTCTCGACAAACTGCACGACACGCTCAGTGGTATTTGGACACCCGACGTCAAGTACAACCAGCTCGCGGGCATTCTCACTGGCCTTGCGATGGTCCGACCTGTAGCCAACGTCGCTGGGGGCTTCCGAAACCTCGTGGACGTGCCAATGCGCGAGTACAAGAAAGACGGCCGCCTGCTGCGCAGCGCAAGCAAGGGTCTCTCTGCCTTTGCCAAGACAACCACGACGGAGATTCTGCGTCTCGGGGCCAAGGTCTCAATCGGGACGCACTCGATGCTATCAGGCGCAGAGACGATCCTCTCTCCCACAGCCGGGCCCAGCGGCAGTAGCAGCGGCGGCCACGGCCACAGCCACAGCCACAGCCACAGCCACAGCCACAGCGACGCAGGCGGCTGGGACGAGGTCTCCCCGCCAACGAACCACTCCCCGGCCGACGCGCCGCGCGCCTTCTCGCACTACGCGAACCAGCCGATCGGCGTGCGCGCGGGTATTCTGAGTGCGCGCCAGCATCTGCAGCATGATTTCGCGACTGCGCGCGAGGCCATCATCGCGATTCCGGGTGAGGTCATGGAGAGCGGCAGCGCGGCGGGGGCGGCGAGGGCGGTTGTCAAGCGCGCGCCGGTGGTTGTGCTTAGGCCGTTGACGGGCGTTACGAGGGCGACTGGGGGGGTGTTGCTTGGGGCGGCGAATGCGTTGGATAGGGATAGTAGGAGACGGATCGAGGATAAGTATAAGAGGCGTTAGTGGGGGTGGTGGTTGTGGTTGGAGTGGTGAGGGTGGGGTTGGGAGTGGGAGTGGGAGCAGGAGTAGGAGTGAAATTGTAAGTGCAAGGGGGAATGGGGTCGTGGATGGGGTGGGTTGGTGGTCCGTTTTTGCAACATATACACACATACGCGCGAACACACAAACTTTTTCTTATGGTCGGGAAGGGACGGGATGGGACGGGACTGGATAGGCGTTTTACAGACTGGAATGACGGATCTTCATAGGACACGGATGGATGGGGGACAGGGCCAGGTGTACGGGTTTCGCTTTTGCGTTTTATCTGCTTTTCACTTTTTACTTTTTACTTCTTCTGTTTCTTCAGCTTCTTCGGCTTTCTCACACTCACTCACACATTCACTCGCTTTCTTCCTCGCACTTTCCAGCACGTCTTTTCAAATTGCGCTTTTTTTCTTTCTTTCTTTCTTTCTTACTGGGGCTGGGCTTCTTGGGCTTGGCTTGGGCTAGGTTTTTCTTGCACTTCGGTTGAAACTGCATAGCGACGGATGGGATAGATACCACTTGCTTGCTTGCTTGCTTGCTTGCTCGTATGTATGCTTGTATGTATGTTTGCTTGCTTGTGCGCGTGTGTACGTGTGTGTGTGCGTGCGTGCTCGTGTGGGATGTTGGAGTGTGTGGTTGGTAGGGAGAGAGGGTGGGTAAATGGATGGGTAAATTGAATTGTTAAATTAAACCGAATTGGATTGTAGGTGATATAAAAGTAGGAGTATAGCGATGAGTGAGTGTGAGTGTAAGTAGGTGAGAATGCCATACCATACTATACCGTATTACCTACTTCTACTATTCCTTCTAAGTAGCTTCTACCCGGTACCGGTTTGCGCGTTTGTTTAGTTAGGGTAGGATATATATATGCCTACTAGGAGTAGTGCGTGCGTCGTATAGAGGAGGGTTAATTATTACGAACGCGTTTTCTAAATCGGAGGAAGAAGGGGAGGGGCGTAGAGGTAAGAGGGGAAGAAGAGAGAGAGCTAAGGGGGAGAAGGGGGAGGAAGGAGGAGGAAGGGGGAGGGGGGGCTGTTTATATACCCAAGAGAAGGGGACGTGCGTACGAGATTAGAAGATTATAGAAGAGTCGAGAGGGCCGTAGAAGGTTAGGGAAGATTCTAGTAGCCTACGTACGTATACGTGTATATATATGTGTGTGTGTGTAGGTTTAAGTTTAACCGAACAGGAAGGAAGTACTACCCTACTAAAACCTAGCTCCCTCACGCAGTATCTATCGAATATAATAATAAGATAGACACGTTAATTAATCGCAGCCGCACTAATACGCAACACGCAAGCAATCAAGTCAAACCGAATCGACTAGAACATATCCATTAAACCTAACCAACCAGTCAATACCCGTACACACCCACCTACCCAGCCCAACCAAACCAAACCCAAAAAAGAAGTAGTATATGATAGCCAACCGCCATAAACGCCATCATTCCAATCCATACCTAGCGACGCCCACGGCTTGGCGTGTCGCGTCGCAGCTGCGTCGTGTCTGTGTGTATAGGTGGTATATCTGTATCCGTCATCGCTCGTCTCGGTCTTTTGTCCCGCTGAACCGCACCCGCTGAATCGCTTCGCTGAACCGCACCTGCTGAACCTGGTCCCTTGGCACGCGGCTGGGTGGTTGCTTTCGCTCCTTTCGGGGCCCTCCCTCCATTCCTTTACGCCAACCTTTTCGGGTATGCTGCAACCATGTATGGCGGTCTTGTCGCCTACACACCTGCCTAACTTCCGACAACTGTACTCTCGAATCATCGCTACAGTCGTACAGTCACTGCCACCAGTCCACTCCACTCCGCTCCACTCCGCTCCACTCTACCTACACAATATCCACCACCACCCACCTCGCTAACCCACCTTCCATTCACCTACTTCCCGTGCGCATACTCCCCCTCCAAATGGCTCCACTCCGGGATATCGCGCATGCGGCTCCACATGTACTTCTCCAGCTTATTCGCCGCCTTGGCATACGGCGTATGCTCATTATTGTACTTGCGACAGTTATTAAAAATGAGCATAGCATCGCGGACAAAGTCCTCGGGCGTGGGATACATGTCCTTTTCGTGCTTCTCCTCCATGGTAGCCAAGTCCATAGGCTCCTTGATGACGTCGTAGTAATCGGCGACCTCGTCCTTGTTGACGGGCTGCAGGAAGGGCCACGCGTTGGTGTTGTTCTGCAGGTCGTTCAGGATCAGCAGCAGCGTGTTGTAGTTGGGTCCGTGCCGCGGCGCCCGCGATAGCTCGTCCATGTCCAGCGACCACCCTGACGCTTTGATCGCCGCGATCGTCAGTGGGTCGATCTTCTGCATCGGCCCTGGCTTTTGCCAGATTGATGGCGGCGCGTGCACGTCATAGCTGCGCGATACGGCTCGGATCTTCGCGTTCACGGCTTCTTTTTGCTTCAGTAGCATCCGCCCCACTTCTAGGTACCGGATCTTCGGCACCATGCTGCACTGCATTATCGTGCCGCCTTCGTAGTCTTTGATGTACCCCATCCATTGCGGCTTGGCCAGCGTGATTTCTTTGGTGAAGCCTTGCTTCTTGAAGTAGCCAATGGCGTAGTTGTCGGCGTATGTGAGGAAGTGCATGATTTGTTCCTTTGTTGTCGCTTTGACGTAGTCTTTCAAGTGCGACATGAGATGGGCGCCGTAGCCCTTGACTTGCTGGTCTGACGAGATGGCGCAGAAGACGATTTCAGCAAAGCCGCGTCCGTGGAATGGCCGATATGTTATGCCGCTGCGAATGCGTTAGCAAGCCGCAGTCCCGTGCCAGAAGGTCCACCCTACCCAACAACTTCCAGCGGTTTCTTGACGATAGCCATCGACAAGTGCGTTCTGTCGTACACCAACCGCGCAATGTAGTCCTTAGGCATCTTCGGCAGCTGCTTCTGGAAGATGCACTTCAAGCCCGTCAAGATGATGGTGCTCTCCCTCTCATTGTCATTGTTCACGACGCGGAACTCGATATCGCCCTCGCGCTCTTCAATGACGGCAGGCTTCTCCGGGAACGGCACCACTTTGGGGCGAGGGCGCGGGTCTTTGGGGTCGGCGGGGGCGTCGGTTGGAGGCGAGCCAAACTGCTTGGCGCGCTTGGGGCTGGCGGAACCCAAGTCCTCGTCTGCTTTGCGTTTTGCTGGGGAGCGTTAGTGGTGGTTCGGACGCGAGATATGAGCATGCGCCGCCGCGGGGCTAGGAGCACGAACGAACTGGCCGCAGCTGGCTGTCAAGCTCGTGGTGCGACATGGTGGGCAAGGAATGCGGAAAGACGAGTACGAGATTGATGCCTACCTTCGTCTTTTGCCGTGGCCGCCATGGTGGGAATGGTTGGAGAGAAGGTAGGGGGAGTTGCAGGGGTGGATGAGTCTGGAGTTGTGATGCGTCGTGCCGTGGAGGTTGCGGGGAGGCGTCGCCGAGGTTTTGGCGGTAGGGCTGGTCTGGGCACGGAGCATCACACGCAATTTGATCTGCCGACCATCCAATTTCTAGATTCAATTCTTCACGGTCGGACTGATGCAGGTGTTTCTCAATAACTGGCAGGACGGATCCCTCAAACGACTCGAGCATGATCTGCTCTCAACTTCTTACTAGTAAGCCCTAGATCAGTCGAGCTCGCTCGGTAAATCCGCATCCTCATGCTGTGTTTCGCAATGCGCCGTCAGCACCGATGGAGTGGAGTAGTGCGACACTATAGTAGACGGAGATAATCCCGATGCTACACTCACACTCGATAACTGGGCTCGGCATGGTGTGATGCGATGAGGGCCTTTTTCTAAAATTTGACTGCTGCCTAGCCGGCAACCCGCACCGACGTGGCTATGCAACTGTGGAATTCCATCTTGCCACTTCACCAACCCCACTGAGATGTTTGTTTGGAATCCACAATGCTATTGTTATGGCGGAGGCTGTCGGAAATGCAAATCCAGGGTTTAACGTTTGGCAGCTGTGGCTGTGTGAAGTCATGACGGCGGCTAGCCCGGGGGGCGAAGGACGCGGCGGTGGTGGCGGCGGGGGCCGAGTTCGTCGGAGGCGCCTCGAGTAGCAAACGACGGCGACGACAAAATACACAGTAAAGGTAATGGGCCGCGCGTCTCGTCCGCTTTGTCCGCTTTGTTCTCGAATCCCCAGACGCAGCGCATTAAGCTCACGGCCAAGCTTCGATCGGCGGCTCAGACAACCTCTGACGCGCTCCGATCCTGCCGAGCAACCCGCAAACCCGCACGACTCCTGCTTGCCGCCTGCTGTGGGCGCCAGGCGCTAGGATGGCGTCGCGCTACTTAACGCCCACCTCCCTCTCCGGAGCCCGCCTGTTGCATCATCCTCGCCTCCTTGCCTCCGCTGCCTGCACCTATTTCTTCCTCGCTCGCTCCCCGCCAGACCTGGCTGTCATTGCGCTCGACGACTCATCATGCCCGCCCTCGCTTCCGCCCTCGCCGCCTCCGCCGGCCTTTTGCAGCTTGCCGCTGCCGCCGAGCCCAAGGTGGTCGGCTTCGGTTTCACCAAGAACCAGGTTTCCGACCATGCGAACCTCGCTAAGCGCCAGAAGACGGTCCAGGCTGGCTTGTCCAACATGAGATCTCTCTACCAGATCAACGTCACCGTCGGCACCCCTCCTCAGACCATAGGGCTGCAGCTCGATACCGGCAGCGCCGACATCTGGTTCCCCTATGCCGGGTCGCAGGAGTGCCAGGAAAACTACTGTACCACCGGCTCCTTTGACCCCGACCGCTCGTCGACGTTTGTAGATGTCGCTCAGGACGCTTTCGAAATCCAGTATGTCGACAATACGCAGATCTACGGCGATTACATCAAGGACACGATCAGCCTGGGTGACACCGACATCACCAACATGACCATGGCCCTTGCCACGTCTACGGGCGGCAGCACGCAGGGCATTATGGGCATTGCATTCGTTTCGGACGAGACCATCGCTCAAACGGACGAAAGATACGAATACCCCAACTTTCCCGTGCAGCTGTTAAACCAGGGCTACATCAGCTCGCTCGCCTATAGTCTATGGCTGAACGACCTTAGCTCGAGCACTGGCAACATCCTGTTCGGTGGCGTTGACAGCGCCAAGTACCATGGCGACCTGATTGCCCTCCCCATTCAGCGCGACTCGTCCAGCAACGACATTACATCCTTCACCGTGGCCATGTCGTCACTGAACATCACCGGCGGCACGGGCAAGAGCGTATACAGCCAGCCGAACATTGACCTCGCCGCCATTCTGGACAGCGGCACCACGCTGACATACCTGCCCAACAGCATTGCCAACGACATCATCAAGGGCGTCGGTGCGATCAACGACCCGACATTCGGCTACGTGGTGCGCTGCAACATTGGCGCCACAGGCTCGAACATCACGTTTGGGTTCGGCGGCGCCGACGGGCCCATCATCACAGTCGGCATGGACGAAATGACAGTGCCACTGCTTGACACGGCCGGCGAGTCGCTGAAATTCCGTAACGGCGAGGACGCATGCATGTTCGGTATCAACCCAGCCGGCGACGACCCCATCCTGCTGGGCGACACGTTCCTGCGGTCCGCATACGTCGTCTACGACCTGCACAACGAGCAGGTAGCGCTGGCCAACACCAACTTCAACACCAGCGACTCGCACGTCCAGGAAATCACCAACAGCACCGTCCCCGGCGTGCGCGCCACGGCGTCGGGCGTCGCCGTCACGCAAACCGCCACCGGCAACGTACGCCCGACGGCTTCGCGCGTTGCGGGCGGCACCGCGGCCGCGTCGGCGGACGCTGGCACCCCCACGTTCGATCTCGGCACCCCGACTACGACGGCCAAGTCGGGCGGCTCCAAGAAGGGCGCTGCGGCGGGGTTGGCGCCGCCGAGGTCGGCGCTGGTGGGCGCGCTGGTCATGGTCGGACTGGTGTGCGGTGGCGGGTTGATGGTTGTGGTGTAGATACTAGAGGATTCCTGGTACATTCTTCTTTATATCTCCCTCTTTGTAGCGTGGTGGTTGCATCTTTGGTCTTTTACTCTTTTATCCCCCTTGATTTTTTTTTTCTCTGTATCCAAGCCTTCCCTTTTTTTTTTTGTCTGTTTCTAGCTCTCCGCCGTGCCGTTGTGCGCACGTGTATACCCGGGTTGGCGGTGAGGCGCGCTCGCTGCCTGGCTCATTGATGGATGGGTGGACGTAGATGGGAGACGGCGGGGTGGGATCGGGAAGGAGCGAGCGGGGGTGGGTGGGTGGTAGGAGATAGAGGTGAATGGGAATGCATCTGTAGATATGTATGTAGAGGAGGGTTATGCTGTTATGAATCTGTACACAGTACATGTGTATATACACGCAATTGACATATATACGTATAGTCTTGCAAAGCGAATGTTTTACATCGTGTTTGATTTGTCTTCGCGTAAGGCCCTGGATATTGATAATTTGCCCACCTCAACTATATATTAAGAGAAAACTGTAATACCTATAGAATACTTCTTAGGTAGTTATAATAGACTATCACGCTACGATTAGTAGGCACTATATGACTATAAATAAGTAAAGAGATGTAAGGTGAAATAATATCTAAAAAGATACAAAGGTAGAAATATAGAAGATACTAGAATATTCTACGAGGGTATAAAAATATAATATTCGAAGGATATAAAGGTACTTACAAATATATAAAGATTAAAACCATCTAAGGGTAGAAAATATATCATCTAATTTTACAGGTATGTTATCATGTAGGGTGGGCAAATTATCCGGTGCTTTACGTAGAGATAGTTGCCACGCGATCGAAAAATAAAAAATCACTCCCACATAATACTCTATGCGCGGTGTATCGCAAACCGAAATACGGTTTTGTGAGAGCGCATTCACCATGGATGAGCTGATTGTTTCTACTGTCGAGGCCGTCCGTCCAAAATAATGTGCAGAAAAGAGCGAATACATTATGTTTTTGATGTCGGTATGGTGGTATACCATGATGAGTGAAAAAGTGGTGGAAATCAAAATATTTTAAGAATATATATACAAATTGCAAGAAAGTTTTCTATGAAAAGGGCACTTGGTCTAGGGGTATGATTTTCGCTTCGCAACTTCCGCATTTGTGTCTGTGAAAGGTCGTGGGTTCAATTCCCACAGTGTCCATCTTTTTTTTTTCGTTTTGTTTTTGGTTCTCCTTACTAGCAAATACAAGGGGCGCTGATTGCTTTGCTGTTGTTGGAAAAAGAAATAAAGAAATGGGATCGATTGTTTTTGGTGTTTAGTTTTTGGTTGTGTATGTAGTGGTGTAAGACGTACGTAGAGGTGGGTTTACGTAGTTTAGTATTAAATAGATATATATATTACAAAATATAAAGTTATATCTACATGTCTATTCTCTCTATCCTACGTCCTTAGCATGTATATCCTTAGTAGCTACGTCGTTCGCTTAAAGTAAAGAGAGAGAGAGAGAGAGAGAAATAGTAACCTAGGCAGGGTATTTAATTTTAGCACTCAGCTATGCTTCCTTATGGTTTAGTTTGCTACACTACGTGACGTCAATGCTCGCGGCATAGTATATGGTATAATATACGGGTATATTCATGTAGGTGTGGATGTGGTATCTGCCTAGTCTGCTGGCGAGTCTATCTGTGCTGCTGCTTACTGCTGACGAAGAGAATGATGTTCATGAATGGGGAATGTATATAATCCGAAAGAAATAATGTGCGTGGTATGCATGATCTGACCGTTCCAAGTTCTGTCGTGAGATGAGGTAGGGGCCCGGCCCTGCTCTGCTCTGCTCTGCTCTGCTCTTCACTATCACCTCCATCCCTATACCCGCCCACCCACACACCACACCGCTCTGCTCCGCTCCGCTCCGCACCACCTACGCACTAGCGCCATTCCCCCCCACCGCAACCCTCAACAGCACGGGCGCGCCATCAAAAACACTACCACTCTGGTCCCCACCCCCATTCGGCGCAACATCATCATAGGGAAACGCGTAGCCCCTCGCATCCAAATTGGCCTCATGCACAATCCGCGAATAATGGTTCGTGACCTCTTCCTTGTAGTAGCTGGCACTGGTCTCCGCCGGCGTCACCTCCTCCTTCAGCAGCGTGCTGCGATTAAACGCCGCCGCCAGGCGCGGGATAATCGCGTTGCGCTCGGCGGACCCCGAAGCGTTCGCAAACGGCCCCGTGCTGCAGCTGAAGATGTCGGCGGCCGAGGGGCGCGCGAAGCGCTCGTTGCCCACGACGAGCGCGTCGCCGTCGACGCGCCCGGACAGCGTGCCGTACGAGGCTTGCGTGTCGACGCTCAGCGTCGCGGCCGCGTAGTGCGCCCATACGCTGTCGACGTAGCGGGCGTAGTAGTCCTGGAAGAGCGCGCTGTTGGTGACGATGCCGTCGTTGGGGCTGAGCGCGCGCAGGTACCCTCCGCTGCTGTTCTTGACAATGAGGGAGGACCAGGGCGCGCCGTCGGCGGCGGACTGGGCTTCCAAGCCCTGGCAGACGGTGGCGAGGCCGTTGGCGTCGCTGCCCGCGACGTGCTGCGTGCTGCCCGCGGCGTTGGTGAGGGTCAGGGCGATGGGCAGGCAGAAGAAGTCGACGTAGGTGATGTTGGCGTACAGCTGCGCAGAGTTCCACGTGAACTCGGCAAAGCCCCACGTCGTGTCGATGTTGGGGTCCGAGGGGTTGGTGACGGCGGGCTCGACGAGCGCCGGGCCCGGGTTCAGCAGGAAGGTGAGGGGCGCGTCGACGGCGAACCAGATGCGCGCGCCCGCCAGGTGCGGGATCGTCACTTTCTTGCTGCTGCCGGGCGCGCCGAGCGGGATGGCGCAGTCGGCCGAGAGGGCGCTGCCTACGCTGCTGGGCGAGCTGGGGTAGTACGCTGTCTGCCCGTCGGCTTGGAGGAGGAAGAGCGCCGAGTTGTTGTCCAGTGCTTGCCCTGTGATGTACGCGTACACGGTGCTGGACGTCGTGTTGTTCACCAGCTCGAAGTCCAGCGTTGTTTCTGCGGCGCGGAGGGGCGCTTGCGCCGAGATGGCCCGGCGTTGCGCTCCTGTTGGGCCGGCTGACACGCGTGCTGGGGCTGCTGGAGCTTCTTTCGTGGCCGGTGTGGTTGTCGAGCGGGACCGCCGCAGGTGCAGGATCTTGCCGATGAGCTCGCTGAAAGGCATGGTGGAGAGAGATGGAAGAAACAATTGAGGGACAAGAATGATGCTATGCAATGGCAAAGTGAAAGCAGTAGACTCCAAAGAAGAAGAAGAAGAAGAAGGGTATTTCGCCAAACGAAGAGCAGGCGTACGGTAGCAGTAGTGGTAGTAATAAACAGCGCTTCAAGCAGCAGGACCAGAAGCATATATACAAAGCCCTGCGGCAACGTGCACCGACACGCGGCTGACTGCAAGGAAACAGGTGGTCAAGAGACAAGCGACGAGAGAAGAATAGAATAGGGCAGGCCCGGGTTGCCAAACTTGCCAGAGCCAAAACATGCCTGAGTCTTGGGCCAATCAGCCAGGCACAAGTCAATCACGCCCCAGGCCGCCATCATCATGGCCGTGGAAAAACAGGCCCGCATCCCAGGCCCAGCAGTGCACGCCGTGGCCATTCGGCCCGAGCAGCAGAAGCAGGCCGAGCTCTGACTTGGCTGAGCAGCGACGCAGGGTGGCCAAGCGATAACCAAACTTCCCTCCAACCTCCTCTACCAAACACACCCACACACCCAGCTACCTCCAACAACAGCAACAAAAACAACACAACAACACACACTCCTCCCATCACATCTCACACTCCCGCACGCACGTCAGGCGACGCCGCAGCAGCAGCAGCGGGCACGTCCGGCGCACGCATGCATGCACCCCAGATCCTCGGCAGCATCTCGCAGCACGCATGACGCGGGCGACTGGCGCGACATGTTGCGAACGCTTGCGCGCGTGGACTAGTGCGGGGCCAGGGCCAAGAACCGGGGGCGTGAGACAGGCGCAACGCACGCAACACGCGAGTTGCGGGGGCGGGGGCGGGGGCGTGTGTGTGTGTGTGTGTGTGTGTAGGTGGTGTAGGGCGTGGGTGTATCTCTCTGTGTGTGTGGCGTGTGGGACGCTGCGGTTGTCGGTGTCTGGGATCGGGCGCGGTTGGGATTGGTTGGCGTCGTTCGTTCGTTGACAGGCGAGCCGAACACTCTTACTCCGCACTCAGCCGAGAAGCGGAGGAGGCGTGGCGGTCCTAGGTAATAGCCGGTCCGGCATATGTAGGCGTACTGTACGCAGTGTCTGCCTGAGGAGAGTTTAGTCCATCAGGCCAAGTCCGTCACGCCCGCAGGACATCGTCTTGGCTCTCTCTCTTTCTCCATCCTACACACACTATCTTCTTCTCCTTCTCTCCGTCTCTCGCCGCCGTACGCTGCAGTCAGCATCACCCACCCGCGCGCATCAGCTGCCGCACCCTCGCGGGCCTGACTCTGCCTGCCTACCCTCCTACCTGGCCCAGCAAGACAAGACGCTGGCCGGCTGGCTGGATGAATGTAGGTTGGCGGCCTGTCGCCGGCGCTGCAGCCCTTCCAACCAACTAACCAACTAGCCAACTAGCCAACTAACCAGCCAGCTACCTACCTACCCATCCACGTCGCCACTAACCCGTAGGCAGCTATGCAAGCAAGCAAGCCGCTCGCCCGCGCGCCGTGATCATGTCATGCCCGCCCCTTACCCTAGCTCCAGCTCCAGCTCCAACTCCAACTCCAGTTGTAGAGCCCGATCGCGCCGTGCGCGCAAACGGCTATTTGACGTTAGGTGCTAAGAGTGTCTGAGTACGTAGGTAGCTGGGCTGGTGGCTGGCCGGCTCGGTACGGTACTGTACTGTACTGCACTGTATCGAGTGTACGGACGGACGGGTGCGGTCGTGCCTGTGCCTGTGGTTGTGGATGCGGTTGTGGTTGGGTGTGCTGCTGCTTACCCGGTCCGCACGCACTAGCCACGTCGCTAACTAGAGGTACCTACTATGTACTCGTACGAGCATAGACGAGAGCGCTGTAGGTGGGTGGGTGGGTATGCCGGGAAGGCGGGGAAGGCAGAGATGTCTCTCCGCTGACCGGTTTACGCTTTTTAGTTTGGGTTTTTCTTTTCTTTTCTTTTTTTTTCTCTTTTCTTTTTTTTCTTTTCTTTTTTTTTTT